TAGCTCCGGATCTAATGGTAGTAATTCTCCCAACTGCTATGGGTCATGTACTACCTGCACACAACTAATCAAGCAAACCCGTGAAGGCAAAAGTGGGACAAAGCAAAACAATCAATGCAGAAAAGAAATGCTAAAGTAACAGAAATCATGTTTCTTCAACAACCTAGTCGTCCCTGGCAACGGCGCCAAAAACATGACTCGCCTGTACCATCACACTAGAACGTGGCCAAGTATAACCACCTAGTAATGCGTAGTATAGCGGGTTTAGCTTTAATTATCAACCCGGGTCCTAGATGTGATGACTACTCCGTGAAGTTCTTGTTATTTAGCGGTTCAACTGTAGTGAAGTAATGACTAAACTAAACAAACACAAAGCAGTAAAGGTTGTGGTTCAAGTTTGAGAGAGGTCGCCCAGATATGGACCCCCCTAGATTGCAGTTAAGCCAAGTTGTAATTCTCCAAATCCAGATTCAATGACAGTTATACTGCGGAAGGTTCTTAATTAATCCGAAGTTTCGACTAAAGGTCTCTAGACCCTCTCAATCTGAATACCCGGCGGGCGACTAAGCCTTGAGTGTCAATAAATGTTGCTCCGCCACCCTAACTTGTCCACTAATATCACTAAAAGCTTCTTTATCTAGTTTTTTCGAAGCTTTCCTTACTGACTTCAACTTGCATTGTATTACATACCATGGAAAACCAACTACTTCAATATTCCAAGCCTGCTCCACCACATGTAAGAATTCCGGATGAGACACCGAAAACTCAATATATTTAAACGCTTTAGGAATGAACTTGATGCTAGAAATAGTAGACACCAAGATACCACAATGATAAGTAAACGGAGCTAACACTGCCTCCTTTGAGAAATCTTTGAAAGCCTCAATCCAATCCACATTGACCACTTCCCTATCTAATCTTCGAGCTAACGAATTCCTCTGTTGATTATTCGCCCAAGTAAACTATGGGCTAGTATTTCTATAATCAAGCAATTCCATATCATGTAGCCATCTCTCAAAATCCATCATACTTGACGTTTACACTATCAAATTCAAAGTTTCCAAGTAATGAATAACAACATTAAAGTCTCCTCCCACAATCCATTGCCTAAATTGCACCCTAAACTTACTCATCTCTCTATATGCATCACGTCTTTCAACTTCATCATTTGATCCATATACAGTTGTGATAAAGAAAGGTACCTTGTCATGACCCTGAGCCAAAGCATGAATGTAGTTCTTCCCCATCTTCAGCACATGAAGAGTAATATCCGAATACCAGAAAAGCCATATCCGTCCCAGATCAGAATAAGATATTCATCATGGGGAAGAGGGATTTTGTGCCCTTTCTTCTTACCACCCTTAACAGGGGGCTGCATGCAGTCTACCTCCTCCCTGTCTTCTAGCTCACTCGGCATATGAAATGTTGTATTAGACACTTGCGAAAAACTAGTAGGACTGCCTGGAGGGGACCAAATTCTTGGCTTCAACCCATTAATCAGCTGCTGAACATCCGATGGTAATCCTGACGAAACAACTTCTGCAGCAATAGTCTAGAAAGTTTGCTCCAGATTCATACCTACCACAAAAGGACTCTTAGGGGATTCATATGTCACCACATTGGTTCCAATTATTACTAATGAAGGAGTGTAAGAGCATCTTGCATTCTGCTGAGAAATGCCCTCAGCCTGGTCTATTAACACTGCTTTGTCCTTATCGGCCTGGACTTCCACCTTAGCAACCACTAGCTTCATGTCATTTACTTCCTTGCGCTTCCAGACTCATTTCAAAGGTTTGCCACCACAGCCACAAGGACCAAACAATATATACTTGAAACAAACATCCGGTAAGTGACATGATTCCACTTCTACCCGAATTGGAGACCCCTCATCAGGATATAACATCACATGACATGGGAAAACTCCGTCAGAGCGTAGCTCCACCAGAACCTAGGCAAACCGCATTCTAGCTCCTCTTCTAGTAGTGTGATCCACCCCAAGTGGCACCCCAATCCAGCTCACAATTAGGCTTAAACCCTGGAAATCAATGTATTCTAGCGGGATATTCGTCAGCCGAAGCCAAATCGGAAGAGCTCCATGACCTATATCCTCCGCACTAATCCCTGGAGTCCATGGACGTAAGTACATGAGGTTTAATTTTCATAATAGAACCATGGTCCACTCTTCAATATCTAGTCATAAGTGGATTGAGACAACAATTGGATTAGGATCAATTGATCCAAGAGAAGCGAAACCCTAATCGGTCCATCGCGCCCCCAGATGCGATTAGCCCATCGACGAATAACCAGCAACGACGGAGAAGATTGAAGAAACTAACCAATAAGCAGAGCTTCCACATTGTCGTACCATCCTCTTGAACCTCCTTCGGCATCCGCAGCCCACCATTCACGACTTCATGTTTTACATATCATAGTCGATTTTCTTCGGAGATCCCAAACAATTGTGCCCACGGCTTTACTAGCTTGCCTTCGGTCACTACATGTGCACCACATCCAGTACTCATCGCAAAGACGCTAACAAAGAGGAAGAAATAGAACAACGCCACAGGTGCTAGTGCGATCCGCTAGGACCGTTGCCCGAAACCTAGTGAACAATTTGCCTACAGATGATTTTCTCTCTCAAGGATTTTTCTCTCACATGTGTTCTTTCTATACATTTTTTTAATTCGAGTTAAAATGAAGGAGATATACCATAATACCACTATCATATCATGATGATATGATAGTGATACTACTACAACCAATGAGTTCATTTTTTCCATTGCTCAAAATATAGCAAAATGGATATTATTTTGTATATCATAATTGATGTGTTCTTTTATGAAAAAAAAATAATTTAATTTCAAGTTAGAATGATTGAAATAAGATCCAATTAAGAAAAATAGTGGACTAGAACTAGTGTCTTCTTTATCATCTTGATCCGTGTCAGTAAAAAAAAAGACGGGGTACGGAATTACTAGTTTGCTTTCCGATATGTTTTTGGAAAATTAATTTGGATCATTGACAGGATACTTTCTCATACAGCAGTGACATGCAAGTTTGTAATAGATTTATATTTTGTACACTATCATTTTTCATACTTTATGGCCAACTAATCATTTCTCATACTTTATAGCCAATTAATCAAAGCAGTGACAGGATCATGTTTAGATTCTTGCAATTGCATTTAGCCTATAAACGAGACTTGGGATTTCCTTAGATTTCTACCCATTATTATTGTGCAAGATATATGCTACCTCGTGGTCGTGGACTAAACTTCAGCGGTGTAGCGGAATTGCTTTTCTATAAGCCAAATAAATCTTATTGAGTTGTTTCATTAGACTGAGGTTTTTATAACTCTAGGATGATTCCTACATCAAACATAGATATGGATATTGTTGCAGAGACATAGATGATAGCCCATAATGACATATCTATATTCAAGTGACATTAGATTTGTGAGCCTGTTCTAGACCTTACTTATCATCTTTATGTATGACGTTTTTCAAAATTTACCTGACGTTTTTACTTTAAATTGATGTAGCAAATAGGTAGAGGAGACGCGATTAAACGAAATTGGTGTCAAGGGGAGCGACTTTATTAGAGGAAGAGTCAGTATCAGGAGCAAAATGGGAGGTAAGTTTTGGCAGCTGCCAAAGTCAATAAGCGGAGGAATATAATCGACAAATATGAAAACAATATTAAAAATAAATAGAAGCGTGTTTTCCCTTCTCTCTTCCCCGTAAATTCTAGTTTCACTTATCTCTTCCGCTCGGTATCAGGTATGGTGCTTTCTTTTCTACCACCCCTCTCTTTTTGTATCTTGAGCGAGTTCTCGGTCTATGTTCATTTATTCTCTCTTCCCGTAGATAGAGTATGCATTCGCGTATCTCTCTGCAGTCGCCACTTTCGAGCTTTTCACTATGTCGCAGTTGTTCCTTCTGCGAGATCTGTATTGGAGCTTTGTTCTTCCTCTCGACACTTTGTTCTTTGCTCAAACGCATATCTTGTACATAATAATAAATATGATTTTTTGTTATAAAATTTGAAATTTGAGTTAAAATAAAATAGATATAATCCATTGAAAAGCCTAAAAGTAATTTGAAGAAAAGAGAAACAATTAGAAAGAATGGGCTGTGATTTTGTGTATTTTTCACTGATTTCGAAATAGCTCTCTACTAACATTAGCCATCGGATTTGTCTACAACTTTTTCTTCACTTACCCCTCAATCTAAAGACCCTCATTCATTTTGGATGGATCCAAAATGTGCATCATTGACCATCCAAGTCCAACTCCAGAAATTGGGAAAAGGCTGATTTTTCTTTCTCCTCTTTTTTGATTAACTATGATGAGTGTGAACTGTGAACTAACAACATCCTAAGTACGATGTTGCTGTTTCTGTGGTCAAATATGCCATTCAATAACATCAAATAAAATAGCATATAGCAATATTTACTCGATGTGTGCTAATGTGTCTCCTTATCCTTATACATGACATTATTATGAGTAAACTATATATAATATTCAATCATACAACAATAAAGTTGCCTTATTTTGTGTGTATATTCTCTGCCATAACATAGCGTGTCATTTAAAATATTTTTAGAAATTCCATTATTGGCAGACCAACGTGCTAATTTAGTAATTAACCATTACCTTTGGGACTTTACTTCCATCATGTGTTACATGTTTTAATCAGACAATAGTTATTGTATTGATTATTGAACAAGAATCTTCGAATGGAGATGGTAAGAAGAGCAGCTGCCGTTTGATTCCCAGCGGAAGTTGGTGGTCAGTTAAAGGCATATACGGCATCACGGGGATGAGTTAGCTTGGTTATTTAATTTTTAGTAATCACGGTTGCTACCTTAATCTACACCATTCATTATTTCTTTTTCACTCTAATTTTAAATTAACGATGAAGATTATATTAGGGTAATTTTGGAATTGAAAAATATACCACACCTGATTACTCTATAAATTATTTCCAAACCCTACCCTATTGCAACCCGCCGCCAACCACCAAGCTCCTTCCCCGTAACCTCCCGCGACCCTCATCCCTCCCGAGAACCTCCTCCACCGCCGGCCGGCCTCCCCTCCACCGCCCTCCTCCCTTCCCCTCCTCTCTTGTAAAGCAGCGGTGTCCGGCGACGACGACGAGGGAAAGAAAGGGAAGGTGATAGTAATAGACATGGTGATGTCGGAAGTTGGGGGTGAAGAAGATTTGTCCCGCCTTCACATCATCACAAGATTCCTAGTCGGCGGCTGAGTCAGAATCGCCACCATCAGCAGAAGGAGGTTTTCTATCCTCTCCTTGCCACATTCGATTCTCCCAATCGGTCATCTTTCCCAGGTCTGATCCCTCTTCCACCGGTGCCTCTCTATTATTGGTCAATTGTTTCCTCTGTGTAACAGTGCTAAATGGCAAGGAACGGAATGAGATGGAGTTCTGTTGGACTATATTTGCTTTTTAATGGCAATTGGAAGGAGGAAGGAGGAATTCCATTGGAATGATATGTTTTTTTTCCTTATATTGGTAGTGATTTTTTTCTATAGTCCTTGTATTGGTAGTTTTTGTAAATTGAGTGGTATAGATTGTTTATATTGGTAGTTTTCGTGTAATGGTATAGATTTATTTCTGCAATGGTATTGATTGTTTATATTGGTAGTTTTCTTGTAATGATATAGATGTATTTCTACAATATGGTATTGATTGTTTATATTGGTAGTTTTCGTGCAATGGTATAGATTTATTTCTGCAATGGTAGTTTTCGTGTATTGGTATAGATTTATTTCTGCAATGGTATTGATGTTTTTCAAAGTGGTAGTGTTTGTCTAATAGATTGGTACTGATTTTGTTTTTTTTTTGTTTTTTTTTTTTTGCAGGAAGATTGAGAAAAATATGGAAAGGAAATCTGACTGGAGATCACGGAAGTGAGAGAAAGAGAGAATTTTAATTAATAGATTTTTGTAACTATCTAAAATGTAATTTATTCAAAAACTAATTAATGTAATTTATTCAAAAACTAGTTAATATAATTTATTTTTCTATACCCAATTTACCCTTAGTAATCACCGTAACCTGTCCCGGCATCACGGCGCTTTGCAAATTTGACCCACTTCGAGTTGGCGGATGGATGTTAATTTATTCAAATCATTGTGACCCGGTGTGGGTAATTCTAATTCAACAATCTACACATAATATAATACACCGAAGGGAAAAGCGGGAGCCCCATTTCAAATTTCCTGCAACGAAGTGAAAATAGGAAGGACATTTTGGTCTTCACAATTACTTTTTTTTATTCATTAAAAAGACATGTAGTGGGATTCGAACCATGACCATTTTAAGGAAAAGTAAGGATCATAACCAATCACACTAAGTACATTTGTTGTATCTTTTTAAATTAGAAACATATAATAGCAGGGAGGAAAAAACCCTTCCCCCATTTCAAATTCTCTGCTCCAATAGCGTTTGTAGGAATGATAGAATAGGGAGTGTCAATTTTTTCCTCTTTCCTCTGTGGAACGGGCCAACTTACCGTACACATGCGGATTTTAACGGGTTCAGGAGTGTCAATTTTTTTCATTAAGCCCTTTTATTTCTTCGTGGTGATAAAATATATATGAAAAGGCAAAAACAATACTTCTTTTTATTGCTAAAAATAAAAAAAAAATTAACAATAAACTAATGCATGGTATCTAATGGGCTAATCGCTTACCATAAAATAAAAGAGTTGAATTGGCCTGACCTACACGGGATTTAGCCATCAAGTAAAACAAATGAACACATTGGTTTGACATTCTAAAACAAGCTATTTTCTCTGGCATAATATATATTATGCTATTATTTTATATCTTAGTGGCTAAAATATAATGTATTTTAAAGTTATTCAATGGTTCAACCTCGACCAACCCAATTAGTCCCATCTTAATCATTTCAAATATATATTATATAATTATTTGATATCATAATGATCAAATTATAGTGTATTTTATAGGGAATCGTTTGGTATTTGTTAGTAAAAAACTAAACAGAAAGATCTATTTGGTTATTTTAAACATTAAAACGATCCTAACATATTCATTTCCTTTTGAATTTCTATGGTTTTATTCCCGAATAAGTGATGTGCAAATGGCAAATTGCAGTCATCTCTTTTCTTTCACTATTTTTTATTTTCAAATAGAAAGTTTAATAGTAAAGAATAATTAGAATTTGGCATGGGTCGGTCAAACAGGCTGCATTTCAAGTTTTGGACCGTTTTGATCAAGTCTAATTTATAATCACAAGGTTTCCTGATACCCGATAAAAATCTCAATCCAAACCAGTTTGGCAGGTGAGTCCGTGTTTACCACCATTTTCTAGGGATACGACAACGACGGTTCCTATCCCAAATCGTGTTGTTCATTCTTGATTTCCTTAGATTTTATCATGGTCTGAAAAAAACCAGAAAGCTCAATGACGACAAGATGAAAGTTTTATAAACCAAATTAATCGGCCAACGGGCCGAGTAAAAAGCTAGCAACGATTGTGAGATGCTCATTTCCCGAAAACCGAGGGGATAGGCGATTTTTTATTCGATTTTTTGGAATTCGGTTTCTATAAAACTTACTCCACCTCATCATATTACCAGAAACAATATTGTTTCACAAGTTAACAGGTACTTGATTTTGGTTCATAAGGCCGATTTTTGATTTGTTGCATCATTAATATCTCTTTCGTGCTAAAATTCACTATTTTTATCACGTGTTTCCCAAAAAAACTATACAACAATAAGCTATACATCCCATTACATTATCAAATTTCATACCTCACCTTCCTCCGGCCAACTGGCCGGGGCCACGCTAGTCATATCTAAAAACAAATTGAGAGTGAATTATTTCTAAGGTTTCAATCAGTGTCATTAGAATTGAGCTGGTCGTTCAAACCGATAAAATTGAGACACAGCTATTAATTTGGCTAGGAACAGGAAAAAAATCATATGCTTTGAACCAACGGGTTGATTAGCAATCCCGATGGTTTATTGTTCGAACTGCTAAAAATGGTCATTCATTTCTACACTCATTTTTTTAAAATAAAAATTCATCCTCTGGTGCGTATCGGGTTCAGTGCAGGAGAATTGGAAAAGTTGTTTAATATTTGAAAAAAAAAACACATGCATGCACATTGAGGTCGTCGTTGGGGAATCAGAATAAAGAAATTAATTTGTTTATTTTTCAGCAAGGTTGTTCTCCTCCCGTGGATTCAAAGTTACTATAGTGCTTATAAGTTTCTCAATTTTAGAAATTTGACACAGTATTATTTAAAAGTCAGAGCATTATTTGATAATAGGATTTTGTGTAATTAGGAAAATAATCCAAATGAATATCCAAACCATTACTCTACATTTAGCCCAGAAATTCTAGTCCCAATGATTTTTATTTAAGAAAAACAATAAAATCTAAAAGTAAAAAAATATAAAAGACTAAAAGTACAAAGTTCCATTGAGTTTCTTTATATCTATATTGGAATTGAGTTTTTTTTTATACATGGAAATATAGATTGAGCGGCATGGCCTAACCTATACTGGCAAATATCAAAGCCACTAATTCTGCCGGAGACAACAAGCCTTTAGGACTACTGGCATGATTCTTATTAAGCTCGTAAAGACCATTGTGAAGCTCAGTTGAACTAGTCATTTGCATTTTCGACATGTCTTGTAAGAAGAAAAACGAGAAAAGAAGGTAAGACAAACCATATACCTCTTGGTCAATGTACTCGCATAAATTTGAAGGTATTTTTTGGCACAAGGAGAACATCATCCAATAATAAATTCTTTCTCACATAACCAATGTGAGTTGCCTTAACATTATGACATGTAGGCAATGTTATAAGCACATAACCAATGGCTGGTTAGATATGTGGATTTTGTATCAAGAATCCATTCTTCTTAAGGATGGTTTACTGTATGTGGTATACTTGCATGCATCATTATAATTATTAACGATGAAAGCAAAGGTTGGGTATGAAGCACAAGCATTATTGTTGCTTCCATTTCCATTATTCAACAAGATCATTAAAGCCTCATATTGTTATTTCTGCAGGGTAACACCTTCATTGCCTGGAAAGTACTATGACTAGTAGCACTACAAGTAAAAAGGAACAACATTTAGTTTAGTGACCATCTTCATGCCTTTGAGATGGATTTGAGTGTGCTTGCTGAACAAGAAAAAATCATGTTCGTTTCTTCTGTTAAGATAAACTTTTATTCTAGAACCAGAATCCAAGTTGTGGATTTAACAAATACCATGATCATCTACTACAGTTAAGTTTAAATTTAGATAATCGGGGCATGGGGTTTATCTATTAGAGGTTAGGGTATCATACCCCAAATTAAGTTAAAGTCATGGTCTAGATAGAGATATCTTACTAGAAGTACATGAAGTATACTATACTCCACTCCACGAGTACACTAGTCTGACCCATATATATGGTAATGACTTGTATACTCCAGGAGTGTGGTATACTCCCGGTGATCTGATCGTTAAATGTACTTCGATTAGCTTCGGCCAATATCAATGGTCAATTATTATTTTTAATTAAATTAAACTTTGGGTTTGAGTTTAGATAATCGAGATCTCTAGTTTATTCATTAGAGATTAGGGTATAGTATCATACCCAAACTCAGTTAATATTATAGTCCAGATAGAGATATCTCACTAGAACTACATGGAACAATGACATTTCAACTTCAGTCCTTGATATGGATAGAAGAGGAACGACACTGTTCCACTTAAACACTCCTTAGTCAACTTTGAAGTCTTCTTTTCCTCTGCATTTTTTCACTCCAATAAGCTCCACAACTGTAACTACTTTTACATACAAAGGAGCTTTTTCACGGGAAGCTCTTATACTATCGATATATATATATATATAGCTGTGGGTTATTTACACAAGAAGAGAAATTTGTAGATAAAAGACGAAATAATGGACATTGTGATGCCTTGGGTTGATGTTGCGACCTATCTTTATTTTAAAAAAGCCCTCTCTTTTCCTCAACTGAACCCCGCGTTTCCTCTCTCTCTCTCTCTCTCTCGCTTTCTCATCTCCCTCTCTCGCCCAACCAAACATTCCACCACCGGCTTCCGCCTTCCCCCGCCGCCGCCAATCTCTCCTTCCCCCCAATTTCAGTTCAATTCCACAACCAGTAGCTCTGGTAGGCAGAGCAAAAAGGCCGAGCGAGCTCATTAAATGGGCAACTGTAACGCCTGCGTGCGACCGGAATTGCCGCCGCTGGATTCCAAAGGCCATGGTACCAAGAAGAAGCCCAATAGCAAGGACAGGAAGCCCAACCCGTTTTCTGAAGACCCGATTCGTTCCGCGGCCCCGATCCGGGTCTTGAACGACGTCGTCGCAGTCAGCCACCGTCCCCGGATCGGAGACAACTACATCCTGGGCAGGGAACTGGGCCGGGGCGAGTTCGGGATCACGTATCTGTCTACGGACAAGGAGACGAAAGAAGCGCTTGCCTGCAAGTCGATTTCGAAGCGGAAGCTCCGGACGGCGGTGGACATAGAGGATGTGAGACGGGAAGTGGCCATCATGGCGAGCTTGCCCGACCACCCCAACATCGTCAAGCTGAGGGCTACTTACGAGGACTACGAGAACGTTCATTTGGTGATGGAGCTGTGCGAAGGGGGCGAGCTGTTCGACCGGATTGTTGCGAGAGGGCATTACAGCGAGCGAGCGGCGGCGAGCGTTACCCGGACGGTCGCCGAGGTTGTCAGGATGTGCCATGTGAATGGGGTCATGCACAGGGATTTGAAGCCCGAGAATTTCTTGTTCGCTAATAAGAAGGAGAATTCGCCGCTCAAAGCCATCGATTTTGGGTTGTCCGTGTTCTTCAAGCCTGGTAAGTGGGTGGGGATTTCAATTTCTGGGTTTTTTGCAATTTGCTTGCTTTCCCCTTCTCGATTAACAAGTTGAATTCTTGGGTATGTCAGAGGTTGTTTCCTCTTGTCCTGCTTTCTGACCATTTCAATTTCATTCCATTTCTGGTGTGGGTTTTGCGATGTAATCTTTGGAGAGTACATCTTGTTGTGGTTATTGCAGGGGAGATATTCACTGAGATCGTTGGGAGTCCATACTACATGGCACCAGAGGTGTTGAAGAGAAACTATGGGCCCGAGGTTGATGTGTGGAGTGCTGGAGTGATACTTTACATTCTGTTATGTGGGGTTCCTCCATTTTGGGCAGGTACCTTTTTTGTTCTACAGCATTGGAAAAAGTTCTTGCACAAGTACCAGCAGAATAAGAGCTGGAAAGGGGAAAACAATTACTAAAAAGTGCTGTGGAACAATTTGATGGAGATTTTAAGAATTTGTTGTGCCCTTTTTGGTTGGCAGAGAGTGAGCAGGGTGTTGCCCTTGCAATTTTGAGGGGGAATCTTGATTTCAAGAGGGAACCATGGCCACAGATTTCAGAAAGTGCCAGGAGCCTTGTTAGGCAGATGTTGGATCCAGATCCCTCCAACCGCTTGACTGCTCAGCAAGTGCTAGGTATGTCCTCTCTCAATTACAGCAACAAGGATTCATTTCGTGTGTTAAATAGCAGGTAGTGTGCATTAGTCTTAAGAGTTTTGAAGAAACTTAGGTTTGAGTATGTATTTGCAATGATGGACAGCACTTGTTTGGATTCTGAATTCTTGAGGGATTTTCTTGATTAGTCACGGAGAGGAGGATGTTTCTATTTGACTTCTGTTCAAATTCATTGGGAGTTCTGTTAAGGTTAAAGAGCTGAATTTGGTGATATTTACTTCTATAGCAAAACAGACTCGTTACGTGGGGTATTCTTTATCATGCTTAAACAGATGGACAAGGAAAACTATTTACCTATTATGTTAAGCTTATAAAGAAGAATGCTTTCTCTGATTAGTAGTGAAGAAGACAAATCATTAGTGTGGGGGTGATTTGTTCTATGCATCAGCAAATTGTGAAAAAAGTTAACTTGTTCTAACCGCATTTTTTTATATTTCTGTTGGTCTTAGTGCTCCAACTTTTGATCTTTTGATTTGGTGGGTATAGATCATCCGTGGATTCAGAATGCGAAGAAAGCTCCAAATGTCCCATTGGGGGATATTGTGAGGACGAGGCTCAAGCAGTTCTCCATGATGAACAGATTCAAGAAGAAAGCACTCCGGGTCATTGCTGAACACTTATCACTCGAAGAGGTGGAAGTCATAAGAGATATGTTCACTCTGATGGACACTGACGGTGATGGCAAAGTATCGTACGAGGAGCTGAGAGCTGGGCTTTGGAATGTCGGCTCACAGTTGGCCGAGCCAGAGATCAAGATGCTTATGGAAGTGGTAAAACAGAACACCCTTTTCTTATCATTTTGTCGGGTTCGAATGAAAAATCTATCTTTAGTGTAGTTTTACTTAGCCTCCGTAATATTCAATTTCATGTATAGGCCGATGTCGATGGAAACGGCACGCTGGACTACGGCGAGTTCGTAGCAGTCACAATCCACCTGCAGAAGATGGAGAACAATGAGCATGTCCGTAGGGCGTTTGTGTACTTCGATAAGGATGGCAGTGGCTATATTGATCTGGATGAGCTACGAGAGGCATTAGTCGACGGAAATGGCGAAACTGATGAAGCTGCCCTAAATGACATCATGCGAGAAGTGGACACAGACAAGGACGGGTGCATTAGCTACGACGAATTCGTGACGATGATGAAAGCTGGAACCGACTGGAGAAAGGCTTCGAGACAGTACTCGAGAGAGAGGTTCAAGAGTTTGAGTCTCAACCTGATGAAAAATGGATCCCTCCATCTCCATGACGCACTCACTGGTCAGACGATTCCCGTGTAAGGGAGAGCTATCTTGGGTTGCTTGTAGATCGCTCGCTGAATGTTGTCCTGTCCTTTTTGGCATTCGTTGCCATTGTATATAAACCAAGAGTACTGCTTTGGACGAGAATGGACGAGCCAGGAGAAGGCACATTATGGTGGTGTTGGTGAATGTTGTTTCGGGTTGGAGTTTACAGAGAGATGATGACAAGAGCTTCTGGCTGGCTGCTGCGCGGCTGAATGGCGGGTTGTACTGATGCTTCCTCTTCAGCTCCTTTGTATATATTTGTTGTGTTGTTGGGGGTTGAGAGAGTATTCTTCTGTTTTCTTAGTTTGGTTTTTGGAATATTTCCATTTTCTTTTTACAGTTGATACGGCCGTCAATGGCTGCCAGCTCCAGATTGGGTGATGAAATGTGAATAAAAAACAAAGCATGCACAGAACAGAATGGCCAAAGCCAAGTATATATCTGAAAGTGTATTGGGAATCCTGTTTGTTCTCATTGATGATGTATGAATATATACAGGAGTGTTTGAAAACAAACTCTGCTACTCCTACGTACAGCAGCAACAACTTGCTAAAACTGAGGAACAGAAATATAAACAGAACAACTAAGTGGGAAAGAGCTGTTGGGTTGTTCCGAGAACAGCTCTTCCTTATCACGCCCCCGCAAGTGGAACCTCGGAGAGGTGAAACTTGGAGCAAAAATGCCGAAAGGGTAGACGAGAGAGAGGTTTGGTGAGAACATCGGCCAGTTGATCCGTGGCAGGGAGATATCGGACGTGAAGCTGTTGTTTGTTAACACGATCCTGAACAAAATAGAATTCGATTTCTAGATGCTTTGACCGTGTGTGAAAAACTGAATTGTGAGCGAGGTAAGTGGGCGCCCAAATTATCACACAAGAGAATCAGAGTTTCATTAGTGGGCTGCCCAAGCTCAGCTAGCAAGGCTTGTAACCAGATAACTTCGGATGCCAACGTTGCAAGGGTTCGATACTCACACTCAGTAGAGAATCTCGCTACCGCCTGTTGCTTGCGAGTTGACCATGAAACCAAGTTGGAACCATAGAAGACAGCATACCCAGAGATTGACTTCCGATCACGAGGATAGGAAGCGAACGAGGCGTCAGAATAGCCATGGAGTTGAGGGCGATCAGATCGCTGGAAAACCAAACCTTGATTCGGAGTTCCCTGTAAGTAGCGTAGAATTCGTTTCACCGCGGCCCAGTGCGCATCAGTTGGAGATTGTTGAAACTGGGACACATGATTTACAGCAAAGGAAAGGTCAGGCCGAGTGAAACTTAAATAGTGGAGGCCGCCAACAATGCTCCTGTAGAGTCCCGGATCAACAAAAGCAGGAGACATATCAGAGGCACTTTGCAAGAGCTGATCTGCAGTACAGGGTGTGGAGATGGCCTTGGCGGTTGACATGCCGGAACGATTCAGAAGCTCAAGAATATATCTGCGTTGGTAGAGAATCAAGCCATCTGCAGTGTGGTGTACTTCGAGACCAAGAAAATATGATAAGCGACCCAAGTCCCGCAAGGCAAACTTTGAACGGAGGAAGGCGATGAGCTGCTGAATAGTAGATGAGTCTGTACCGGTAATGACGAGATCGTCAACATAGACCAACATGTAAATGAGATTTGAACCCTGCTTGTAGATGAATAATGATGGATCCGTCTTTGAAGCCGAGAACCCAAATTCACGAAGAGCAGCGGATAAACAATTAAACCAAGCCCGCGGAGACTGTCGAAGACCATAGATCGATTTCTTTAGGCGGCATACATAATCAGGGAAGTCAGGGTCAACAAAGCATGTGGGCTGCTGCATATAAACATCCTCCTGCAGCGTGCCATTGAGAAAGGCATTGGAGATGTCAAGCTGATGGAGCGGCCAAGAATTAGAGACAGCGAGCCCAAAATTTAAGCGCAAGGTGGCTGGCTTCAGTACAGGACTGAATGTTTGGTTGAAATCATGCCCCGGTATCTGCTAGAAGCCGCGGGCAACAAGTCAGGCCTTGTACCGTTCAATTGACCCGTCGGGATTTGTCTTGATAGCAAACACCCATCTATTGGTGAGGATATTACAGCCTGGTGGAGCAGGAACAAGATCCCAAGTATGATTCCGAAGAAGAGCATCGAATTCAACGGTCATCGCCGAACGCCAGTGAGGGGACTTCATAGCCTGGGCGGCGGTGGATGGCAAAGTAGCAGTGGAGGTAGCGAGATAGTGGCGGGGCTTCAAATGTCCTGTCTGGGATCGAGTCACAATCCGGCGAGGAGGAGCAGTAGAGGACGAGAGATTGGCTGAGGGAAGAAGTCGAGGGGAGGTATTAAAGGGTGGTCGATCGGGGATGGTGGAAGGAGCAGGGAGAGGTTTGGTCGGAGCAAGGGTGGAGATGGAGGGGAAAATGCGGTGAGAGGTGGTAAGAGGATGACGGCGTTGGTACTGGAGAAGAGGGCGAGTGGGCTTGGGCCGTGCGAGTGAACGAGAAGCAGGGGATGAAGGGGACTGAGGGGGATGAATGGGCTGAACGGAAGTAGTGATCAATTGGGTGAAGGGAGGAGGGGAGTTGGGCTGAGGGCGGAGATTTGTGGGAGGAGAATTGGGCTGAGGGAGGGGATTTGTGGTAGGCTGGGTGGGAAAGGATGGGCTAGGAGGAGCAGATGGGTCGTGCTGGTTAAGGGGAGTTGGGTACAGTGGGATGGTGGTAGATGGGCCTGGTGGTGAAGGGAGATCCACAGGAGTAATGGTAACAGGTGGTGGAGATAAAGACGTAGGAGGAGAAATTTGTGATAGAAACGAGGGATCTGAATACGAAAATTTGGACTCATCAAAAAGAACATGACGACTCACATAAATGCAAGATGTCGAAGGATCAAGGCACCGATAACCTTTATGCAATTTACTGTAACCAAGAAAAACACAAGGAATCGACCATGGCTCAAGTTTGTTAGATGTGTGAGGGCGTAACCATGGGTAGCACAAACAGCCAAAGACACGGAGATTAAGAACATCAGGAGAACGTTGAAACAAGGTTTGAAAGGGAGAGGCATTGTGAAGAAGAGGTGTGGGAGTGCGATTGATAAGATAACACGCAGAATCAAACACAAGAGGCCAATATTTGAGAGGAACATGGGCTTGGTGTGACATAGCAAGACCGTTGTTTTCAATGTGACGGTGTTTGCGTTCAGCACACCCATTTTGTTGAGGAGTGCAAGGACAAGACGAATGATGAATAATCCCATTACTCGCAAGATAGGATTGGAGATCTTGAAATTCGCCACCCCAATCAGATTGAAACATATTAATGGGAATGCCAAAGAATTTTTCATCAAGCTGGCGAAAATGGATGAAGACTTGAAGAAGTTGAGATTTATATTGAACGAAATAAATCCAACTAAACTTACTATAGTGATCATAAAACAAGATATAATAAGATTTATTGTCATATGAAAGAGCAGGGGCCGGACCCCATAGATCACTACAAATAAGCTCCAAAGGAGCAGAAGCATGATAGGTGGAAGACGGAAATGAAAGTTTAAGATTCTTGCTAACGGAACAACCATGACAAAGAGAAGACGAATCATCATGATATTTTATTTGATTGCTAGACAGAAAATATTTCACTGCTCTCAAATTGGCATGCCCAAGACGTTGATGCCAGAGATCAAGAGATGCAGAGAGAGCACGGGGAGCAGCACTGCGGGAGATGGAGAGCGGAAGCGAATAAAGACCACCGTCCACAGAGCCGCGATAGAGTTCAGAGTTCGTGCGGCGGTCCTTAATAACAAAATAAGAGTCAAAAAATTCAATGGAAATGGGATTAGTTCGAGTAAGGGAACTAATGAAAAGAAGATTTTGAGGCGCATTTTTGACATAGAGAATATTATCAAGGGAATAAGAAAAATTGGAGAGATGAGCACGAGAAGAACCAGATTGAGAAATAGGGAGACATTTACCATTGCCAAAAGTCACTTAGTCGGTGCCATTAAATTCCGAGTGATGAGCCAAATTATCCAAATCGGATGTAAGGTGATGATTAGCGCCCGAATCGAGCAGCCATTGTTGAGAAGATTGAGCTGGATGGGAGGAGTGGGCTAAATAAGAGGCTGGGCCAGGTGGAGTAATGGACTGAGGGGCAAAAGATTGGCTGGGAAAATTGGGCCGAATGTGACCGTTTCCACCACAATTATGACAAATGAGATAAGAGGGACCAGATGGGCTTGTTGGGCAAGAGCCCAATACACCTGTAGACAAGGGCCTGTGGGCAAACATAGGGTTAGTGGAATGGGCAGCCGGCGTGGAGCCACGACCAGAAAACCGGCCACCATGGGAACGACCAAAATGGTCGCCGCCCCTTCCCCTCGCAGGCGCACCAGCATAAAAGACCTGCGCTGAAAGAGATCCACCATCGCTAGCCTGAAACCGACGGAGCTGAAGCTCCTCGCTTACCAAGAGGTGCTCAAGTCTTTGAAGGAGACCGGACAAAGTTGGGCTTCCAGATTGCGGGTAAAAGGACGAAACTCATCATCCAAACCGTCAAGAACAGCAGTGACGAGCTCGGCTTCAGTGATTGGCGCCCCCAGCACCGCTAGCTGATCGAATATACCCTTGGCGTGTTGGAGATATTCATGGGATGAATCATTGCCGCGAGCAAGCTTCTTGAAGGAGCGGCGAAGATGACCGATGACCACGGGTGACCCGGAGGCATAAACACGAGCAAGGGAGTCCCAGGCCTCTTGAGCAGTGGCTTTATTGATGATAATCGGCATGACAGATTCAGAAAGAGACTGGGTGATCCACATAAGAACGAGTTGATCGTGTTCATACCATTGAGTGAATTCAGGATTGGGCTGATCGGCTATGATCGCCGGTGGAGATCGAACAGAGCCATCAACATGTCCCATGAGACGGGAGCAGCGGAGCAGAGGTTGGAGTTGAGCGCGCCACAGAAGGTAATTGGTTGGAGTGAGTTTGACCGACAGTTGGGGGTTGCAGCGAAATGAAATAGGAGGAGATGCAGATGAGGAGACGGGTCCAGAAGAGGTAGAAGAGGTGGTGGATTCCGTAGCCATTGGGAGATATGGAAAGAAAATAAAGATTTTGCAGAAGAAGAAGACTCGTTAGATTTTAGAGTGGTTCTGATACCATGAAAGTGTATTGGGAATCATGTTTGTTCTCATTGATGATGTATGAATATATACAAGAGTGTTTGAAAATAAACTCTGCTACTCCTACGTACAGCAGCAACAACTTGCTAAAAGTGAGGAACAGAAATATAAACAGAACAACTAAGTGGGAAAGAGCTGTTGGGTTGTTCCGAGAACAGCTCTTACTTATCAATATCCATTTGAAACTGTATATTTTCTTGCCTTCTTTTTTTTTTCCCCTTTCGCAGCGACTAAGTCTATCTGGACAACTATGTTATGTTGACTTGGGGTACCGCCGGAGTATGGTGATAGAATGTTAAGGGTGGTTTGGTTTTGGTGATAGTTAAATGACGCATTGTCATCAATGCATGCATAATAATATACAATTATTGCATGCATAATAATATACAATTATATATGAAACTTGGTGTATTGTAGTTTTCATTGTTTGGTTTATGTGATAGTTATTATAGATTTAAATAAGTTAGACTACTTTTTGAGTGAAATGTCACATTTGCTCTTTGTTTTTAATACGAAAAAGCAACGCACATAAGAAAGTAGGGTTATAGTGGGAACAAAAACAAAACCCAATAACCTCAACCAAACAATCTCAACAATCTCACCCAAAACTTGAGATTTAACTATCACTCATTTTGAGTGATAGTTTGTGTCAAATAAAGCAAAAAATGCTTGTATTGTTTGTGCAAATAATTCAGAAAAACGATGCATTGTCGACAATGCATGTATTGTAACTGTCCCAACCAAATTATCACCAAAACCAAACCAAACGAAATATAATATAATTGGGGGCTTGGGGTTGTTTTGATGTGCACGTATTCTGCAATCTGTAATGTTGTTTTCTTCTGGAAAAGTAAAAAGGGTAAATGCCATGTTTGGTCACTGTGATTACTAAAATGTGTCATGTTTAGTTACTAGAAAAAATTAATATCAATAATAATCACTAAATTCAGTAAAATATGTCACGTTTGGTCACTCTTCAGTAGTCTCCGTCCAACTCCATTAATAAAGTTCGTTAAGTGTTGACATGGCAAGCAGAATCACCTAATTAGCTGGATTTAACCTGAAAAAATTCTAAACTCGACCCGCCACATCGTTACAACCTGCCATGTCATTAAAACACTAACCCAACACATATCCTAATCCATGACCCATGGTGGACCACCCTTCTCTGCCTCTCTCATCCTATCTCATTCCCATTTTTCTCACTAAGAAAACCAAAAACCCCAATCCATTCATATTGTCCATCAAATCCACTTGCAGAACTTGAACTCTAACTCTAGATCTGCCCAATTCATTTTCACCACCCAAATTACAAATCCACTCGCCAACCACAGAAAATTATCACCATCTTTTCATTTTTTTCATATCGAAAAACCTTCACAGCAACCCAAAAGAAGCAGAGAGACGAGGAGAATAGGAAACGATAGCCGTGAGGAAGAGTAGCATATCTCAAATCTCCGCATCCCTAGCCATCGTAGAGAAGCGGAAGAAAAAGACGACAAATCAGCTGGATCTTCAAAGCTATAGCAAAACCCATTCCCAATGAAATTCCACCCAGCGGCTGTGGTGTCAACCTCGAGCACCGATAGCTCCAACCGCCGCGCTGTCTCCACCCTCCACGACTGCCTTCGGCGACGCTTGGAGGATATATGTAGCTCCATGAAGCAGATGCGGCAGCTGGGTACCTCGAGAACGACATTCGAGGAGGCAAATCGAATTCCGGGTTCTTCAATTTCAGGTTTCTTCGATGGAGGAAGAGAGGGAGAAGCAAAAGGTGGAGTAGGCAGAAGAGAAGGATGAGAGAGGCGGAAAGGGTCAAGATCATGATCTGTTTTGGTTGGGTTGAGTGACCTAGCGAGTCGGGTTTGGTGATTGATGGGTTAAAAAAAGGTGAATCAGCACTTCAGTTAGCCACATAAGCAATTGACCGACGGTGTTAACGGAAACTAACGGAGAGTGACTAAACATGGACAGTTTTACTAATTCGAATGACCAATATTGATATTAAAATTTTTCAGTGACTAAACATGACACGTTTTAGTAATCCCAGTGATCAAACGTGACATTTACCCAAAGTAAAAGAGTTGTTGATTAGTTTATCGTTCAAGTAACATTCCACCTAAACTTAGTACTATGAAAACTTCACATTGCTTTTCTTGACATCTTTTGCAGAAATACTTTAAAGTTAGACGTCGTAGTTTCCACCTAGATGTTAGTTGGTGAGATTAGACCAAATAAGATATAGAAGTGGCAAGTATGAGAAGGAAGGTGGGCTGACCGCTTTGATGGAGAGAAAAAAAATCAAAAAAAGTCATGGGGTTTCTATCACGGCCTTACTATGTCATCTACCACATGTGACATTACCCTGAGAAGAGAAGAGAAAAGAAGCAATGAGAAGGAGAGAAAATAGGCAGATAGGGGCAACATCGATTTTGTGTTGCTGATCATTCTCATCCAATGAAGTTCTATAATATCAATCACCTAGGCAAACACCATGTTGATTATCTTTGTCTGCAATACTCTCTACGAAATTCCTTATAAAAACCACTATCTCATATTTTCACTTTGGGGCTCCAACACGGGTGTGCCAATATGAATCCTTCTTGTTAGGAACTCGACTTGGTTCACGATGAGGAGGTTATTATCAAGTCGTAGTAGCATGAGACGAGGCATAAATATTATTTTCAACTTGTCTCGCTCTGTCTTGTACTAATTTTGAACCATCCTACCTCAATTTCGCCTAATAATTATTTGTATTACTATTTATCATATTTTAGCATTTTACTGTAAGTTAATAATTATGTCCCTCTATTGTGTTTTTTTGCACTTTTATGTGCTTTATTATTGAAACATAACAAACATACTCTTCTATTAGTAACAGATGAGGAAGAAGTACAGATAGAAGAAGGATTGAAGGTTATACATGGAGCATTTCTTCCAAGGCGTTACTCTAGGAAGTTTCATTTATGATTTAGTAGCCAATGTATAAAGGTGAGTTTTAGTGTTGGTGGATTATGTGTTTGGAACAATAATTTTTATGTGAACCGTGCCAATCACCTTTGGACACGTGTATTAGACTATGTTTTTTTACTGTTTCTTGCTATAGAAAAGAAACCAAGTAAGATCAGCTTCGAGGTAAGGGTGTTCCAAATATTAGCAACCCTAAAAATCATGTTATTGTATCAGAGTGACAGGTCTAGGGTATTACCCAAACACCCAGCCATGGCAGAACCAAGTACTCCACCTAATCCTCAAATCACTGGAGGGGTAGGTGCTACAAACAACAACACCAACGATGGCTTCAATTTCATATTTGGGTCATTCCACCAAGACGAGACCAACAACTAGGTCATCTCTTTTGGTAAGCCATTCTATTTCAATCCTATTGAGAATATGGTAGAACCTATTGTACGAGAAGTGTCTGATAATGGCTTTACAACTCAAGAAGAAGTTAGGGTTTATTGATGGAACTATTTTAGTCCCGACTAGGACAAATGAAATATTTCATTTATTGGAAGGCTGTAACTGAATCGCTCAAACACAACTCCAAACAATGGTCCAGTATAACCAATGAAAAGGACTATAGTATAGTGACACAAGTAATAAATATAGAATCCACAGGTCTCTAGAGTACTATTACTCAGCTTCAGAATTACTTGAGGCTAAACTACTAATTACAGGTTGAGAACTCACTTAGGTACGATTCCCCCTAGTCAGCAGTTAGACCAAGTTGTAATTCACCCAATTCAATTCAGTTGACATTTACACTGCGGAAAGTTCTTGACAAGTCTGGAATCTCGACTAAAGTAATCCAGATCCTCTCAGTTTGAATACCCTGCAGGCGACTAACCTCCACCGGCGCGTAAACTAACCAAGGTAATAACACACCAAACTTCCACTACTGGTTCAATTCCAATACAGAGCATTGAATCGATTTCTCGACTAAAGCAATCTATCCACTACTTACAATTAAGGTTGCTCTATTAACCTATGCAGAGACTATCGTTCTAGGTTAAAGCATGAATCACAAAAATTTGATAAGGACTCAAGTAATTTTGAATCAACGCATCAACTGAATATAAAACATCAATCAATCATGAATTCAAGTTCATACAACCCTTCATAGCATACAAATCTAGGGTTCCTCAAAACCTAAGTGAAGGGAAGTTACTCCATAGAGAAGAGAGAGAATGCAGAAATCTGATCTAGATCTTCCATCTCCATCTCCAAGCTTGATTCCTGAGCTTCAATGGTGAAGAAATCCACCAAAATAGCTCCAAGAATGATCCCAAGGTTCTCTCTCTCTAGGGTTCGTCCCTTGGGTTTTGGGATCCAAAACCCAACTCTCCCTCTTCAACCCGCAAAAACGCATTTATACAGCTCCCAGAAGCCAAGTTACGGCCCCAAATAACGACCGTAACCTTTGGGGTTCAGGCTGTAATGTCTGGAATTTATTCTACCTCTCGTGGACTCAAGTTAAGGCCAAAATGGCAAAGTTACGGTCTAGACCTTAACTTTAAAGGTCAGCCCGTAACTTTAGAGAGGCTGTTGTTTCTCAGTTTTACTGTCTTCGATGTTTGGGTCCTTTCTCCCTCGTACGAACTCCGAATTAGACGTCGTTTGATCCCAGACACTTGTAGTCTTGTCATATTTATTTTCATGCATATATTACATGATACTTTATCCATAAATTGAGGTATAAATCCATTCTTCCTCATGCCATGCCCGAGTTTCTTCCCCCGAGTCGCCAATTGATCTCCGATTGACTTGAAACTTGTTCCTATACTTCACTTTACGTGCTAGGACCTGAAATGTGACAAAGGAACACAACCTAGCATAAAATATTTCAAATTATCATAAACACCAAGCTAAACAATCAAGAAATGAGGGGTAAAAACATGTGCAAATTCAGTGTTATCAAATTCTCACACACTTAACTGTTTGCTAGTCCCCAAACAAAACTGACTCAAACCAATGCAACTCTCTAGAAATTTAAAGCAACATGCAACCCCGATCGTTGGTAGAGGACTTCCTAGGTCATTTAGCAGCTTAGGAGATCAACCAGATTTCTAAGACATCCCCTATCTCTCTCAATGCGAGTACTAGACTCAAGCCAGGATCATACCATGTAGTTAACCTAGGACAAACAATTCATGGATGAAGAGACTACTTCAACACAACAACTAATGACTCCTCTTATTGGGTGCTCTTTCCATTTCATTTCATTCGTTGAAACCTCTTTTTCTTATTGTTTTTCTTTATTTTAAGTTTATTTTTGCATTCACACTTGCTGGGGTTCCAAGCTGCAGTTTGTACATTTGTCGCTGGCCAAAGTACTTCTTTTAACTCATTTTCCTTTATTCGTGCGGAGGGTCAATGAAATTAAGGGGGGCTGGAAGCTCTATTTGTTCCCTTAAAAACACATCTTTGAGTAGGCGATCCTTTCAACGGGTGGAATTCTTACTTGTACTAGAGACGCCTTAGCTTCACCTTGTAGGCTTACCCCACTAAGAATCACTAAAATCTCTTCCAAAACCCGATGTTGTGCAATGAATGGTGCCACACATGGTGGACTTACCCCATGCTTCGAATTGTCTACATGGAGGACCAACTGCTTCTAATTCAGCACAACTGAGCACCCTTTATGATACATGAGTCCAAAACACAAGAAGAGTCAACGATACCACATGAATCAAAGTTCCTAAAGCCACTAGTTCACGCAATCAACCGGCACAACAAAGAAAAAAAAATAAGAAAGATCTTATACTTCAACATCCTCCATAGTACTACAACTACCTCACTAAGTTGCATAGTACTATAAAGACTGTCAATTCAAAGCATACTTAGCAGACAATTGCAAAGAACATGCACTTGGAACCTTCAAATTTCTAATTTGGATAGTGGACAGGCTCCAAGCACACACATAAAACCAAACATTCACACACATATATAATGGAACACCCCCACACTTAAGCACGACATTACCCTCAATGGAGGAAAGATAAGGAGGGTAGAACGAAGTTACCAGATCAAGTGTGAATGATGGTGGACGAGGCAGGCGGTGCATTCCAGGAGAAGAGAGAGCATTCAGAACACAAACACCACACAAAATCTCACAAAGGTTGAGTTATTGACTCTAAAATAAAAGAACAAAACGGCTCAACTGAAGAGAAATTGGGAAAGAAATGCAAATCGACTGGTTGGGTTGCCTCCCAACAAGCGCTTCTTTCACGTCTTGAGCCGGATGGTGGCTCCTAAGTTTCGGTCCACCCTAAAACCTCCTTGTAGTTGAGGTTCTCATCGATGAGGTGGAGTCTCAAGTCACGAGTAGGTGGTATGACAGGTGATAAAAAAGCTCGGGCACTCGAGGAAGATGCAGTCTCCACATGCGAGACCACTCCCTCGTTTCTTCACTTGTCTCATTTCCCTAAAATAGATATGATAGCATCGATTGGTCACCATCACATCCACCAAGAGGGACCAATGATGATGTGGCCTTGCTCTGGCAAAGAGACATTGCAAATGGGTCATTGCCAATCAATTACTCGAAGTTTGGTGGCGATTTCACATGTAACTCATGCCCGGTGCAAGCCTCTTACGCCTCAACTTCGTCCTCAGCCTGGACGCCAATTTCATCTTCAACCCCCCCCCCCCCTCCATTCCTTAAAATTTGATTCTTCCCTTTGGAAAAGATCAAGAATCTCCTCATCCTGGCTTTCTTCCTCATCTTCCAAAACTTCTTCCCTCACCCTTTCTCTATCCTCTTCTTCCACCACGGATTGGAGAGCAAGTCGCCAAGCAATTTCTTCGATGAGATCATCTTGCATCTCCTTGCTCGGGCCAGCATGCAAGAGCAGAAATGGGGAAAGGTGTGATCGCCTACAATAGGACATTCCTGATCATGATTATCACGAGGGCTCTCTGTGAAAACTTATGTATGCTCCATAATGTCCTTTTAGCCTCCTTCATCCTCCTCCTCTTCTTCTATGGAATCAGAAATGGATCTTGTGCAAGCTGTGCACAAACTTGCTAAATCCCCTCTGTTTGCTTCGCTGAGTGCTGAACAGTCTCCTTCATTTCACGGAGAAAGGAATGGTCACGAGGACCAATGGATTGGATTAGGAGGTCCATCTTGGCAAGGATCTCTTAGTGTCTCGAACAATCTTCTCCACGAAAGTCTCAATTGTTTGTTCGTATCTACTAGTGGAGTGTAGCATGGCTATGCAGAATGGCCCGTGAAAGCCTCCATGGCTAACTCCAGCTCTGATGGCCCTTCTGGTTGTGGGAGGAATTTTTCTTGATAAGAAGATTATTCTTGAGGTTCCCAAGGGTCTGGTTGTTCTCTGTAGTAGGGGGGTTAGTACTAAAATCTGAATCCATAGTCTTCTCCTCTTTGATGCTCCAGGAAGTCTCGGGGGTAAACCGTTTGGGTGGTGATGGATACCCCCAACGGTTGGAGAAGCCATGAGGATCCATGATTCAGATCTGCACACAAAAAAAATACCCAAGTGAAAAGTAAGGGTGGAAAGAAATGAAAAATAAAGTTAAGTTAAATTAACAAACTTCTGCCTTTCCTAATAATCTAGAAAGCTCCCAGGCAACGGAATCAAAAACTTGACTCACTAAAACACAATTGCTAACAATGGCCAAGTGTAACCAATGAAAAGGACTGCAATATAGTGACACAAGTAATAAATATCAAATCCACGGGTCTCTAGAGTTACTATTACTCAGCTTCAGTTCATTATCTAGCAAACCGGATTAATGATTGATTTACTAAACTACTCTACATACTAAACTAAGGCTAAACTACTAATTACAGGTTGGCAACTCACTTAGGCATGATTTCACCTACTTTGCAGTTAGGCCAAATTGTAATTCATCCAATTCAATTCATTTGAGATTTACACTGCGAAAAATTCTTGACAAGTCTAGAATCTCGACTAAAGTAATCCAGACCCTCTTAGTTTGAATACCCGGCGAGCGACTAACCTCCACCGACGTAAACTAACCAAGGCAATAACACACCAAACTTCCACTACTCTTCAATTCTAGTATAGAGCAGTGAATTGATTTATCGACTAAAGCAATCGATCCACTACTTTCAATTAAGGTTGCTCTATTAACCTATGCAGAGACTATCATTTAGAAAGTAGGAATCACAAAAGTTTGATCAGGATTCAAGTAATTTTGAACCAATGCCTCAACTGAATATAAAATGTCAATCAATCATGAATTCAAGTTCATACAACTCTTCATATCATACAAAACCTAAGTGAAGGGAAGTTACTCCATAGAGAAGAGAGAGAATGCATAAATCTAATCTAGATTTTCAATCTCCATCTCCAACCTTGATTCCTGAGCTTCAATGGTGAAGAAATCCTTCAAAATAGCTCAAAGAATGATCGCAAGGTGCTCTCACTCTCTAGGGTCGTCCCTTGGATGTTTGGGATCCAAAACCCAGCTCTACCTCTACGTGAGTCAGTTGTTGCCAAGAAGTCTCTGGACATGTCACCACGTCATCCTATATCAACATGGATGGTATCATTCATATAGTACTTTGGATGATATCCATGATATGAGATGATCACCATCCAATTAGTATTTTGGATGGTGTCCCTAATGTGGGATGGTACCATCCAATTGGTACTTTGGATGGTGTCCATGACATGGGATGGTACCATCCCATTAGTCCTTTGGATGGTGTACCTAATGTGTTATGGTATCATCCAATTGGTAATTTGGATGGTGTCCACAATATGGGATGATATCATCCAATTAGGGTTGGATAGTATACATGATGTAGGATGATCACCATTCACTAAGAGGTTGGATGGTATCCACTAATATCGGATGAAACCATCCACTTAGAGGTTGGATGATATCCATAATGTGGGATGGTCACCATCCACTAAGAGGTTGGATGATGTCCACTATATAGGATGGTACCAACCATTTAGAGGTCGGAGGTTGGATGATATCCATAATGTGGGATGCTACCATCCACTTTGAGGTTGAATGGGTGCCCTGAGACTAAACACATGGTGATCAAGTACCCAATGATCACTCAATTAGTATTTCAAGGGGGGAAATATTTTGGCGTAAACACCAATCAATATGAAATATAACATGAACTAGAATAAACCGGTTGTACTTGTACCACCAGATAAACCATATCATTTGCCAAAGTATAAGCCTGTCCGACAACCTTGCTCATATGATACTTGCAATAGGCCTGAGTATGGGCCTAACATCTGACTGATCCGACTTGAGCCCAGCTCATAATCACTTGTTACAAATAGTATAGCACACTACTACTGACACTAGTACATTACGAGCCTTGTCAATTTATTTAAAAAATTAATTAAATTCCGTTATTACTCATCAGTCATCACATCACGCGCTGATAAAGAATTAATAAATATACTTAAAAGGAAATAGTCATTAAAATTTTGTCAATCACCGAATCACGTCTTCTCGCTTTCGGAGGGCGAGATGGGGCCCACAAAATGATTTGATACATTTCTTTGGTTTTGTGCCCACTCATTCGCTTTCTCCATCGTTTGCCACCGTCCCTCCCCGCACGTCCGTCGCAAGGGAAGAACTAAGAAGCTCTCCTTTCTTCTTCTTCTTCTTCTTCTTCTTCTTCTTCTCCAATCTCCCCCTTCTCCCTGTCCAATCCTTCCACTTTCTTCGATTCCTCTCTCTCTCTCTCTCTATATATATATCTTTCTTGCAACCTCCGCCGCTTGTTTCTCTTTCATCTCGAACATCGGCGAGCGAGCCGGCGACGGTCAGAGCGTTGTTCGCCGGAGATAATGGGCGTGGATTACTACAACATACTCAAGGTCAACCGGAACGCGAGCGATGACGACCTCAAGAAGGCCTACAAGCGACTCGCCATGATTTGGCACCCGGACAAGAACCCCACCACCAAGAGAGCCGAGGCGGAGGCCAAGTTCAAGCAGATTTCCGAGGCCTACGACGTCCTCAGCGACCCTCAGAAGCGCCAGATCTACGATTTGTACGGCGAGGAAGCTCTGAAATCAGGGCTTTTCCCCCAGCCTGCCCCGGCCTCTTCTTCCGCTCCTTCCACCTCCGCCCCAGCCAATCGCCATTATTATCAGCGCCAGCACCCCAATCCTGCCTTCAGGTTTAAGCCCAGGGACGCCGCCGATATTTACGAGGAGCTGTTCGGTCACGAGGCCGGCGGTGCCGCAGCGAATGGGGCTGGAGGTGGAGCGGCGGGAGGAGGGAGAGGGTTTTTTAGGACTAATACTCATTATCATGGAAATGGAGGAGAGATGAGGAAAGCGGCCCCCATTGAGAATTTGTTGGCATGTAGCTTGGAGGAGCTTTACAAAGGTGTAAAGAAGAAGATGAAGATTTCTAGAAATGTCTTCGATGCTGCTTCTGGGTACGTATTTCATCGGTTCTCTAGTTTCTTGAGTGATCGCATCTATGCCCTTGGGGGATTTTGCATTGCATTGTTTGTGTTGTATATAAATAAAGATTAGTTGTTGGCTTAGATTGAATGGGATGTGCTGGGATTAGAGAAATGATCGTGGAGTGAATTACTCTATTGAGAGGATTTACTGTTAAGAAGATGTTTCCCCTAAATAAACCATTCTTGGAGGAGTTATTTAGTCGGGTAAAGCACTTGTGAACAGGTGGGCCTATGTAGTGTACATGGCTGGAAAGGCTTAGGTTGGGAGAATATTCATTCAAAGTTACAGAATTTGAGAGGGATTGTTGGTGGGATGTCAAGATTGTGCAACGTGTTCTGAGTGTTGCTCTTGGACTCACGTTTGAATCTGGAACTGTAATATTACTACTACTTGGAAGGTTCAATACATCAGAACAGCTACCAAGATCAATTGACTTGGGACTAGTTGCCTGATCTACCCTTCGTTTCTGCTTACTTGATTGCAGGCCTCCCTGTGATTAGCTGAATTCTAACTTTTTTTTTGTTTCAAGTATTTTCAATAGGAACTTTGGATAGAGTATGTTGCTGTACTTAGTGCATCTATCCCTGTCTGAAAACAAGTCTTATGGTGACCTAGAAGCTGATGGCAGCATGAGTTCTCTCTCGAATCTGAAAACTCCTTTATCAGCATTTCATCACCTTTTTTGTTGTGCTGTATGCAATGTGGTTTCTCTTAGTTCTGTAGCTTATAAACTAGTCTGTGAATGAGGAAGCTAAATGCAGAATACAGGACAGGTTTAGTGTGGCAATGTCTTACTACAGGCAATTTCTTACTATAACTGTGGTGAAAAGTTCATCACTGCAAATGAAATTGTGGCTTGTCAGTACCGGGCTGCCTCTCAAATTTCATGTGTGCCTATCTGATTCACTCAGGGTTGATGTTTATAGTTTCTCTGCCGTTGATTATTTTGTTGAATATGTAATATGCCAACAGTTTTGAGCATGATTTTGTTAGTCACTTGTGCTTGGCTTCTAGAGGCTAAAAGCTGCAGCAGCATCTGCTGTGTAGTGGAAAGTTTTAGTTCTGTTTAGTACTTTAGCAAATGCGGTGTGCATTAGTTTCATAAGGTCTTTTCTGAAATTAAGTACTGGGTCCCCTCTGTTTCAAACGTTACTTCTTTTCTGGTTCTTACTTTTTCCCAGTTTGACTTCATCATGAACCGGTTCTCCTTGCAGAAAGGTTCGCCCTGTTGAAGAGATACTGACAATCGAGATAAAACCCGGTTGGAAGAAAGGTACAAAAATCACATTCCCTGAGAAAGGCAACCAAGAGCCTGGCATTGTCCCTGCTGACGTGATTTTTGTGGTGGATGAGAAACCACATCCGATATTTAAAAGAGATGGCAACGATCTGGTGATCAACCATGAGATTACCCTTCTTGAGGCCCTCACCGGTGGAACCTTGGACCTGGTTACACTGGATGGCAGAAACCTTATGATCTCGCTCACCGATATAGTCAAACCTGGCGCTGAAGTGGTCGTCCCAAATGAAGGAATGCCTATCTCGAAGGAAGCAGGCAAGAGAGGGAATTTGAGGATCAAGATGGATGTGAATTACCCATCAAGGCTTACTGCAGAACAAAAATCTGAGCTGAGAAGAGTTCTGGGGGGAGTTCCGTAGTCTTCAATCGGGAGAAGGTCAGATAACAGCTAAGAATTTGGGATGTACATATAGTCGAGGTATGTCAGGTTAGGATATAAAGTCTAGGGAATGGTTGAGTGGGATGTTTGGGGAAAATGTTGTCCTGGTAATGGCTAACTCAAGTTAACTGCTAGGATGAGCAAATGTCAGGCTGACATTTGCTGGTTGGTGTCACTAGCATATGATTTTGGATAGTGGATACAACGCTCCACCGGGTTTACTTCTACCACAGCCACCGGTGATGGTTTGTGAATGGATTGTTTGAGTTTTGAAGATTTAGAATCGAATTGATCACTGTTGGTGTTGATGTTCTTATACGGGCAAGTGTTCGATTGACGCTTGGATCATGTGGACTGGAGTACATTTCCCCTGATCATAGTTTGTTTTTAATTTCATGCCCTTTTGGAGCTGTGAGATTGCACTTGCTTACCTTATGCTCAGCATCTGTGTTGGCTTGTAAAGATGGCATACGTTGGTTAATTGAATCAGCCTTGGTTGCCTTTCAAAGTTGGCAGAGCTGTTGTGTTTAACATGCTCTTGACTCTTGAGGGAAAATCGTTGACGTAGTGTAAGAAAGAGGGACCGGTTATTGTAACAACACCCATTGTGTTGTTATTGTAACAACACTAGTCCTCAACTAATAGGAAGCTAGGGATGTGATGACTTTTTATTAGTTGAGTTGACCTAGTGTAAAATCAAAACAGGGGTATAATTGTCATTAAGAAAGAGGGACCGGTTATTGTAACAACACCCATTGTGTTGTTATTGTAACAACACTAGTCCCCAACCAATAGGAAGCTAGGGATGTGATGACTTTTTATTAGTTGAGTTGACCTAGTGTAAAATCAAAACAGGGGTATAATTGTCATTATGAAAAATATGTTTAAATAATAAAAAATTAAAAATTAAAAAAAAATTATTTTCTGCCCAAAAATTGGGTCGCCGGAATTCTGCCACCGGTCGCCGGTAAATGGTCGCGGTCACCGGAATATGCTTTTGGTCGCCGGAATATGCTATTTTGTGGCCGGAATATGCTTACCGGAGTCGGAATATGCTTACCGGCGTCGGAATCTAGTCCTCGGGACCGGAATATGCCTATCGGCGTCGGAATCTGCTCACTAACGGTCACCGGAGTTCGGTCAACGGTCTTCGTTGACCGGTCAACGGTCAACGACCACCGGATGTTATGGTTAGCATTGTGAGATTTATGGTTTGGTTTCTCATATTTTTTATGCCTTTTATGGTTTGTTTTATTGTGTTTGTGGTTTGCATTGAGAAGTTTCTGGTTTGCTTGATCGTGTTTGTGGTTTGCATTGAGAAGTTTTTGGTTTGTTTTCAAAAATTTTGTGGTTTGCATTGAGGGGTTTCTGGTTTGTTTTAATATATTTGTGGTCTGCATTAGGACGTTTATGATCTGTTTTCAAAAATTTTGTGGTTTGCATTGTGAGGTTTTGGGTTTATTTTAATATATTTGTGGTTTGCATTCGAAGGTTTCTGGTTTGTTTTTTTGTGGTTTGCTTTTTTGTGTTTGTGGTTTGCATTAGGGTGTTTTTGGTGTGCTTTTCAAAATATTTATGGTTTGCTTTGTGAGATTTCTGGTTTGTTTTAGGAGGCTTGTGGTTTGCTTTAGAAGGTTTCTGGGATGCTTTTATGTGGTTTGTTTTATCACATTTGTGGTTTGCATTATGAGGTTTTTTGTGTGTTTTAGAAATAGTTGTGGTTTGCTTTGTGGGGTTTGTGGTTTGTTTTAATATATTTGTGGTTTGTATTACAAGGTTTCTGGTTTGCTTTTGTGGTTTGTTTTACCGTGCTTGTGGTTTGCATTAGGAAGTTTCTGGTGTGCTTTCGCAAATGTTGTGGTTTGCTTTGTGGGGTTTGCGGTTTGTTTTAGAGGATTTGTGGTCTCCATTAAGAGGTTTCTGGTTTGCTTTTTTGTGGTTTTTTATCACATGTGTGGCGAATTTCGCTAAGTCCTGTGTTAAGAGGTTTCTGGTTTGCTTTTTTGTGGTTTTTTATCACATGTGTGGCGAATTTCGCTAAGTCCTGTGTTCGCTCGAGCATAGCAGTATTAGGGTGTGTTAATAATAAATTTTAAATACATTCAACCACCATTGTCTTATTCAATTCCTCAGGGAAAGACATTAGTCATATAATATTTAGGTGATTAAATAATAAATACAAGTCTGATCTTCGCAACAATTCATAAAAAATGTCGTCAATCAAAACATACAAAATATTAATTTTCCAAAGCCAGGTTCAGGTTAGCCGAGTACAAAGCGAAGCCCACCAGACCAGCAAAGCAAAAAAGCAGCACAGCGAAAGCCTTTAACTCGTCGCCTTTGGCTCTTTCGTATCTCCGTCACCTCCAAGAACAAGAACAACCATGGGGAACTGCCTGACCTCATGGTTCTCTTGCTTCCACTCTTCCGACATCACCCTGGAAGGACGTGGTTGCGATCTGGTTCACTCTGGAAGGACGTGGTTCAGGGTATCGGGGCCGCAACTGGTTAATTTGGAGTAAGGATGACGGCAGCGGCAGGGGCAGCGATGAGCAACATCGTCAATCGGAGGTCGGAAGGAGATAACAATGGAGGAGAGAGAAAAAAACGAACTAGATCTGAATGGAAGAGAGAATGAGACGGATGAGAGAGAATGAAAAGTGATAAATGAGAAGTTTGACCGGAATTCAAATTCTTGTCCATAATTATCTTTCTGCTCATTTAATATATTATTATCTAATAATTAATTGTATTTTACCTTTGTATCCTTAATGAAGTCTTTTGTTAGTATAACAACACTAAAGGTGTTGTCATTCTATCTAAACCCTAAGAAAGACGAGTGACGGGAGGGAGAATCCAATCGAGGAGGCTATGCAAGGACAGATCCCTCATATCTATAATTGAACGTTTAATCCGTTTACATTGCACACAGCGAGGAAGGTGTCTGATGTCTAACATTCAGCCGCACTCGAGGAATCATTTGGGGGGGGGGGGGGGGGGGGGGGGTGTGGCACTACGAGCCGCCACTTCTTTCTCGATCCTGTGGTCTCTGTCCCAACTAGAGACATCGTCTCCTCTTTCACCGCCGCCGCAAAATTGCTTCTTCTTCGCGGTCGTCGTTGAGATTTTTTCAACATCATTCTTTCTGTCTTCTTCGTAGTTTTTCTGCGACTTCACCTAGCTTTTGAGGCCTTTTTCTTAAGTCTAGCGATTGAGTATCTGAATCGGCAATTTGGGAAGTAAGGTGTTCTTCTCGAGTCATCCTGTTAAGTGACCACGTTAAAGGGATGGACAGAAGTAGATCTTTCGTGCATTTCAAAAGTTGTGTCCGTACGTCTTGTCGTACATACTATTAAGTGACAGCATTAAAAGAATGGACGGAAATAACTATTTTGTATATTTTGAAAGTTATGGTTATAAGTAGAGGTGACAATTGGATCGGATTCGTGGATTCCTGGATTGGATTGGTGGATCCATGGATCAAAATGGATTGGTGGATTCATGGATTGGATCAAATGGATTGGTGGATTGATCCATGAATCCAAATGACATCAAAGGCTTGGACCAAAATGTAAAATTTGAAAAGTTTTGGTACTAAAATGTCATAATGAAATATTTTAGGTACCAAAAATGTAATTTTCCAATGATATTTTTTGTATAAAAATATAAATTTTAGGTACCAAAATGTAAAATATAAAAAATATAGGTACCAAATCGTAATTTATCATTTGGATCAAATGGATTTTATTTAAATGGATTGGATTAGGTGGATAATTTGGTGGATGGATTGGATTGGGTTCATGGATTTGGATCCAAATTGCCACCTCTAGTAGGGGTGGGCAAACGGTTCGGTAAACCCGAACCGAAACCAAATTAAACGAACCGAAACCGAATTAATGCTATTCGGTTCGGAATTCGGAAGGAAAATATGGAGAGTTCGGAAATCAGGGCTCTTTCAACCGAACTGAATTTCCGACCGGAAAACCGAAATACTATAATTGCAAGTTCCAAATGATGGATTTTTATGTTTGTAGTTGTTTTTAGACTTAAATATTTGAAATGTTTTAAGACTTATCTGTTGAAACATTTGGTTTTATCATTGATGATGCATATAATTGATATTTATTGTTTATATTAAGGTTGAAAAATAATTTAAAAGTGGGAAAATACAAGTACCTTCACAAATTCGATTTTGTGTGAAAAACCGAACCGAATTATAATTCAGTTCGAATTCGGTTTGAGGTTTGGGAGAATTCGGGGACCCGGTATTCAAAATTTTGGTTCGGTCAAAACCGAACCGACCGAATGCCCACCCCTAACCTCTAGTTATAAGTGTTACAACAAAGTTGTGACTATAAAAGTGTATTTTGCCTTATTTTTATTTTGTTTAAGCAGAGGATAAACAAATTTCTCCCGCATGGTTATCATGCCGCCCGGTTGGACTTGGTTCAACCGGTGCCAGTCATAAAACTGACATAAACACCACCGTTATGACCAATATGATCGATTGACGAACTCTAAGTAAAATGATACCGTTTTAGTAAATTTGACTGATAACAAATGAATTTATTATATGTGTTTTGAATATAAAAGTTGATAGCAAATGAATTTATTATATGTGTTTTGAATATAAAACTTAAAAGTTTATATAATTTGTTGGATTCATGTATAAAAATTTAGATATTGAAATTAAGTGTTGTATTTAAATATGAGTATTTGCTATTTTATTTAGAATATCATATTTTATTAAGGCGGCATGAACAGGCACAAACCGATTGTACCACTCGTCGTAACATTCCACTTACTAAACCGGCCACACAGTATAAACTGTTTTGACAACCTCCCTCCCGTTTTTCATTCTCTGTTTTCATTCCCCTCTTATCCCTCTGGCTTATTGTTTATTTTGGGTAGGTATCATAAATGGTCACGAACCTATTCACTTTGTACAAAACGGTCACAATCCTTTAATTTTGCATGTTTCGGTAAAAAAAAATTTGAGCAAATAACGAAATGGTCAATCCGTCCAATTTCGTCGAAAACTCCGTCCCAGATCGCCATGTCAGTGTAAATAATAATTAAAAAATGTGCTAGTCAGCCAACTTAACCTGAGACTCCAACCTATTCAAACACCCTTTACCCATCACTTTCCCGGATCGTATTGGAAGGCCTAAGGAGATAGAACGTCGCCACTATTGGGAGAGTGATTCGGCGCTGGTGCCAAATCATCCTCGCCGGCGCCAACGATCGTCCATCTTCTATAATCCTCGACGTGCGGGAGCAATTAAAAGATAGGTCGCCATCGCTCGAAATCGCCAGCCAAACTCTAGAGACATCGACAGAAAGTAAGGTCGTCGTCGCCAAGTCCTCCGTGTCGGCGCCAACAATCGTCCATTTCCTATCATCCTCGACGTGCGGGGGAGATTCCTCATCTGGTAGGCCCTTCTCCTGTCATCCTAACCGAAATTCCTAGAAAGCCGGTCTTGTGCATGCGTGTTGGAATGCACTGCGAACAATGGATGAGTGGAAGCTGTGTTCGGCCCGGATTTTCCATCTGAAGCCCGATTATGGTAAGAATTCTCACTATTCAGAATAATTTTTAGGGTTTAGAACATGTGGGCTGAGGTTTTTGTTGCTATAAAAGAATTGATTATATTGTCGGGTTGTGTTAGGGAAAGTACCTGGTCCCATTATCCTATTCGTTTTTCCTGGATTGAAAGTAGCTGGTCCCATTATTACTATTCTGATTTTTGTGGATTCAAAGCAGCTGGTCCCTAATTCTTTATTCGAATTAGTGGGCACAATCTAATAGATTTCATTGCTATTTATAGAAAATTTGGAGCTTTTCACCATTGAGATTCACAGCATGGGGCAGTTTGGCGACACGGGCTACACTAATGGGAAGACTAATTACATTGACTTTGTCGATGTTGACAAATTGTCAATGTTGGAAATTAAAGAGATGGCCAGAACAACATAAGTGGAGCAGGCAATGTAGTTCTTTTGGTTGATGCCTGGTGTGGATGTGCATAATGGATTGAAGCTCTTGGTGAGTGATAATGATGTTCTGGAGATGGGCGGACATGTTCCTAAAGACAGGGTTATCCATCTGTATGTTAAGCATACAAATTCCAGTTGTGGCAGCCCAAACACGACTCATTTTGTTCACACTAGCAGTGAAAGGGAGGTGTAAGAAATTAGATAGCCGTCGATTTCAGTTTAAAGGGGACGAGAACATACATTTAGGGAGGGAAGACAAGGTATAGATTCTACAGGATCATCCCATAAAGAGCACCCAACTGCAACTAACGTCAATGGAGGAGTTCTAGATGAAGATATCCTCGAGAGAGACTACTTGTATGCAAGTGAAGGTGAGTTATTGGAGAAGACTGGATGGGGAAGCGAAGAATAAGAGGATGTGTTCAACCTAAACACTACTTTTCCTGAGTTTAGGGATGAGAGGGATATGGAGATGCTCGAGTTGAAGATTGGTCACTTATTTGGATCCTTTGACGAGTTCAAAACTACTTGCAAATCACACGCTATTGTGCAAAGGAGAGATGTGAAGTTTCCCACCAATGACAAGAAGCGTTGCATCTGTGTGTGCTCACAACTCACAGGATTGCGGGTTCAAAATGTATGCTGCAAAGCTAAGAGATAGTGACACTGTGCAAATCAGGACTGGAAATCTGGAGCATACTTGTAGAGTTGATGAAGACTTACGAGCTGCGGCACCATCATTCATTGCCAAGAAGTACCTAACTTGATTTAAGGCGGATCCATCGTGGTCAATACCGAATCTCGTGCACACTCTGATAACATATTTGAGTTTGAAGATCAAACGAATGAATGCCTACAAAACCAAGCAGTTGGCTTTAAAATTGGTTCATGGCGAGGATAGTCTCCAGTTTGGGAAGCTTTATGCTTACAAGAAGGAGTTGGAGGTAAGAAATCCTAGCACTATAGTGGTTATTGAACATGCTGAGAATGTTGTCCAGAGTATCTACATATGTTTGGATCGAATCAAAGAAGGGTTCAAAGTTGGATGCCGGAGGTTGGTTGGTGTGGACGGGTGCTTTCTCAAAGCCATGCCTGGATGGCAGCTTCTTTCTGCTGTTGGTATCGATGGTGATGACTGCATGTATCCAATTGCATGGGCAATAGTAGAGAAAGAATGTCATGATACATGGGAATGACTCATGGCACATTTGGGAGATGACTTGGGGATAGACGACTCACAAAATTGAAATTTCATGTCCGATAGGCAAAAGGTAAGTTTGTGTCTAACTTTTGCTGGTCTTACCAATGTTGTAAAGTTGTGATGAAGATACTGAAAGTGGAAGAACATAATCCCTCATTGTTGCCAGAACCCAAAAGGAACAGAGGAAACCTGATACAATGTAGGGTTTTTTTAAAGTTCCTTTTGACAAGGGGAAGAAGGAGTAGATATGAAGTCACATCTAAGTCGGCCTCTCTATTTATAATGGCATGTTGTTTTAGATATGCAAGCTTTCATGCACAGTATGTGTTCATGGTTGTTGTTTCTATTGTTTGTATCCATTAATAGGATTAAGAAAGAGCCAACGGGCGGCTGCTTAAGATTTTTAAGTATTGTCTTAGTATATGATTTTTCAGTTTAGGTAGTCATAATCTCCCTTTCATGTGAGTTTGACTTGGATATTCATTGGTTGAAAACTCATCACAAAGAGTAGTGGGGTGTGTAGCAGCATCGGTCATAACATTTTATGGTCTCTAAAATGAAATAGAACTTGGGAAATGCTGCTACATAATAGAACCAGAATACAATGCAACTTTGATATGCAATACTTGCTTTGTTTTCGTTTATATGTGATCTAGATGAACATCTTGCTTTGAACTTACTGTATAATGTGATATGTGATATCTGTTTTGTTTTTTGGATGCTAGGGTTTTATGAACGTGATGAACTCGATGTACCCAAACGTCAAGCATCGTTACTGTGTCCGCCATGTGTTCGTGAACTTTAGTGTCAAGTTCACTAGGTCCAAGAGGCGCATGGACCTTTTCTACAGTGTCGCCGGTTCTACTTATAGGGCACAATATTTGGCAGTCATGGAGGAGATAGAGACGCCTGGGGAAAACTACAAGGTTGGTGATCAAACACCGCATCAATGGCTAATGGAACGAAATAGAACTCAGTGGTGCAAGGCATTCTATAGAACAAACAACAAATGTGACATGGGAGTTAACAACCACTGTGAAAGCTTCAACAAGTATATTATGTCGTCGAGAGACATGTCAATCCTCTCTTGCTTGGAGGACATATTTGGCAAAGTAATGAGAGTTGTTGTAAAAAAGAGGCTGATGCAGCGTCAAGAAGAGAAAGGATTTCGTATCTGCCCAAAGCCGATATAGGATATGATAATGTACAAGGAGTGGGAACATGGAATATCAGGTGCAATCACATAGAGGCAGATATATTGGGGATATGAGGAATAAAACATGTGCTTGTGGTAGTTGGCAGCTGAATGACATCCCTTGTCAACATGCCATTGCATGCATGAAGTTGAACAACGATCCTCCAGAGCGGTATATGGATGACTGTTACCGTGTCGACACATGCAAGAAAGCATACTCTTTTGTTGTCCGCCCTCTCAATGATTTAAGTCAATGGATTCATGATGACTGCATTGAGCTTGAATCGCTAATATTTAAAGAGAAGAAGATGGGTCCTAGACAGAAAAAGGCGTAAGGAAGCATGGGAGGTGGAGAAAGCAAAGAAAGATAAGCGGGGAAGAGCATACAAAGCCATGTGAAAGGGTGGAAGCGAGATGACATGCACAGTATGCCACGAGAGAGGCCACAATAGCCGATTCCACAACAAGGTGAGAATCTGCCCATGTTTTCTTTAACATTAATCCTCTAAAATATGTTTATGGTTAATGGAAATGATGCTACCATCTTGACATCGTTATATTTTTACCAGAATTCTAGCGATGATGAAGCAGCAAATCCATCGACAATATCTCCTCAACACATGGCAGCCTCTCCTTCGCACAAGGGATGCTCTCCAGTAGGTGCATCTCTTCTAGATGGTGAGTGTGCCGAGGGCTCAACCTTCATGCCTACTCTAGTATTTGTACCACCATCTGAGAACCCGCCTAGGATGAAGGTCACAGTTTGAAGGGGTCGTGGTAACACTGGTAGGGGTGTGGCAGGCATAACCAGTAGTTGAAGAACCAGCAGACATGGAACTTTTTTAGGAGCTGATTCAATCAACTTTTGTGAACACCTTTTTTGTGACATGTCGATTGCTTGTTGAAACTTTCATGATAAGCCAACCCATGTCAAGTAGGATCTAATTAGTTTGGTGAATGTAATCTACAATATGGATGTTTAAAGATGCAGGTTTGATGTTTTATGTTCAGGTTTTAACGTCAATTACAGGTCTCTATTGTTAAGTCACTCTTACTGCAGTCTCTCTATGTGACCATTTTGTTACAGTGACCAAATGATTATGACCATTTTGTAACAATGACGAAATCATTGTGACCATTCTGTCTATTATTGATTAGTTTTTGGACCATGTTGTTATCGTCAATAAAGCTATATGATTATAAAAGATAATGTTGCAAACTTAGTTCGAACAAAACAGAAACATAATTACAGGAGGATTTCATGTTCTACCCTACACATATATACCAATAACGATTCCTACAATCACACAAACAAGACTAATTGTCCGTGAAAACATATATTCACTTTTGTTGCCCCTTCTAGATTGTTCATCGTTGCGTGCCGTCGATGAAAAAGAATTTGTCTCATTCAGCATGCTCTCTTCCCTTGATCTTCTTTCCATGTTCTTAACCTTCTTCAACAACCCATTTATGACAGCTCTGGCCCCATCTTCAACTGAAGGGTCGACCCATTCAAAGAAATAACAGTGGTGGGATAATTTCTTCACAAAATGAAATAGAAGAGAATGGTTACCAAATCTTCTTATGGTGAACACAGAAATCAGAATCAAATTCAAAATCCTTACCAAGTAATTTCTCTTACAGTAGAGGAACCTTCTACCCGAATTATCTTCCGTTCATGATGTTAGCAAAACAACTCTGTCTTGACACTTGCAAGTAAGCAGGGAAGCCATTTCGACATGAGTTTTCTTTTCCTTATGCTGGTTTTGGATTTGGGATTTTAGGGTTTCTTCATTCAAAGGAAGGGGGAAGGGGGAAGGAGGAAACAAAGGATGATTAATTAAGGTGAATGGTAAGGTTTCTATTCTTATAGGGGTGCGTATCAGGCCATGAGGTGATGGGTAAAGGGTGTTTGAACCGATTGGAGTCTCGGATTAAGTGGGCTGACTAACACATTTTTTAATTATTATTTACACTGGCGTGGCGATCTGGGATATAGTTTTGGACGGAATCAGACGGATTGACCATTTCGTTATTTGCTCAAACCTTTTTTACCAAAACGTGCAAAATTAAAGAATTATAACCATTTTGTACAAAGTGAATAGTAGGGGTGAACAAACACACCCGCAAACCGATCCACCCGTCCAACCCGACCCAACCCACCCGTATTATCGCTAATTCGACGGTTTTAGGTTGGGTGAGGGTTTTCTTTTGTACAACCCGCCTCTTTTAGGTTGGGTTTGAATTTTGGATTACACAACTCGTAGAACCCAACCCAACCCGTGTTCCAATTATTGGTATGAGTTCGTATCCAAAAAAATATTTATGTCGTATATAGTCATACTTATGAGAAAATTAAGATATTCGCCATGTTTTTCTCTTAAAGTCTCACTAATCTAATGCATTCTTCGACTTAAAGTTTAGACATATATTTAACATAGCTATGATTCACGTAAATTTTTTTTTCTTGTGTACAATTTTAAAAGAATATCATATTATGGATGTGTTTATTTGTAACCTTTTTAGCCTATTTCAACAAATATCGTGAAAAAAACTAGACATAAGTTGAAGTAAATCAAGTTTTATTAAAATTCAAACAATATTTGTGAATTTTGATACCTTTCACCTCGGTTTATTTGTTTGAATTTTTAATTTGTTATAAAATATTTTTATGATGTAGAATAATTACATATTTTGTGTTGGGTTGGGTTTTTACTTAAAAATATCGTCAACCCGACCCAACCCAATTAGAAACAAACCGTAGGGTTTAGATTTTTTTGGGTGGGTTTGGATTTAATATTTCCCAAACCGTAGTGTATGGATCGGGTGATTAAAATGTCTAAACCCGGACCACCCGACCCATGAATAGGTTTGTGATATTTAGGATAAGTTACGTTTATTTCGTTTAGATAGTAGCGAACCTAAACAGCTGAACCCAAAAAAAAAGAAAAAAAAAAAAGGAAAAAAGAATTTAACAGGCATTTCGGCCGCCGAGCACGTCCTCCTGTAGTCCCAGACTCCCATCCTTAACCTTAGCCGTCAGCCACACTCGTCTTACTCTGACCGCAACACGAGCTCCTTCTCTCTACTCTGAAGAAACTTGAATTACATTACCTGCTACTACGCTCGATTATCAGAGGGGCCGCTCGATCATTGCTACCTATGACGCCAACGGATTGGTACGCTTCTTGCTCTTTCTCTGTTCTCTGCCCTTTTGCTTAGCAACTACCTTAGTTTCTGCTCTGCCCATGGCAGTTTTAAGGAATTGGGTGTTCATGGAAGTCAGCGAAATCAGAGTTCGGTTCCATATTGTGCCCATATCTTTTATTATAAATACTATTTCCCGCTTTTAGTTTATATCTTGACAAAGTTTCGAGCTTTCATGCCTGTCTAGAGTTTACCGAGTTACATTGTCGTTGCAACAACTTCTGCTTGTCCTATCTAGTCTTGATGACTGCTAACAGCTATGTATTGTGATGCTGGGTGACAAGATTTACATAGGAATGACCGAATGTGTGTTATCTGCTTTCTTTTTATGGTAAAATCCGGTACCTGAATGCAAGTATATTGGTCTCTTAAATCCTGTAACTCCTAATTTGAAGTAGGAAGATCTTAAAATTTAGGCGAAGAGATTGGCTATCAATTGAGTACCTTGATTGGCTCAAGTAACTGGAAAAAAATAGAACATCTCATTTAACTAATTTAATGATGGATGCAACCTCTCTAATCTCTATCCCCTCTAAGTCCTTGCTTTTGGACTAGATACTTTGCACGATGGACCTTTCCGTTCTCGGCATATGCTTGTTGCGGAATCCTCTCACAAGATTCAGCAATTCCAGCCATGTCAGATTTCTAGTGTTAAAATGACAAATTTTGACAGTAATCAATATCATATCCACCTGAGATACGTGAAGATAAAATAAGCTTTATCATGATTCATGATAGAGAAGCTTTATCGTTATTCATGATAGAGAAGCTTCTTGATAAAGCTTTGTTACCTTCACATGTGACAGATGGATTTTGGCTGAGAATTCATCCCTGTCTCACTTCGACATTTTAGTGCTAGGAACTTTGAAATGGTAATACCATACCGTGGATACTGGCATCGCAGGGTCTAGTGAAATTATTTTGCCACAAGCACATTCCGAACAAGGCAGTCAGCTTAGACAATGAGAATGATGAGGTTCATCCCACAAAGTATCTATTTCATAAGCAAGAACTTAGCGGGGATGAAGAGTGCTCTCTAGAGTCACGTGATTGTTGAAAAAGGGTGTTCTGGTTATTCAGTTACCAGGGTACTTGCTTTGAAAATTATTAGATAGCCAACTTCTTGGCCTGAAGTGATATTAGACCTGTTGTTCCATGATGCCTCAAGAGTTTGCATAATTATGATTGACTGGTTGTATGGTGATGACAATTCGAGAAAGCATCATTCATACTATATAGGTTTCTGAGGTTCTGCTCATCAAGCTTCAGCCTTCGTGAAGTAGAACTAAGTGGTGCTCGTATTTGCCTTCTTTAGCAGAGTTATACCATAGTGTGTGTTCGCCAAACACGAAGTTTGTCTTTAGTAACATAGTCAGTTCTCAGCAGCACACTGGCTTTTTGTCTGATTGATGTTTGTATGGATAGCTATCCACCAGTTTATTGCAATTGCTTGTCTAAACTTCTCTTTTCATGTGTGCATTTATTTAGTACATCAATTAGCCATTTTCATAAGCTTGTTGCAGTCCTTCCTTTTCGACCTTTGTGCCTCAGACTTTAACAAACAACCAATTAGGATTTCACCCCAGCTCAGATTTATGTATTGCTGATAACCCTTATGAAATTTGGAGTCCTATTTGGAATTATCTCGATTTTATCTAGTTCGTAGTTTTTAACTTAGATGTAATTATATTTGGGTGCGTTGAGCTTTGATATTTCATGTTAGTTATTGTATAAGATTGTGCTTGATGTCAGCCTCATAGAGGAGAACACAGCTATTTGTTGTTTATATATATAACATCTGGAAATTTATCTAGTTATAATATAAGTTTCTTTGGATAGTAAGATTTTAAATAGAAGTAGTAAATATAATTTTCTTTGGAAAAACGTTCGCAAACCTAAGGCATTTCTGTTTTCTGAGTAAGTTTCAATTCTCAGCATTTTCGTAATTGTGAGCCAACAAATTATTATTGTTTTTGAGTCAGTTTCAATTCTCAGCATTTTCGTAATTGTGAGCCAACAAATTATTATTGTTTCCAATTCCTGTTCAGCCCTCAATTCTTCCCTGTTTTTACAGTGATACCAAGAGGGACTAAACTGGTTAAGAGGCTGGTTGGAGCTTAGAAACCAACTGTAGGTGAGATGGTGAACATGAGACGACTCACCATTAGCCACAATGCTTACGTTCTTCTTAAGATACATCCTCATAAACTACAGCTCCACCAACATTTCTCCCCTAGCATCAGTGGGTTGTCCAAAGTTAGTAACTCAAGCACATGCTTAACACATTCTCTTGCCATATCATCCCAGTGGGTTGATGAGGCTATAGTAAGCAGACTTGAATCCAACTTGCAGCAACTATGTTCTGGAACGTCTAATCTTGTCAGGCAAGGGAAGCAAGTTCATGCCCAGTGCGTACTCCATGGATTACTTGATAATGGGCTGCTGGGGCCAAAGATCTTGGGGATGTATGTTCTCTGTGACAGCTTCAGGGATGCTGTCAAAATGTTTTATAAGGTCCCTTTACATTATACCATGCCTTGGAATTTGATGATCAGAGGACTTAATAAGCTGGGTCGCTTTGATTTGGCCTTACTATTCTACTTCAAAATGTGGACTTGTGGGGTTTCTCCTGATAAATACACATTCCCTTCTGTAGTGAAAGCCTGTGGTGGGTTGAACAATGTGGCACTGGGAAAGTTAATTCAAGATGATGTTTTAGACATGCGTTTTGATCTGGATATGTACATGGGTAGCGCGTTAGTAAAGCTGTATGCTGAGAATGGGCATCTGCAGGATGCTCGTCTACTGTTCGATAGAATGTCTCAAAAAGATTGTGTTTTGTGGAACGTGATGCTTAGCAGTTTCGCAAAATATGGGGAGTCGGGTAGCACACTGAAAGCATTCAATGAGATGCGAAATTCGGGAATCATACCAAATGCAGTTACATTTTCTTGCGTTCTTTCTGTCTGCTCGGCAGATGCAATGATTCGATTCGGCTCTTTGATTCATGGACTTGCTGTTACTTCTGGGTTACAGTTCGATCCTCATGTTGCAAATACACTAGTCTCCATGTATTCTAAATGCAGATGGTTGGGTGATGCACGCAAACTGTTTGATAGAATGTTGCAAACTGATTTGGTTAAGTGGAACTGCATGATGGCTGGACTGGTGCAACATGGGTTTATGGAAGAGGCTTCAAATTTGTTCAAGGAGATGATATCTGCAGGCGTTAAACCAGATGGACGGACATTTGCAACTTTTCTTCCATCAGTTACAGACTCCATGAGTTTCTCGCTTGGAAAGGAAATTCATGGCTATATAATTAGGCATGGTATAAGTTTGGACGTCTTCTTGAAAAGTGCACTTATTGACATTTACTGTAAGTGTAGGAATGTGGAGATGGCCTACAAGATTTATAGCCAAAGCAGCAGCATCGATCTGGTAATGTCCACGGCTATGATCTCAGGGTATGTGCTAAATGGCAAGGCCAATAGTGCTTTAGAAGTGTTTAGGTGGTTGCTACAGGAGAAAATGAGTCCAAACTCTCTTACAATGGCAAGCGTCTTACCTGCATGTGCCAGCTTGGCAGCTCTGAAACTGGGCAAGGAACTGCATGGCAAAATCCTGAAGGATGGGCTAGTATTAAAAGGTAATGTTCATTTAGAAAGTGCTGTTATGGACATGTATGCAAAATGTGGAAGGTTGGATCTTGCTCACCAAATTTTCAGAAGAATGCATGTAAAGGATGCTGTTTGTTGGAACTCCATAATCACTAGTTGTACCCAGAACAGCAAACCAGCTGAGGCCATAGAACTGTTCCGGCAAATGGGAAAGGAAGAAGGACTAACATATAACCGAGTGAGCATCTCTGCTGCTTTATCTGCTTGCACAGACTTGTCCTCACTCCAATATGGGAAACAGATACACACCGTTTTAGTCAAGAGCGCAGTTGATTATGATGTGTTTGCCCAAAGTGCATTGATAGACATGTATGCCAAATGTGGTAACTTGAAACTCGCTCGGTGCACGTTCGACAACATGGAAAATAAAAATGAGGTTTCATGGAATAGCGTCATTGCTGCTTATGCTAACCACGGTTGCCTGGATGAGACTCTTACTTTGTTCCATGGAATGTTGGAAACTGGAATTCATCCTGATCATGTCACATTTCTTGCTGTAATATCTGCTTGTGCGCATGCTGGCCAAGTAGATGATGGAATTCGATACTTCCATTACATGACTGAAGAATTTAAGATCTCTGCTAAGATGGAACACTACGCTTGCTTAGTTGATATGTTTGGCCGTGCTGGTCAGTTGAATGAAGCATATGGTGTCATAAAGAGCATGCCTTTCCAACCTGATGCCGGTGTTTGGGGCACTTTGCTTGGTGCCTCCCGTGTCCATGGCAATGTTGAACTTGCTAAAGTGGCTTCAAGTTACCTGCTTGAGTTAGATCCGAATAATTCGGGATACTACGTACTCCTTGCAAATGTTCATGCTGATGCCAGTCAATGGAAAAGCATGCGTAAAATACGAACAATGATGAAAGAAAGAGGAGTTCAGAAAGTGCCTGGTTACAGTTGGGTTGATGTCGACAAAAGCACTCATATGTTTGTTGCTGGTGACGGAAGCCACCCCGAGTCTGCCGAGATTTATTCATTGCTGGAGAACCTCCTTATTCCAGAGCTCAGAAGAGAGGGTTATGTCCCTCACCCTTACCTTCCAGTGCATCCCCAGGTGGTGGCTCTTTGATGCAGATTTGTGTTAGTCAATGATGCATCAGGATTAGGAATTCAGCATGCAGGAGAATCTTGGTGTATGAATCAAGATTAGAAATTTAGAATACAGGTGAACAAATAATAAAACCAGACACAGTCCAAAGTTTGTAACTTGTTCACCGACTATTTACTGGGTAACACTGTCTGGAGGATAGATTTTGGGTTAGCACTTACAGATACTACTGCGTGTCTGCGGCCTAATCTGCATAGTATACTGATCAGTTGTCTCTTGTGACAAGACGAACTAGCCTCTTGTGCCACTATCTCCAGTTGTTGCTCAGTATCTTCATCCGCTTCTGTGATTGGCTCTCGAGTCCATGCTTCTCCTTCTTCATTCATTCCCCTGGGTCGTTCCTCTCGCCATCTCAATGCTTCCCCTCATTTCAATGGTTAGTCTGTTCATTTTCCCTTTTGCCACTTTCTTCATTTTCTGTTCAGTAGGTCTGACTAGGAATTTTCTTGGATGTAACAGCTTACTTGGCAGTAAATGCAATTAGGCCACGGAAGCTCTCTATTGTTGCAGTTGCTCGAAGTGCAATAACGTTGCCTAGCAATTACAAGGGAGACAAATCACCATTGTCCAATTCTTCGGAACCTGCTTCTATGGTTGATAAGCCTGAAACCGCGGGGGCCAGGAAGAAGAGCCTAAAGAAGTATCGGTATATGATGAAGGTTGAATTCGTGTGTGTAACAAGCTAATTGAAGTCTTCATGGTGGATGACCACTCCAACTGACTGGAGAAGGTTGCTTACTTTTAATAGGGAAAGGGACATTTCTACAGGCGTTGCCAGGAACGAGCAGATAATGAGGCTGTCCTGGGATGAAGCATATTTCAGTCAGGCTTTCGAGGAAGCTTAAAGAGGTGGGTCCCCCCTGCTTCTCATAATTGTTATAATCTGAGATATATTGGTTTCATGAAGCATATCCTTTCCTATTCTGGTTCCTATTTTGAGATTTGTTCTGAAGAGAACACTATGCTTTAATTGTCATGATAATTCACTAAAATATGCTTGTTTACTAAATAAAATTTCCTACATTAGCTCAATTCATCATTTGAGTTCCGTTTAACTTATGACAGATTGATGAAGATTTGCAGCGGCAAAATGAGCTTCTGGCAGCTATCAGGAAGGCGCCAGCTGAGCATAGTGAGATTATTTCTAGGCGGCGGATGGATTTTACTAAGAGAATTTTTTGCGCGTTTATATACTGTGTTGTACAGTCATATCAAGATGACAAAGCTGAACAGAATGGTGCGTCTGAATTCTCTTATGCTTTATTCTGTTGCTTGTGAGGGCATTGCATTTTCATTCAAGAATAAAAATATTCTGATTTCTTACCTGCAGAAGTCTGCTTCAAAGTCCTACTCTGGTGAATACTTTGACAAGTTCAATCAAATTGTTAGCTCAAGCATTATGGATCACGTTGCTCTATAAGAACACGTTACATGGTTCTAACCATGAATTTGATCCTCTAATTAACCGTATGCATTTCATATACTATATTATGCTTATTTTGCTCATTGACCAAGTTCACAAGCTTCTACATTTAGGCATACCATGAGCTTTATCTTGATTGTTGGCCATCCACTTTGAAGTGTGATTGTGTTTGCATGGAACTATCTTATGCAATTTATTATTTCTATCTTGACACTGAGTTGTTTAATTCTTGGAATTTGGCCAGCCTGGGAAAAACTGGGAATGACTGTAGCTGTTGTAAAAGCCTATGATAATGCAAAAAGAAATTTATGCCGCAGACCTGAAGTTGCAAAACATTATCGATTCCCCTTCTTTAGATGCTGCATGCCGGAAAATAGATGATTTTGGCACAAAAAAAAAAAAAGATAAATCAACTGGATTCAGCATTGGTATTGATGCCCAGTAAAGCCTGGTGGGATGCTAAGGAGACCAATATGACTAAAAATGAGGTATAACTGTCTTTTTCTGCAGTGAAAGTCTCTTTCTGGTGTATGCCTATCAAGTTCCAACTGGAACATTATGCTTTGCTGAGCTGATATGTTTGGCCGTGCTGGTAAGTTGAATGAAAGCATATTGTGTCTGGGTGACATTGCTTGGTGCCTCCCGCGTCCATGGCAATGTTGAACTTGCTGCTAAATGGCTTAACATTACATGCTTGAGTTAGAAGATCCACCGAACAAACCCGGATACTATGTAATGTACTCCTTGCAAATGTTCGTGTTGATGGTAGTCAATGATAAAGCGCGCCTGAGATAAGAAACAATTGATGAAAGAAAGAGGAGTTCAGAAAGTGCCGGGTCACAGCTGGGTTGATGTCGACAAAAGCAACTCATATGTTTGTTGCTTGTGATGGAAGCCACCCCGAGTCTGCTGAGATTTTCATTGTTGGAGACTCTCCTTATTCACTGAGATTTTCAGTGATGTTTTAGCCGCTTCTTTAACTTTGGTTTGATGAGCTAATGATTTGACTTGTATACCAACCAACTTCCTTGCAGGTGGAATCATGACAAAGACAAAAACATTTTAGTCCCTTCATAATTACATTTTTATGCCTCGCCGTACGTTGCCGACTATGCATCTAAAATTCGATACATCAAATCAATTAAACATTGAACAGTCTGTTTTGCAATAGTTTCGGTAACCACCAATGGGCTTTAATTAGGCAGGTTAATTACGGCAAAGGTCAATGACAAACAGTGTAACTAGCCGTTACTTAAGTTGATATTACTTATGCTTAATCTTTTGTTTCTATGATGTACAATTGTCAACTCGCGACTCATTGTTGTTAACGATTTCATCTGTATTGAACAAGTTTTATTATTCATTCGTTTATAAGTATGTTGATCAAGGTATCTCACCAATATACTTGATTCTATGTTCAATATGTTCATAATGAAAACTTAATAATGAAGGAATAGTAACTTTCCATTTACACTTTTGACTGAGGATTCATAGTATGAGCCATGAGGTAAAGTTTTAACTCAATATTCAATTTTCATGTGTACTGGTCAATGCGTCCTACTAGAAAGTTTAATGTAAAAATAAAATAACAAATAAACATTAGGGTTATAAGTATAATATGCCCTCTACTATGTCGTTTTATCAAACATGCCTCTCTACTATATTTTTTTTTATAACGGTGATATAGATTTCATTTTGTTGTCATTAAGGTACTACTTAAGGGATTCGAACCTGGCTTCTCCAGGTTTTAGGTTAGTGGTATTACCACTAGGCCAAGCCCTTGTTCGTGCCCCTCTACTATTTTTTACATCAAACATATGTCCCTGTACTTTAGAAAAATGATCAAACATGCCCTTCTGTTAATATTTTCATCCAAAAAACAGTCAACCACGGTCGTACCTTGGTTTGGGCGACACAAGTGTCTAAAATATCTATGGTAATTTCACTTTAGAATTTTTGGCTTCTTTTGTAGAGCCAATTACCTCTAATAATTTCACTTTAACGAGACCTAGAAAAATAAAATGGGGGACAAAAATGACAATTTTCCTCTCATTTGCCGATGTCGGATCGTCTACATCTCGGTTCAACCATGGTTGACGATTTTTTTAATGAAAATTTTAACAGAAGGACATGTTTGATAATTTTTTCAAAATACAAGGGTATATTTGATATAAAAAATAGTAAATGGGCATGTTTGATAAAACTACATAATATAGGGGCATATTATACCTATAACCCAGAGGTGGTTAAAAAAAAGGAAAGAGTTAAAGAGAGGTTAGGCATGGGTGGTGGTGGGTGCATGTGGAGAGGATTAATGAGTTTAGGCATATAATCTTAGTTCGGTGCCCCCATCCACAAAATCGGGTTTGTTTATTATGGCTCTTGTTTCAAAACAGAAGATTTGTTTTGTGTTTTTCCTATAAAGAAAGCAGGCATAATAAATAAATAAATCCAATAATAGTCAAGTTTACAGAGCAGACAACAAAGGTTGTTGTCAAATAATAGTCCACCAGAAAAGACTAGGAGGAGTCCCTTCCCTTCCGTAACCCCAAGTGACGAGCTGTCCTATTAAGGAAAGAAAGGTGCGGCCTTTTTTCTTGAAGAGCTTGAGCGGGGAGAAGGAGTTATAAAAACAGGGGCTTTCTTTTCTTCTGCTGAAAAGGAATTTTTAACGCTGCACCTGCAGTAAAGAGAAGAGAGAAAAAGGGTTAACGCAGAGAAAGAAAGGAGGAAGGATATACAAAGTACAGACATTTGTTTGTGGGGGACTGCTACTCTTAATAACAACACTCTTTTTGCCCACACTCTTATTAGAGAGCGGTTGGCTTTCCCTTCTTTTGCAGATTTGGATTTGGTGGTGGCTTCTTTTCTCACTATTTTCGTGCCTAGAATTCTGTCATTTTTAACTGGGTATTGTTCCATTCCTCTCTCTACACCTCTTGTTCCTGTCCCTCTCTCTCGTGTCCAAGCCCAAACCCATCTCTGTTTCATGGTTCATGGTGGTTGTGTATTGAAAAGTTTTGGTTTTTGTTTTCTAGTACAGTGGGAAGAAGGCAAAGATGGCGGAGGGGGAGAAACCTGAAGTTTTGGAGGCTGTGTTGAAGGAAACTGTTGATTTGGTAATTAGATCTGAGCAAAGATTTTGAACCCTGCGTTTGGAGGTTCTGTTTCTTGTTCTAGGGGGTTCCAAGTTTGAAGCTTTTCTGGCGTTTTCTGCTTGAGTGCAGGAAAACATTCCCATTGAAGAAGTGTTTGAGAATCTGAGATGTAGCAGGGAAGGTCTCACAACTCAGGCTGCTGATGAGAGGCTTGCAATTTTTGGGCACAATAAACTTGAGGAGAAAAAGGTTACTTCTTTTTCCTCCCCCTTCTCTTCTGCTAATCAGTTCTGAAAACGCCCTTGCCTTAACCACTCTTGTTCGTTGTTGGTTTTCCAGGAGAGCAAGGTCCTCAAGTTCCTGGGTTTCATGTGGAATCCCTTGTCATGGGTTATGGAGGCAGCTGCAATCATGGCTATTGCTCTTGCTAACGGAGGAGTGAGTTGCTGCCATTGTTTCTTTCCTTTTTTTTTTGTGTATGTTTGTTTGGTTTAAACTAATTTTCTTCTTTATCTTGCTTTGCTGTTTTCAGGGAAAGCCTCCGGATTGGCAAGATTTTGTTGGTATTATCACGCTCTTGGTGATCAACTCCACTATAAGTTTTGTTGAAGAGAACAATGCTGGTAATGCGGCCGCCGCTCTCATGGCTAGTCTAGCGCCCAAAGCCAAGGTATACTCTGCTCTGTGGAGAATCTTGTTTTCAAACTGAGAATGGTGAAACATTGCTGACTTCCTTTTTTCCCCCTCTTGCGTGTGTGAAGGTGCTTCGTGATGGGAGGTGGAGCGAACAAGATGCTTCGATTTTGGTTCCTGGTGACATCATCAGTATCAAACTTGGAGACATCATTCCAGCTGATGCTCGACTACTAGAAGGAGATCCTCTCAAAATTGACCAGGTTGGTTTTCTTTTTAAGTAGCCGTAGGTTTTTTTTTTTTTTTGTGCTACAGTTTCTTCCATAGTTGGATGCTCAAATTTTGAAATTGTGTGGTCTTTTCCTTTTGGCAGTCTGCTCTCACTGGGGAGTCTCTTCCCGTGACAAAAGGTCCTGGAGATGGTATATATTCTGGTTCCACCTGCAAACAAGGAGAAATTGAAGCCGTGGTTATTGCCACCGGCGTTCATACCTTCTTTGGCAAAGCAGCACATCTAGTGGACACAACTAACCAAGTTGGACACTTCCAAAAGGCAAGTAAAATTAGACACGGTGAAAGGAAGATCCCTACTTTGAAGGGCTCCTGTTTCTTTTATTCTGTGATTCTGATTACAAGTTTTTCCTTTTTCATTGGTAATGTAGGTGTTGACAGCAATTGGAAACTTCTGCATTTGCTCAATTGCCGTTGGAATGATTGTAGAGATTATTGTCATGTACCCCATCCAAGATAGACAATATCGTCCGGGGATTGACAATCTTCTTGTGCTTCTCATTGGAGGAATACCAATAGCTATGCCTACTGTCTTGTCTGTAACGATGGCCATTGGTGCTCATAGACTAGCTCAGCAGGTATGATATGATGTTCCTTTTATTTTCCTTCCCCGGTTGACTCTATTGCTAATAGAGTTTCCGTATTTCTACTTTTAGTTTTAATGGAGTTCTGATGTGGTGGAACATTCAAATTACTATCCAGGGAGCTATCACAAAGAGAATGACTGCTATCGAAGAGATGGCAGGCATGGATGTGCTTTGCAGTGATAAGACTGGAACATTGACTTTGAACAAACTTACGGTTGACAAGAATCTTATTGAGGTCAGTTGCCCTAATGTTTCTTTGAAGCATCTGCTATGGAGACTTAGTTGCCGGCTTCTTATGTACCCGAATAAAATCTCCTATTCCAGGTGTTTGCAAAGGGAATTGATGCTGATACTGTGGTTTTGATGGCTGCTCGAGCCTCAAGAACGGAGAACCAAGATGCAATTGATGCAGCCATTGTCAATATGCTGGCTGATCCAAAGGAAGTATGTGAACAATGTGGTTATAGTTCCCTCTTTCTGCTTTGGTTACAGTTCTGAGACTCCTTTTTTGTTCCTGAAGGCACGCGCTGGAGTTCAGGAGCTTCATTTTCTCCCATTTAATCCTACTGACAAGCGGACAGCCTTGACATATTTGGACAGTAATGGTAAAATGCACAGAGTCAGCAAAGGAGCCCCAGAGCAGGTAAAGTTGGCCTCACTAATGCCTCAAGGTGCACTGATCCCATAGCTGCCTGGCTGATATAACATCCTAATTTGTGGTTGTAGATTCTGCATCTTGCACACAATAAGTCAGAAATTGAACGAAGAGTGCATGCTGTGATCGACAAGTTTGCTGAACGAGGCTTAAGGTCTCTTGCTGTAGCATATCAGGTACCATTACTATGCCCAGATTGCCTCATTTTGAATCATAGACATAAAATGTAGCTTTGCTTTCTCACTCTTCTGTTGGGGCTTTTGGTCTTCTGTAGGAAGTTCCTGAATGCAGAAAAGAAAGTCCCGGAGGCCCATGGCAATTCATTGCTCTACTGCCCCTCTTTGATCCACCCAGGCATGATAGTGCAGAGACTATAAGGAGGGCTCTCAATCTTGGTGTCAATGTCAAAATGATAACAGGTATATCTCTTTTCTAGTTGTAAATGTGGTGTTGTGCTTCTGTTTCTCTTTGAATCTCTATAGTTCAACAGATCTCATACTCCAAAAGATGTGCTTTGTCTGCTGCTTGTTTGATCTTTGCTGACCTTGTAAGTGCTTCTTGCTCAGGTGATCAGCTAGCAATAGGAAAGGAAACTGGGCGCCGTTTGGGAATGGGAACCAACATGTATCCTTCGTCTGCATTGCTCGGACAAGTAAAAGACGAGTCTATTGCTGCTTTACCAGTGGATGACCTGATTGAAAAAGCTGATGGTTTTGCTGGAGTCTTCCCTGGTACCCATTTTAGTTATTATTACTGTGTTCAACCTACATATGTGCACCAAATGGATTTTGTTGTTCTTGGCATGATAATGATGGATTTTGAATAATGTTTACACCTCAGAGCACAAATATGAGATAGTCAAGCGGTTGCAAGCTAGGAAACACATTTGTGGGATGACTGGTGATGGAGTCAATGATGCTCCGGCTCTCAAAAAGGCTGACATCGGTATTGCTGTTGCTGATGCGACTGATGCTGCCCGTAGTGCTTCTGATATCGTTCTTACTGAACCGGGTCTTAGTGTCATAATTAGTGCTGTCTTGACAAGTAGAGCCATCTTTCAGAGGATGAAAAACTACACAGTAAGATTTTCTGCTTAATCTTGATTATCTGGTTTTCTCCGTGTTGGTAGTTCATCTCTATTGTATGACTTACCTGGCTTTTTTGTGTTTGTTTCCAGATCTATGCAGTCTCAATCACCATACGTATAGTGGTAAGCTAGAGCGTCCAGTTAGCCTACTCTCTGTGTGTTAATTCTTCTTTGTTTCCGAATAGTCGACCTGATCTGGTTGTTGTCCATATATTGATGACAGCTTGGTTTCATGCTACTGGCTCTGATATGGAAGTTTGATTTTCCTCCTTTCATGGTTCTAATCATTGCCATTCTCAATGATGGTTCGTTTCTGTTTGGCCTTGTGCTACTGCCTTGTCATATATATTAGTCTGGTAATTTCAGATTGTTTCTCTTTTGGTTTTATTCGAGCTTGACTGCCATGTGTAAAAAATTGCAGGTACGATAATGACCATATCCAAGGATAGGGTGAAACCATCTCCACTACCCGACAGTTGGAAGCTGGCTGAGATATTCACCACTGGAATTGTTCTAGGTAGTTACCTTGCAATGATGACGGTGATATTCTTCTGGGCTGCATACAAGACCGACTTCTTCCCGGTATGCTGACTTACTCACCTTCTCTCTTGTGTAGCCTTCAGTTATGTAGTAACAGGGTAGCAGACCCATGAATTTGTTAATTAATCCTGGGGTGGTTTTTTTCCAGAGGACATTTGGAGTTTCCACCCTGGAGAAAACAGCGCACGATGACTTCCGAAAGCTTGCCTCGGCAATTTACTTGCAAGTGAGCACCATCAGTCAAGCGCTCATCTTCGTGACACGGTCCAGAAGCTGGTCCTTTGTGGAGCGCCCGGGTGTCTTGCTGGTTGTGGCTTTCATCATTGCTCAGCTGGTGAGCGCAAATTGCATTTGATCTTCAGTTTTGCTTGCAATGCAAGTATCTTGGCGAATATCGATAATAACTTAGATCGTTTTCATTTCCATGTCAATCTGCAGATTGCTACTCTGATTGCAGTTTATGCAAGCTGGAGCTTTGCTGCAATTGAAGGAATAGGTTGGGGGTGGGCTGGCGTGATTTGGCTCTACAATATCATATTCTATCTCCCACTAGACCCGATTAAGTTCTTCATCCGCTACGCTCTCAGTGGGAGGGCATGGGATCTTGTCATTGAACAAAGGGTAATACGATTTAGCTTGCCTGCTGTTTACCCATCTCGGCTAGCCTACATGAGTGCTTTGTTCTAATGAAGTTTCCTTTCTGGTTGCAGATTGCTTTCACGAGGCAAAAAGATTTCGGAAAGGAACAAAGAGAGCTACAATGGGCCCATGCACAGAGAACACTCCATGGATTGCAAGCACCTGACACCAAGATGTTCACTGAGCGAACTCATTTCACCGAACTCAATAACATGGCTGAAGAAGCTAAGAGGAGAGCTGAAATTGCTAGGTAATACACATACATAAGCCTATTCTCTGCATCATGCAACTTTGAAACGTTCTATTACTAACGATTCGGAACACAGGCTGAGGGAACTACACACGCTGAAGGGTCATGTCGAATCGGTGGTGAGATTGAAGGGACTCGACATAGAGACCATTCAACAGGCTTACACTGTCTGAAGATCATTCATCGACATATACCGAGAATACAAGTGAGTTACTGCTGGGATTAGAAAATGAGAGGGAGCGGTTGGGGGCAATGTTGTGTGCGTACACTGCCATGAAATCGCAGCAACATGCTCCACTCGAAGATGATCTTTGTTCTTTTCTTTTTGCCAGTAGCCATGTCTATATATATATATAGATATATATATGTTAATTGTTGCTGAAGAAGTATGTTACTGCTTTTTTTGTTTAGTATTATCATGATGTATAAACTCAGGTGATAGCTTTGGCGACTTATCATCATCAACGGCCGTTACTTATGCAGTTATGCTTCTCTTTAAGCACAGTTGTCCTCTGTCCATTCTGTTATGCAGCGCTAGCATTTTATTTGTGTTTAATTGATCTAAAGGAGGAGTTAAATGGTCAGAAGTCAAGAGGACAAAGGCACAAAACTCTCAACTCTCAAGACTTAGTGGCATCAGGTGGGTTCTCCCCAAAGGTACGAGCGGGCTCGTGCACCTTTTAGGTTAATCCAAATCAATACACGTACCAGCAAAGTTCATGACTCATGAGGCACTTGATTACAAGCTTATAGGATATGACCCGGTAACTTGACAGGAGGTTTGCATGTTAGATTCTGATCAAAAGAGGGAAAAATCTGAAGGATTGTTTGCTTCTATAGAGGAGTTTTTTTTTCCTATATAAGAGGGATTTTCCTTAATTGTTGGTTACGGGATCATAATACAAATATTTTTGATAAACCTGCAAATGAACCAACGGATGAGGATGAGGAGGTACTTACGGGCAAGCACATGAGGCACTTGATTACCATCTTTCAATTTCCGACTTGATAACTTGATGCATTCGTACAAACAAGCTCACGAGTCACTTGATTATCATCCTTTCATCTTCAACCTAATAGCTAGATGTATACGCACGAGCATTACAATCTTCTATGCTTCAGCTTGATAATTTGATATAACTAGCAAAGTCCGCTCGCTTCGCTTCGCGTCAAGAGGACCATATGAGAAAATAACATGGAAGAATAATAATGTCAAATATTCTGTGAATCTGTCTATGAAAAAATAGATCCATTACAACTGATACAATCTAACACATAAACGATGGCAACGAAACCCTTTTCAAATGATATATTCTCCTCCGCCGTCTCCCCCATCCAATTCACCCTACTGAGAGCTGAAAATGAAGGATTCCTCTGCCATGGATAGGGAACTGGATTCTACATTAAATTAAACAACCATTGAAATAGAGAAAAGACCACTATGGGGGAAACCAAGACAGAAAGAGAAATAACTTGCAGGTTCTTAGGCAGAGGCCATCATTGCAGACTTTGAACCGGTTAACGCTCTGATAAAGACGACAACGGGCGTTCTGGCTTTAACTGATGGGGCAGGGATTATCCATGGCGATGGTCGTCCTTGGAGTCCCCCTAGTTCTGCTAGTTCAAAATGGAATCTGCGACCACCTCCGATCAAAGAAATTTCTGACATCACCTCGAAGGACTCAGCGGGAAAGATTGAACCGAAGACCACCTCCAAACGGATTGAAAACGAAGAACAACTGCAAGAGAGATGAATAGCTTAAAAGAGGAAGGGAAAGCCAATCAGTATGATGAAAGAAGAATGATAAATATGAAACTGCAAAAAAACTATATTAAAAAAAAGAATGGTATCTACCTCCCTCATATTCACCAATCCATCCACCAAAACAACAAATAGAAAGCATACTCCAAGAGGCCCATCTTGCTTTTTGGCAGTAGGAGCAAACCAACAACTGATACAAAGGGCATATGAAGACCGCTGAAACATGACATAACGTAAAAAGGAAATAAATGAATCATTATTGTGTACTGGTTTCTTCTTCATGAGCAGTTCAAATGCATGCAACCGATTTACAAAATCTCAACAAAGAGAAACAGTGAGCATATCATTCTTGATTCATGCACACCACTATTAGATGTTTGAAGCTGAGGGAACCATCAATCTACAGAACCACTCATGTAATGACCAAGTATAACAATGAATCTGTAGCATCATTCACCTCGTCCTAAGTATCAACTACTACATCATAGCATACCCAATACGACACGATTCAAATAATAAACACCACGCGTGAAGGTAGCACTACCATTAAGCTAGAGTGGCCTAATCCTGAGTACCGCCGAGCATATTCCTAATAACCAGACCAAAGTGAAATATTGGAACACACAGCACATGAGAAGTCGGTACAACCATTAAGTTAGTATATTAAAAGTTAATCAATGAAATTGGATAGCATCAAAAGACTTCAACTTCGTAATAGAATTACATGAGATCAGACAGAGAACACAATTACTTTCCCCCTTTGATTAATTCAGCTTCACGATTCACCCTTGCTCAACCAGTGAAACTATAAATCCAGACGATTTGGTGAACTAATCCTAACAATTCCAGCTAGATGGATCTTGAAAGGCGAACATATTGTCAAACCAGAGGATAGTGATCTATTCTCCACCAGAGACGGCCTGAACCCAACATACATTTCTCTACCAACCATGACAGTTACAACTAAGTTAATTTTGTTGCAAAGCAACTAACCAATCTGATATCATTTAAAGGCCAACATGACATTTTGTTTGGCTCCAAAAAAGCAAACATGTAGCTTGAGAAACATGTCACATACAATCAATGTTCAAGAGACGAATGGCTAAATCAACCACCAAGAAACTTGCTATACCTTCTTGATTGCAGTTTGATAATGAATCTGCAACAGCTCAAAATTGTTGTCTAATTATATAGGTTGCTCAATGATGAGCAATTTCTGCAAGACAAACAGAGTTCCAGATCAGGCACAAACGCACATCAAATGCTCTAGACTGAGCAACTTTATCCCATACTTGAGTTCCATTTCAGTTTAGCTTAATGCTTTCAATACAGAAACACAAACAAATGGCAACACCACCAGGAGCAAATGGAACAGAACCTGATTGGCCACTACACTTATGCCACCTCACATGGATTTAGCTTGCAGAATACATGACCTGATCCAAAGTAACAGAATTTACATTAGCAAAAACCAGTTCAATCATCAGAACATAAAAATGAACTGTGTAGAACAGCTAACCTGTGCCAAAAGTAGTATACAATGGGTGATAGATGCTCCAGTCCATGCCGCAGTTGTCTCCACTAGTTAGTTGAATAACCGGCACTGACAGCAAGCTCTGCAGCGCGTTTCAGCAGAGCACAAAACTGAGCAAATCCACTTACATAAGATTATCAATTCCAAGAGAAGGTGGAGGACTAACCTGGTCAAATACTGTAAAAGCCAGAGATGGTTTGGGCAAGAGATTTTGTTGGAGAAGGGAGACCTCCTCACAAATGGAAATCTGCAAGAGACACAACATATTCAGTACAAAACCAAATCAATAAGATATAAACAAACCTAAGAAATTTGAAAAACTTACCAAAACAAAGTTCCCCCTTGGCATCGTCGTTGCCACTGGCAAAGTTCGGATTGCCGCCGACGGATCCTGTCTTTCTCCCTTTAATTTTCCAAAAGCAAAACACATATCAGGATTGCTAAAATATCCCTTTCTCCCTTTCGTATTCGAACCGACACCTTCTTCTTCTTCTTCTTCTCCCATACTCCTCCCTCCTTTTCTCGGGTGGAGGTGGAGCTACATGAGAAAAGGTTGAGGTGGAGCTACACAGACAACCCTCAATTAGGCTTCATCAACTTGTTGTCCTGCCTCCTTGTTGAACTACAGAATCCAAACTATCCAAGATCAATGGCTGGAATAATAATTCGAGACTGGAAACATAACATAAACAAAGTAGCAGCAAAGTCAAAGATCTGTAGTTTGCAAGCTCACACCAGCTCTAAGCAACCTCTGGCATAGATGTTGACAGATGTTTTCACTCCATCCATTTTCAGCTACTTCATTGTCTTATCTTGTTTCGTTACATATGATCGGATGCATCATCCTGCAGTTGCGATGTTCTCACATTCGAAGCATCCTATTGTAATCATCCCGAAAAATGATAACCTCTCAAATGGGTAAGGAATAAGAGTACAAAGTGACATACGACATGAATCTTTACCAGACTAATGCTTTATCGAGACAGTTGTAATCAATCCTCTGGCAGCATAAGGATCAGAACTCACACTATCATGTTGTTGTTTTTTAATCTCATGGATGGGAAGACATTCTAGAAATACAGTAGTCTCCTAGGTGACATAGTATTGAGTAATAGATAATTAAAGATTATGGGCTAAAATACCTAGATATATAGTATATGTAATGGCTGAACTGAATCAGTCAACTGTCGAAAATGTAGGTAGCAAAAAAATGCGAAAGCATAAAGCAAAAAGTTTGTGACTTCACCTTAGCAGCAAGCATCTTCCTTCTCTGCAAACTCCTCTCTTAGGCTTGCTCCTCTACTGTCGCCAAGAAAAAACAGAGAAAAGTGAACAGAAGAACTCAATAAGTAAAAGAATTCAATAACACAAAGAACAACATCATCCATGATGAAAGAATAGTTGCAACTAACACAAGTACATAGTATCTATAGTTTTCAGAATGCACCGTATGGAAAAATAATAATTATTAAAAGATGCAACCTTTCCTTCCTTTTTAGCTAAAAATAATTTAACTTCCACCCAAAAAGAAAATAATTGAACCAAAGGCTAATAATTTGGTACATGAATCTAATAATCAAATATATAGAACAGTCCCATTCCAAAAAGCCTATAGTAATGGAACTTGGAAGGATACAATGCTGAAATGTATACGAATGACTATTTGAGATGCATATGAAATATGAATAATGAAAGGACTAACCAGTAATCAAAGGCTTTCAGTTTATCGAGTTGTCGGAAACTATTTAAGTCATTGATCCCTTAACCTCATTCATGATTTTTAATTAGGAAGGAGTATTACCATCCAAGATGGAGTTTATATTGCAGCATTATGTCTGAGACCTCTCTCTAAATCTTAATTCCTCCATCCATGCTCCATCTTACTGTTGTATTCCACGTACTCCAAAAGCAACGATGATGGTCCTTCTAAAACTAACAAAATTAGTGAAAAAAAACAAACTAAATTAGGGGAAAGTAAAAGCAAAGGGCAAATCTTGATTAGAAAAACTGATAAGCAAGTCAGTTGTCTCGTATGGAACACAACCATAGTAGTTCTCCTTATGCCACTGCCTCTTCTTCCTCTTTGCCTTTTTCGTATCATAGCAAGAATGTTCTGACACACAGAGCAAAAGAAGACTCCAAATATGGGCCTAACTCAATCTAATTGAAAAGAAAATCAACAAAATTTGAGCTACCTGGCTTTGCCTTCTTCCTCCTCCGCTAACCCAATCGGTGCCTATTCTTCCCTTTGTAAACCGATCGCTCCTTTTCTGGTTTCTTGGTTTACTTTCTCCGGCCAAAATCTAGTTCTGTCATCATCCCTCCTACAATAAAAGAAGTTTCTTAAGGCATCTGAAGGTTCTAAGGGGTTGTAGCTAAATTAACTAGGAGTCCAACTGAATATATACATAAGTGCCTTCCCCTGCAAATCAACCAAAAAGAATCAATCAATAAGCTCGACAGCTAATATACAAGGGTACTCAGATCAATTGATTGCATTATATAAAAGTCAAGACATAACCACAACAAATCATTCAAGTAAATCTAAAAGAAAAACTTAAGAGCTTGAACGCAGAAGAAACATGGAACCCAAATCACACATGACATCAAGCATGTAAACGGCCTCATTCCGGTCACCATCGTCATCTGCGTTCATCTTCAAGCTAAAAGGAGATGGAGAGATTTTTTCAGGGAAAAATGAGAAGAGAGTGCGCTGAAATGGAAGAGATGAGGAGAGAGATGTTGATTAATGTTGGAGAAGTTAAGAGATAAACTAATAAAAAACAACAAAAGAAAAGGAAGAGAGACATCACCTCTTCTTCTTCTCCTCAATTGCTTCTTTCTTTTCATTCTGTGTGGGCTGTGGGATGTTTTTCCCTGTTTTCCATTTTCTTCTTGGAGCAAAGAGAAAGTGAATGGAGATGAGATGAGTGAGATGGAGTAGGAGGGAGATAAAAGAAAGAATAACAAAAAGAAAGCAAAGAATAATTATAAAAAACTCTTATTGAAAAGACAACCAAGTTAATAAGTAGATATAAAAAAACTCTCTTATTGAAAAGACAACCTAGTTAATAAGTCGAGGGCTAAAAAATCAGGTTTTGCCCCTATTGATTTGACACTAAAGAACAATAAAATTCTTACTTGTTCTTTTAAAGATCTAATCACCGACAAATAACCCAATCACAATAGAGAACTTCTTCCCTTTGTAATAAAATGATTTTTTTAATCCCCTCTTGATTTGACACTAAGGAACAGTAAAAACCTTACTTGTTCTTCCCCTCTTCTGCGTGGAAAAACTGAAGACTCTCTTGATAATAAAATGATTTTTTAATCCCCTCTTGATTTGACACTAAAGAACAGTAAAAACCTTACTTGTTGAGATGAGTGAGATGGAGTAGGAGGGAGATAAAAGAAAGAATAACAAAAGGAAAGCAAAGAATAATTATAAAAAAACTCTCTTATTGAAAAGACAACCTAGTTAATAAGTAGATATAAAAAACTCTATTATTGAAAAGGCAACCTAGTTAATAAGTAGGGGGCTAAAAAATCAGGTTTTGCCCCTATTGATTTGACACTAAGGAACGGTAAAATTCTTACTTGTTTTTTAAAGATCTAATCACTGGCAAATAACCCAATCACAATAGAGAACTTCTCTCCTTGATAATAAAATGATTTTTTTAATCCCCTCTTGATTTGACACTAAGGAACAGTAAAAACCTTACTTGTTCTTCCCCTCTTCCGCGTGGAAAAACTGAATACCCTCTTGGTAATAAAATGATTTTTTTAATCCCCTCTTGATTTGACACTAAGGAACAGTAAAAACCTTACTTGTTGAGATGAGTGAGATGGAGTTGAAGGGAGATAAAAGAAAAAATAACAAAAAGAAAGCAAAGAATAATTATAAAAAACTCTTTTATTGAAAAAACAACCTAGTTAATAAGTAAATATAAAAAACTCTCTTATTGAAAATACAACCTAGTTAATAAGTAGGGGGCTAAAAAATCAGGTTTTGCCCCTATTGATTTGACACTAAGGAACAGTAAAATTCTTACTTGTTCTTTTAAAGATCTAATCACCGACAAATAACCCAATCACAATAGAGAACTTCTCCCCTTGATAATAAAATAATTTTTTTTAATCCCCGCTTGACTTGACACTAAGTAACAGTAAAAACCTTACTTGTCCTTCCCCTCTTCTGCGTGGAAAAACTAAACTCTCTTGATAATAAAATGATTTTTTTAATCCCCTCTTTATTTGATACTAAGGAACAGTAAAAACCTTACTTGTTGAGATGAGTGAGATGGAGTAGGAGGGAGATAAAAGAAAGAATAACAAAAAGAAAGCAAAGAATAATTATAAAAAACTCTCTTATTGAAAAGACAACCTGTTGGAGGGTTAGAAGTCAGAATTGTAGTTTTCTTATTGAAGAGGACCGTTGCTGATTTCAAGGAAGAGAAAAGGAAAGCCTTAGCATTTTATGTCATCAGGACTTTCTTTCCTTTTCTGATGCCAACGGCTCTGCCTCTGTATGGCTATATAAAGTCTTCATCCTCTTGCTTGAATTAACTTTTTGTAATGAAAAAGATAGCGGTAGAGGGCTAGGCTTTGGCATTATAAAGGGCTTGACGAGTATAGAGGCATAGGTTCTATATCGTCAAGGTTGTGGCGGGTCTGGATTGGGATCCGGATTCTTTCTATTGTTCTTGTTATTTACGTTCTTCTTTTGAATTCCTCTTTATAGGTAAAATCAATAAAAAGAGTCTCCTAGAAATCAGTGGTACTGATTCTAGGACGAAGACTGACCAGTAGTTTGGGAACCTCGTTAAAAATTTCTTGTGTTCTTCCTTCCATAATCTTGATGTCTCTGTTTCTCTGTGCGTCACTCTGTTTTTCTTCTGTTTGAATTGTCTGCTGAAGGAAGAAGAAGAGCACAAACGAAAGTCTTATTGTTTGCTCGATTGGGCTTAACAAGTACAAAAAGCCCTTTTATCTCTTCTCTTTTTCAATTAATTATTATGGGCCTTTACAATCACTAAGCCCATTGGTTTTAAGGAATGAAAGGCGAGCAGTTGGAAATCATTCCTCCACCTCTCCATCGTCTTTTTTCCTCTTTCCTTCCATATCACCATTTTTCCTTAACAGTCCAAATCCCTAATTTCCAACCACAGGTCGTTTTACAATTGGTATCAGAGCTTTACCTTGAGAGAGCTCACTACTGCCAAGGGAATCGATCCATGGCTTCATATTCTTCGTTTTCGTTTGGTCCTGCTCCGTGGTTTACAGGTTTGAACTACACGGCATGGAAAAGACGGATGCAGAACTTTCTCTGGGGAATCGATGAAGGTCTATGGTCCACCGTCCGTGATGGGCCACTTGAAATGAATCTCGAGGAGCACAATACATGGACGGCCGAACAGAGGAAGAGCGCACATCTAAACTGTCGGGCGATGCACATTCTGCAATCGGCAATGTCACTAGATGAAGCAGACAAAGTTGAGCACTGTGAGTCAGTGATGCTCTAAAACACAACACCAAACTGCGACCAAGTATAATCGCAGTCCGGGAATGCAGTAAAGTGACAAGTTATATTATCAACCCGGGGTCTAGATTTACTGCTTACTCAGTGATTCTCTATTATCTAGCCAACTAAGTTAAGTGTTTGTTGTGTAAAAGCAAAAGCAGAAAGAAAGCAGGAATTGATATGGTTTTCTCAAGCAGGTAAGAGTCACTCGGGAATGAGTCCCCCTAGCTCCTTAGTTAGGTTTCAATTGTATTTCCCTGGGTTGATTTACTGTTGATTAGACTGCGGAAGATCCGGCAGTAGCTTGGAATCTCTTAAGCTGACCAAGCCCTCTCAGTCTAACTACCCGGCAGACGACTAGTCTTCACCGGGATAGAAAGCTGAAGCAGTAAGAACAGAACTCTACTACTGGAATTGGATTCCAGTACAAAGCAGTAAACTGGCTAACTCTCGTATAGCCAATCTCCTACTACCGAATGATGAGACTCTAGCAACCTAATCAGATTCTATCTATCTCATATTGCAGCAGGAATCAGGAAAAGTTGATCAGACTTCAATTGACTCAATAAACATGCATCATTCTATTAAAATCAAACAGTAATATCATCCCAAGTCATTACAATCAAATCCCTAACACATAGAACTAGGGTTCTTCATCCCCAAGTGAGAGAGGGTTCTACTCCATAGAGAGAGAGAGAGAGAGGAAAACAAGATACAAAGCAGTCATACTCATAATTATGGGAAGAATCTGCTCTGGGATGATGATTTCCACTCCTATGACGATCTCCAAGCTTGATCTGATGAAACCCAGCTCCAAGATAGCTTCTAGGATGTGTTCTTCGTCCTTTCTCTCTCTAGGGCTCTGTTTTTGCTCAAATATCCGAATGCCTCTTCCTTGGCTCGAATCTGCCTTCAAAAACCCAACTCTGGGCGAAATACGGGCAGAATTACGGCCATAATCACGGCCTGCCCGTAATTCGTCCAAAACGCGCGTTTCACTTTACTCTGATGGAAGAGGAGCTACGCCCGTAATTTCACAATTACCGCCAGTATTTCATTAATTACGGTCGTAATTTGGTGGATGCTTGCCCGTAATTTTAGTGCCGAGAAGAATTCTTGGGAAAAGTGGCTCGGCATTGGTTTTACGGGCATGTCCTGACCAATTACGGTCGTAATTTGGCAGGGGCTGCCCGTAATTTGTCCTGTGAGTCACCATCTGACCTCCAAATGACCCGAAACTTGCGCATATGCACCTCTTTACTTGCTAGGACCTGAAATACGACAAAACAACACAACCTAGCGTAAAATAGGCCAAGGAACAATCAATTCAAGCTGAAATGGACAGGAAACCAGAGTGAAAACACGTGCAAATACGATGCTATCAGTCAGCCATGGAGATATGGGCAAGTCTGGAAAAGACTTATGAAGGGACATCAACCATCAAAGACACCAGAATTGACTTACTCATGCACAATTACGAGGCGTTTGACATGCAATCAGGTGAGGGTATCCACGAAATGTATTCTCGTTTTACAATATTGATAAATCAGCTCAAAGGGTTAGGAAAAACTTTTCAATCAAAGGAGATAATTCGAAATATCTTAAGATCTCTTCCTAAGGAATGGTTGCCTAAACGGACAACCATAGAAGAGGCAAAAGATTTGAGCACTCTTTGTGTGGATGAACTGATAGGGTCTCTGCTTAGTCATGAGCTTGTTATTAAACAAATCGGGAAGGATGATAGAAAGCATCGTGACAAATTAGCTTTTAAATCCCAAGTTCATGAATATGAGTCTGATGATGAACTTAGCAATGAATTTGATAGAGAATTTGCCCTTGTTAGTAAGAAATTTCATAGAATGCTTAAGTATAAAAATGAACAGAACAACCGAGCAAGTGATTTTATCAAGTCTAGTGCTTATGATTGTAACAAATTTGTTTCCAAAGATAGGCTGCCCCAACAGCAGACCAGGAAATTAAGTGCAGGTACTTTGGAAAGGAAATCTCAGGCGTGCTATAAATGTGGTAAATCTGGGCACATACGTTCCAACTGCCCTCAGAGATCGACGTCAAAAGAACGCGAAACTAAGGCTACTTGGAGTGAGTATGAATCTGGATTAGATGATAATATAATCAATGAAGAAGCATATATGGCATTCACTCTTAATAATGAAGCCAGTGCATCTGATGATGATGAGAAGCTTTACTGCAAATCAGCTGATATCGAGGTAAAATCTTACTCCGCATCATCCGAGTTAAATTCAGAACAATTTTTGTTTGCCTTAAAGAACCTAGAAGATGAAGTACGAACCATGAATATCAAGTACTATTGTCTCAAGGAGGAAATTATGAAAAACAACGATGCGATAATTAAACTCAATCGTCTCGTAAATTTAAATAAAATGCAGATTGGTGAGTTGTGTGGAGCAAAAGAGTTAATCAAATTGGACAAGGATCACATTTACAACTTGTTATAACATAGGAATGTCACTGCTCTTTCTCCTGACAATAGCCCAACATCTTGTAGCATATCTGTTGCTAGAAATCAAACACATAGAGGTAAGCATTACTATTGTCATCCCAGTAAAATAAATAGATATCGAAGATCTATGAAATGTTCAAACTGTCTTAAACATGGACATTACAGAAGAAATTGTTGGTGGCAACCTTATTCATTTACCCACCAGTACTGGAAACCCTCACTCAAACAGGTTTGGGTTAGGAAGAACGCTACTGGTTGATCTTTGAGGTTTTGGGAGCTGATGTAAACCTTTGGTTTCTGGTTAATGGATGCTCCCTCCAAACCTCTGATGTAGCTGATCTCTACTGTTTCTGTTATACATATGGTGGCTTGGTATTGTTGGCAGTCAATATAAATTGTGGTTTAATTAGCTCACTGTTGATACATAAAGGTTCGTGTATTTTGGTTTTCCTGGTCATAGTTGCCATTAGATTGTCTTATAACATTGATGGATTTGTATGCATAGAATTTTTGCCTAGTTTATTGCAGCAAAAAGAGTTTAAACTGCATTATTCATTCCATGTGTTCATTATTGAGAATTGAGATTGCGATTGAGGGGGAGTACTCTCCCAGCTATCTCACTGATTCTAACAATGCAGTGTGGAGTACCTCTTGAAGATCCTTATGGGATTATAAATGAATTGGAGATGATTATGATTTTTAGCTTGTTAGTTGGAGTGTCAATTCCAGGGGGAGCTATGAAGTTTATGTCTTCAGTTTAGAAGTTTGAGTGTCTGCTTCGTTTGAAGTCATTAGCTAGAATCTTGCCTGAAGTCATTAGCTAGAATCTTGTCTTGTGGTTAGACTCATGTGTATTTACATGTTTTTAGTTGCAAGTTTCTTTGTGGTTGGGTATCTTTGTATCTGTGTGACTGTGTTGCAGGTCTATAGCAATCGACAATCTCTGACTTAGGGGGAGATTGTTGGAGGGTTAGAAGTCAGAATTGTTGTTTCCTTATTGAAGAGGACCGTTGCTGATTTCAAGGAGGAGAAAAGGAAAGCCTTAGCATTTTATGTCATCAGGACTTTCTTTCCTTTTCTGGTGCCAACGGCTCTGCCTTTGTATGGCTATATAAAGTCTTCATCCTCTTGCTGAAATTAACTTTTTGTAATGAAAATGATAGCGTTAGAGGGCTAGGCTTTGGGATTACAAAGGGCTTGACGAGTATAGAGGCATAGGTTCTATAACGTCAAGGTTGTGGCGGGTCTGGATTGGGATCCAGATTCTTTCTATTGTTCTTGTTATTTACGTTCTTCTTTTGAATTCCTCTTTATAGGTAAAATAAAAAAAAAGAGTCTCCTAGAAATCAGTGGTACTGATTCTAGGACGAGGACTGACCAGTAGTTTGGGAACCTCGTTAAAAATTTCTTGTGTTCTTCCTTCCATAATCTTGCTGTCTCTATTTCTCTGTGCATCACTCTGTTTTTCTTCTGTTTGAATTGTCTGCTGAAGGAAGAAGAAGAGCACAAACGGAAGTCTTATTGTTTGCTCGATTGGGCTAACAAGTACAAAAAGCCCTTTCGTCTCTTCTCTTTTTCAATTAATTATCATGGGCCTTTACAATCACTAAGCCCGTTGGTTTTAAGGAAAGAAAGACGAGCAGTTGGAAATCATTCCTCCACCTCTCCATCGTCTTCTTTCCTCTTTCCTTCCATATCACCGTTTTTCCTTAACAGTCCAAATCCCTAATTTCCAGCCACAGGTTGTTTTACACAACCTTGTTAATAAGTAGATATAAAAAAACTCTCCTATTGAAAAGACAACGTAGTTAATAAGTAGGGGGCTAAAAAATCAGGTTTGGCCCCTATTGATTTGACACTAAGGAACAATAAAATTCTTACTTGTTCTTTTAAAGATCTAATCACCGACAAATAACCCAATCACAATAGAGAACATCTCCCCTTGATAATAAAATTATTTTTTTAATCTCCTCTTGATTTGACACTAAGGAACAGTAAAAACCTTACTTGTTCTTCCCCTCTTCTGCGTGGAAAAACTGAAGACTCTCTTGATAATAAAATGATTTTTAATCCCCTCTTGATTTGACACTAAGGAACAGTAAAAACCTTACTTGTTCTTTTATAGATATAATATAACTACTACTTAATTGAGGATCAATGTTAGGGTTATAATCAATGTTTTGTTGAATGACTTATATTTACGTGGTACGAGGCAAATAATCAAGCTCCCAATAAGGATTGTCACATTTTGATTGTTCAACATAGGCCTAGCCCACATTAATTAACGAAAAGAAGCAAAGTGAGGAGATAAAAAAAACCACACAATAAAAAAGAGTTTTTACCAAATCATCCATATGAATCCACCAATGATCAAGCATCCAAATGGGGCTTGTAGTTGTCTACGGGAATACCCATCGTCTCGTGCATGAAATGAGATGCGAGAAATGGGAACATATCCGATGTAATGCAACATAAGGTGGCTCATTGTATGCCTCTTAGTAGAATGGAGTGGGATGCTCCAATTGTTTTGGTAGATATACCACCTATCTATTGTGCTACTCGATAATGTAACCTTTTATTCTGATTAATAAATAAACATATTTAAATATAAACATTCCGAAAAATCAATCAATATTGGCAGAAAATTTTGAAATAGCATTTGTATTTATATGAAAGATCGGTCACAAACTAAACGGGTAAATTGCAAGGTTAGTCGCTGGAAGTGCTAAAAAATTCACGTTTGATCACTAAAAGAATTTTATTCCGTTCGTAATCACTGAAAGTGGTTAACGTTTCACGTTTGGTCACTCTTTGTTAGTTTCCATTAACACCGTTAGTAATTTGCTGACATGGCTAACAGAAGTGCCTAATCAGCAAATTTTAATATGCCACGTCACAAAATCCAACCCACCATGTCAGAACCCTAATCCTAACCAAACCAATGCCCTGCCCCACCCTCTCTCTCTCTCTCTCTCTCTCTCATCTAGCTCTGCCTCTCTCTCTTTGTGAAGCTTTAAATGAGCCATGGATAGCCCGCAGTTGGATATTATGCAACGCCGACCGACGGAATCACCACTTCTTCTCAACCCAATTTCCATCTTCCAACATCAAGCCGTAATTGAACGACATCACGGTCATGACCTACTTGAAGGAAGAAAAGAATAATGATGGCAGTGGAAATTCAGGAAGGTTCTTCATCTCCAGCTCATCATCAGACAAGAAGGAAAGGAAATTACTATGGTTGGGATTCAATTAAAATCTCGATATAAGAAATGGCAAAGGTCATACCTCTCTGATAACTTGATATATACACATGTTTTTATCCACCATTCTTATGCCGTTTGAGCCTCATTTCTCGATCTTAGGCCGATTTCATGCTAGGTTGTTCTCGTTTGTGTTATTTCAGGTCATAGTACGTGATTGGAGGTTTGGAAACGAGTTTGGGGTCGATTGGACGAAAGTTGGACGTGTGGCGAGAAGCTGAGGAGTCCACACGGCCAGACCTAGCAGCCACACGGCCGTGTGTCGTGGCCGTGTGGAATCCCTTTACGCGGGCAAGGCCACACTGACCGTGTATGGACCCCTTGTGGCCGTGGGGAAATTCCAGGGAGCTCACACGGGCAAGCCAGTTTTCCACACGGCTGTGTAGCTTTGGCCGTGTAGCAATCGTTGAGGCACTTAATTGGAACGTTGCATTTTGGCTGTCACACGGGCAGACTGGGAATCCACACGACCGGGTGGCCTGGCCGTGTGGTCGGGAAATTCTGGGTTTTAACCCAATTTGAGCCTAAGGAGAGGGGAATCGATTTTCTGGAGCAAAAACATAGCCCTAGAGAGAAAGTGCGAAGAACACCCTCTAAGAGTGATTTTGGAGCTGGGTTTCATCAATCAAGCTTGGAAATCATCCTTGGAGTGAAGATCATCATCCCAGAGCAGATTCTTCCCATCTTGATGAGTATGACTGCTTTGTTTGATGTTTCCCTCTCTCTCTCTCTCTCTCTCTCTCTCTATGGAGTAGAACCCTCTCTCACTTGGGTATGAATTGAGTCAATTGAAGCCTGATCATCTTTTATTGATTTCTGCTGCAATCTGAGATAGATAGAATCTGATTAGGTTGTTAGAGCTTCTTCAATCGGTAGTAGTGAATCGATTATACGAGAGTTAGTCGATTCACTGCTTTGTACTGGAATTCAGTTCTAGTAGTGGAGTTCTGTGTTCATAGCCTCAGCTTTCTATCCCGGTGAAGACTAGTCGTCTGCCGGGTAGTTTGACTGAGAGGGCTTGGTCAGCTTAAGAGATTCCAAACTACTGTCGGATCTTCCGCAGTATAATCAATATTAAGGAAACCAAAAGTAATTACAACTGTGACCTAACTAAGGAGCTAGGGGGACTCATTCCCGAGTGACTCTTCCCTTGCTTTAGAAAACCGAACAATGTCCTGCTTTCTTACTGATTTTAGTTAAAATCACAACCACTCGACTTAGTTTGCTAGATAATAAATAATCACGGAGTAGGCAGTAGATCTAGGCCCGGGTTGACAAATAGAGCTTGCCACTTACTGCATTTCCGGACTACGATTACACTTGGTCGCAGTTTAGTGTTGTTTTTTAGCGTGTCATTCTCAATCTGTCTCTGATTGAACCCTCTCGGTGACCCTGATTCTCTTTCTCTCTTTCTTTTGCTCAGCAGAAGAGCGATTGCTTCTCTCCATTTAAACTAATTTAGAGTTGTTGGTTTGATTGTTGTGGGCTAATTTGTTAGTTGCCGCAATTTGACAGAGAGATAAATTTGGTTATTGTGATGGAGAGGATGGAGAGCAAGGAGGGTCAACCCATTTGTCAGAGAAGAGAATGTAAATTATTGTAATGGGGAGGAGGGAGAACGGAGAGCCGGAATCACGACGCTAAATTAGCAAAATTCCACAAGGCACTCAAACGACGGTAATTATCATTGCAGGGGGATTCGAAGGTCAAGGGTAGGCTGCTGGTCTGGAGGGTGGATGGGATATGGAGGCCGTTGTTGGTGAGGTTGAAAGTGATGGTGGAAGAGTTGATGGTGCGGGTGAGGGAGGGAGAGATGAGTCTCGGAGATGGGGATAGAGGATGAGAGGGACTATGTTGAAGAGGCGGCCGGTGTAAGAACGGCCGGGTCGAGTGAGGGGTTTGAATTGGGTTTGGGTTATGTAGTAGGGGTGATGTGGCGGGTCAGCTCTTATGGCGTGGCGAGTTAAATAGGGTTGATTAGGTGTTTTCGTTAGCCACTTCATCAACACACTAACGGTGTTAACGGTGTTAACGGAGGTTACGGAGATTAACAGAGAGTGACCAAACGTGAAACATCAACCCTTATTTGAAAGCCTATTAAGGCTTTTCCGGCGCACGCCGTTTCTGGTCGTAAAGCCTTGTAATGGTCTTGAGGAAAATTGGTTTTAATCCCATTAATTATTGTCTTTAATGTGATTTGCAGGAGTTGACGGTCACAAAAGGGACGTGGATCTGATCCCTCCGCCACCAGGACATAAATTCAATTGAATATTATAACCTAAAACATAATAACTTCTTTGAACAAAAACGTAAACCATAAAGAATAATCGATTAATAATAATCCTCACCGCAAAACAGGGTTTTGAAACGGTCAATTAAAGACCAAATAGCGTCATTAAAAGGCCGCTTTAATGACTCACTAGTCATTCATAACGTCTCATCGGAGACTTTCCGGAATTGAGGTCGGCGGCTCGCTGACAAGGTATCCCATCAGTTTTAACACGAACACATGGAGCGGGTCACTTTCTCCCTGATATCTATTCTTCCGAACAATGAAGATGCAGCCAAGCCTTACATCCCCTTGGAATCTGGAACTATAAGGCTACCACTCCACGTCCACCTTCGATGCCTTCTTTCTTAATTTCTTGCTAAGAAAATAAAAGAGTAGAAAAATAGGGGAATGCAGGGGGATCTCCATCTCTGTTTTTTTTTCACACCCACATTCCAATCTTCAGTGGACCATTTTCTCAGCATACTGGTTTCCCACTTCCTTGTGTCTGTCCTTCCCAAGGACCGACTTTTCCTCGGACCATCTACAATCTACAACATCTATCTATCTACATCTCAAAATTCAAATTCGACGTTGCGGAAAAGAAAAAAAAGGAGTAAGATCATAATCCTGAATAGGGGCGACTTCCTCACCGTATAGCAGCTTTGCTTTCCGTTCATAAACAAAATGTGACATGTTTCAGTAATTCGACTAGGTTATATGGGAACGGATCCCGTGTGTTCTCCCTCCCAGCTAGTAACATGTATCCAATTAGAGGTTGCTTTTCTGGTGTCTAAGAATGTTGATTTAAGTATGTAATCAAATAGTGTTTATATAAAACTAAGGGTTAATTGCATGGTCGGTCACTGAGATTACAAAAAACGTTCAAGTTTGGTCACTCAAAATATTTAAATCCGTTGGTGGTACTTCAGTTTACTGAAACCGTTCACGTTTGGTCACTCTCCGTCCAACTCCGTTAACTTTTGCTGACGTGGCGGTCAATTCTAAAAGTTGACCGTTAAATGTATGACGTGACAATTTAAAAATAATAAAATTAAAATTTCCAAAATTGTCATCTTATTTCCACTCATTTGAAAAGAAAGATGGGATTAAATGTGAAAACTGAAAAAAAAGAAAGAGGAATGGGGAATTGAAAGTTAAATAAACAGAGGGGTTTGAATGGAATTGAACCGAGAGAATCGACGATGCGGAAGCGAGTGTGTTGAGCCCTTTTGTTGAGGGAATCGGATACGGAGGTTGGGATTGTCCAGGCGTCCGACTTGCCTCCCACTGTTATCTCTTTGGCTTCTGCGCAGAAACAGAGGAGGCAGAGAAGCAGATAGGAAGAAGAGAAGAGAATAGTTGTGCGAGCGGCGGCCATGGAGGTGGTGGTGAAATAGAGACGAGGGAAGTAAGAAATAGGGTATGGAAGGCTAAATCGGTTGGCTGTTGCTTCTGAAGGGAGAGTGTGCAGAGTGAGTTACTGTTTGCAGCACTAGCAGAGCCAATCTCCCTGTGACTAACTGTAATATATAACCAAACCCCAGCTCTCAATAAAGGGCCAAACTTTTTAACTGCAAACCGGAAACAGAGCCAAAAAGGAGAAACTTATGAGCTAGCACTAGCAGCCATGGAGTTTGAACCACAACCATGAACGAGCTATGCACCGAGCAGCAAGTCTGCAGGCGGAAAAGAGCTCCGGAACTCCAATTTTCCGACGAAGAAACCAAAGGGTACAAATCCAAGAACCTCGTCGCCGAGAGGAAGCGCCGGCAGAAGCTCACCGATCGCCTCCTCATGCTCCTAGCTTCCGCCCCAATTATCACCAATGCTAGTCTGAAGTCTCTGATCTTTCTCCCCCAAACATGATCAGTTCCAAATTTCTTCTCCAGTTTGTATTATTGAGCCAGATTACATGTTTCTCGTTTCCGTTCTGTGTTCGGTTTGTTTTTACAGATGAACAAGGCGACGATTCCATTCAAACCCCTCTGTTTATTTAACTTTCAATTCCCCCATTCCTCTTTCTTTTTTTCAGTTTTCACATTTAATCCCCTCTTTCTTTTCAAATGAGTGGAAATGAGATGGCAATTTTGAAAATTTTAATTTTATTATTTTTAAATTGCCATGTCACACATTTAACGGTCAACTTTTAGAGTTGACCACCACGTCAGCAAAAGTTAACGGAATTGGACGGAGAGTGACCAAACGTGAACGGTTTCAGTAAACTGAAATACCACCAATGGATTTAAATATTTCGAGTGACCAAACTTGAACGTTTTTTGTAATCTCAGTGACCAACCATGCAATTAACCCATAAAACTAATATAGTTGATTTTAATGATGATTTTTCTTTGGTTAAAGTGTTATAAATAGGTTATAATCAGGTACATTTGAGAGGATCCCTTATGGGTTATCCTAGCGCTTAATGGTAATTTTTTATTAACCATAAAAATTACAAAATATTTTAAAAACACTACTATTTTTTTATTATTATCCAGAACCTCAACTCCATGCGCCACTTTGTGACAGCGGGGCCTACTAAACCTGAGGACCACCTGCATTCAATTCGAGGCTAACGGGGCTTCGCCCCCAACAGCTTTGTACCTCGGGAATCACCAATGGGCCTCACTTGGATTCGAACCTGAGATTTGCAACTCTCAAACCTTCACTCTCGCGACAGCTTTACCGTTAGCCTGTCTTACTTTTGGTAAAAAAACACTACTATAAGCCACCACATCTTCCCTTCCATACATTGTGGTTGTGTGTGTTTTTTCTTCATACAATCTCCCAATTTAAGAGAAAAATATAGAGAATTTTGGAGTTTTTCTAGCCTATAAATATGTAGTTGTTTTAGTGTTAATGAATAAGAAGATTGGAAGCCAAATAGCTTTTGTTATTTTTTCTTTAGTTTTATGACAAGTTCGTGTTAATTTATAAGAGCCTATCTAGGGGTGTACGTGGGTCGGGTGGTTCGGGTTTGGTCATTTTAATCACCCGACCCATGTACTACGATTTTGAAAATATTAAAGCCAAACCCATCAAAAAAATTAGAACCCTACGACTTGTTTATAATTGGGTTGGGTCGGGTTGGAGATACATTTAGTTAAAATCCCAACCCAACACAAAAATGCAACTATTATGCACTACAAAAATGCAACTATTCTACACTGCAAAAATATTATATAACTAATTAAAATTTTAAACAAATAAATCAAGACGAAAAGTATCAATATGCATACATGTTATTTGGATTTTAATGAAATGAAATTTACTTCAACATATGTCTAGTTTTTTCATAAATATTTGTCAAAATAAGCTAAAGGGGTTATAAGCTAACACTTTCATAATATTACTGCTCTTCTAAAATTGTACACAAGAAAAATATTACGTAAATAATAGCCTATATTAAATCTACGCCTAAATATTAAGTTGAAGAATGTAATAGGCTAGGGAAACCACAAGAGAAAAATATGACAAGATAGGTTAATTTTCACACAAAAATGTTCGGATACGAACACTTATGAAAATAGTTCAACACGGGTTGGGTCGGGTTATACGAGTTGCGTTACCCAAAATTCACACCCAACCCAATAAAGGCGGGTTGTACAAAAGAAAACCCACATCTAACGATAAACTTTAATTTTGACAATAAATATGGGTTGATTGAGTCTTGTTGGACGGATGTGTCGGTTTACAAATTGTTTTGTTCAATGCCTATTCCATCAAAGAATTCACACATAACACAGTACAGTATAAGGAAATAGACTATTTTATACCAAAATGTGTTTGTTGCACAATCTTTTCTCGTTTCTGTTACTGGCACATCTCGTTGGCTAATGAATTATTAGATGCCATAGGTTGAAAAGGTGACCAACTTGGGTTTTGGTTGCTTCAGTTACAAACTTCCATCTATATGTCCAATAAAGAAGCAGCCACATAATATCATGACACATACCTAGAATGGTTATTGTCAAACAAGTCCTTATGGTCACCAGTAATATGAACTAGAGTCAACGCAAGCATCCAACTTTCCACTATCGGTTGACTCTAGGCAAATATTTGTTAACTTTGACATTTGCTTAAGCAACAAATTATACTGCTATCCTGCTTCAAAAGAATTGTAGTTTCTAAGAAGAAGGATGTAATTAGGAACTGAAATGTCAAAATATAACACAATTAGCCAAATATTGATAGATACTACAACTATAGAGGACTGTTTGATACAAAAGTACAAAACCATACCATCTTTTCTGCAGTGCCAGTGCTCCCACCCTGCTTTCACTCCATTTGAAATTTGGGCATTGGGTAACCAATTAACAAACGGCTATGCACTACTCCCCACACCAACTTTCCAAAGCCCCAAAGGATCCTCCTGTTCTTCTGCTTCTGGCTTCTGCTCCCAATTAAAATAATACTCCTCAAAACTGAAAACTTTTCCCTCTCTATTTTCTCTCTCCTTGCTTGGAGAGTGTCATTATTTGCTCTTGTGCTCACCAAGAACTTCTTTTATTTGCTTTTGTGCACTTTTCGAAATTCAAAAACAATCATGAACAAACCAAAAGGACAGATTTTTCCCCGGCAAGCCTAGCAGCCGAGACTTGCTCATTCCTCCCATTTCCTCAACTCCCCAAAACCTTAACCCTTCTTCTATGACTCGACCTGCTCTGCTGCTCCCCTCTTGTTCTCAGTAGAAAGTAGAAACCACCCATTAAAACCCCCAAACCTAGAGACAGCAAAACCCTTGTTCCATTCTTCTTCTTCTCCCTCTTTTTTTTTTTTTCTTGTCTTTACTTTTGTCCTTTTCTCCCTCTTCCTGTAGCTCAAGCTTCACTAATCACCAGATTTGAGTATACAGAATCAGAGAGCAACCTAGAGCATCTTGCTGAAAGAGAAAGAAGAAAAGCTTCTTCCAGTGAAGGAAAAATGGAAATGGGTGCCCTTGGATGGGTGTTTCCTCTCATTTATGCAGCAACCCTTTTGAGCTCTACCTCTCTTGCTTTGACTGAAGATGGTAAAGTTTACAACCTTTACTTTAGCAAAGACTGCTCCTTTTTCTATATGATCCCTCCTTATTTAGCATCTCATTGTGTTTCTTTCTGCTGTTTGATTTCCATTTCCTTTTCTTGTTTACCATTAGTAGAAGCTGGAGCTTCTTACAAAGTATGCATCTTTTGGTTGATTGAACTCTCTCCTGGGTTTGTTTCTAGGTATTGCATTGTTGGAACTGAAGGGAACATTGAACGATACCAGGAACATGCTTGCCAACTGGGTAGCCACTGATGAATCTCCTTGCCTATGGACTGGCATCTCTTGCTATCCTGATGACCATAGAGTCAGCTCAATGTATGCTGCCCACCAACTCCATTTTCCTTCAAATTTGTCTTGTTCTGCTAGGCTCTAGGTTGAGGATGAGGATCCTTTTGGCATTTTCATCTAATGTGAGAACTCAACTCTGTTTCTGCTTCAGAAACCTTCCTTACTTGCAACTTGGAGGGATCTTATCTCCCAGCATTGGGAAAATTAGTAGATTACAGAGATTGTAAGTTAACTTTCCTTTATTCTGTTCCCTATGCTTTGTTTGTACTTCAAACCTAACCTAGAAAAGATGGCCTGAAAATTGTTGTTTGGGAAACAGGGCGCTTCATCAGAACAGCTTACATGGGGTCATTCCAAATGAAATTACCAATTGCAAGGAGCTCAGAGCCCTGTTAGTGGATCAGAATATGATTTTGGTCTTTCATGGTATTCAATCTTGTCCTTAGTTTGACGCTAACTTGTTATCATGGCATGTATCTTGTTCAGGTATTTGAGAGCTAATTATCTGCAAGGAGGCATACCTTCTGATATTGGGAATCTCTCCAGTCTCAATATATTGTGAGCTTTCTCCCTATTATGCTCTTTAGTTCCAGTTGGGACTGATGATACCATCAAACTTGACTGGTTTCATCCTGTGGTGGTCTGGAAACTTACAGGGATTTGTCTAGCAATTTGCTGAAGGGTGCCATACCTTCATCTATTGGCAAGCTTACACGCTTGCGCCACTTGTAAGTTGGTTTCACACTGAAATTTAATATGTTGAGCTTTTATAAGTTGGATGTGTTCTTACCTGATTTGTGTTTTATGTTACTGTTGTTGCAGGAACTTGTCCACCAACTTCTTCTCTGGCGAAATACCTGACTTTGGTGCTCTAAGCACATTTGGGAATAGTTCGTGAGTGTGTTAATTTTTTTAACATCTCTAAGCTATGGATACAAGACTTGAAAGTGAATCATGTTGTAGGCCTTGGCTTAGACATTGTTTTAAAGGCTGCATTTACAGAGAATCAGAGATGAACCATTTATACATGTAGAAAGGTTCATCCATGTATGAATGTACTTGTAATTGCAATTGAGACTAGGATTGCAATCTATACATATAATTAGCAATGAAATATTTACTCGGTAGTACAAGGCATAAGGAAAATGCATTTAATTTGACCATCTTCGCTTCTGTTTGACAGTGTCATGCCTTCTGAGCTCAAACTAAATTTTGCATTGCTCATTGTTAGGTTTACTGGAAACTTAGATCTTTGTGGAAGGCAAGTGGCAAAGCCATGCCGAACATCACTCGGTTTCCCTGTTGTGCTACCACATGCTGCTAGCGAGGAAGCAGGCGGCAAGCACTGATCTTACCCTTTTTGTTTTCAGAATATTAACAGTATCCTACTGCTGATATTGTTGATATGTTTATGCAGTTCCCACGAAACGTTCTTCTCATTACATCAAGGGTGTTCTGATTGCTGTAATCTCAGCAATGGGCATAACAATCATTGTGCTCTTTGGTTTTCTCTGGGTATGCTTACTGTCAAAGAAGGAAAGAGCTGCAAAGAAATACACCCAAGTCAAGAAGCAAGTTCACAAGGAAGCAAGTGAGTTTCTTTTTCTGATGGATATCTTTGTTTGCAATACTACCAACCGTTTAAGAATTAGAGTTTTTGTTTCGGCAGGCACGAAGCTTATTACTTTCCATGGTGATCTACCATACACATCGATCGAGATAATAGAGAAGCTGGAGACTCTCGATGAACATGATGTGGTAGGGTCTGGAGGATATGGTACTGTCTACCGTATGGTCATGAATGATTGTGGAACATTTGCTGTAAAAAGGATTGACAGAAGTCGTGAAGGTTCTGATCAAGTTTTCGAGAGGGAATTAGAGATTTTGGGAAGCATCAAGCATATCAATTTAGTGAACCTTAGAGGCTACTGTCGGCTCCCCACATCAAAGCTTCTGATATATGACTATGTTGCCTTGGGCAGTCTAGATGACTTTTTGCATGGTAATGATTTAAATCTTTGTATTAGTTCAAGATTGTCTCCGGTAAAAGGGTAACATGAAGTATGTAGATGCAAATGACTTTCTGTGACTCGTTATTTGAATTCCCACTAGCCACTAGGTATGAAATGTCTGCTTCCATCCTCTATGAAAATCACTTCCTACGACTCATGCTGTATTGTTTTCTTTCAGGACAAGCTGAAGAAGACCGTGAATTAAAGTGGGGTGCTCGTCTAAGAATAGCCTTAGGTTCTGCTCGGGGAATCGCATACCTGCACCATGACTGTTCTCCTAAGATAGTCCATCGAGACATAAAATCTAGCAACATTTTGCTCGATGAAAACTTGGAACCGCACGTCTCAGATTTTGGTCTTGCCAAGCTTTTAGTAGACGAAGATGCCCACGTTACAACTGTAGTTGCTGGAACGTTCGGTTATTTGGCACCAGGTATTTCTATTTATGTGCATGTAGACTAGCATATGCTGAATGAAGAGAAGCAATAAAATATCACATTCTGCCTTTCCTGAACAGAGTATCTACAGAGCGGGAGGGCAACTGAGAAGTCAGATGTGTATAGCTTTGGAGTTCTAATGCTTGAGCTAGTGACTGGGAAGAGACCTACTGACCCGGCGTTCGTGAGGAGGGGCCTGAATGTCGTTGGATGGGTAAGTAGGATGGAAGTTTAGTCTTCATTTGTCAGCTGAAATTTTGTGGTGGACGAGCTGTTACTGAATGTCTGAATCCATTTAAACTCGTGCAACGCACAGATGAACACACTACTGAGGGAGAACAGGCTCGAAGATGTGGTTGACAAAAGATGCACTGATGCAGAAATGGAAGTTGTCGAAACATTGCTAGAGATTGCAGCAAGGTGTACCGATGCAAACCCAGATGAAAGGCCGACCATGAACCAGGTGCTTCAGTTGCTTGAGCAGGAAGTAATGTCCCCTTGCCCCAGTGAACTCTACGAGTCACAATCAGACTATTGCTGAAGAGGTCTCAAACAGGTGGTAGACAGTAACCATTGATGGATTCATCATGCATTCCGACTGGCTAAGCCTTTGAGGGCCAAATGGGGTTTTTGACGAATTGGTCTTATTATGTATGCCTATTCCTTTTGAGGCATTCCCTGTAAATGATTCTCTTCTCTTCTTGGAAGATGTCGGATTGGATGATATGAATGTTCTGGTGTCACTATGCCAAGTTTGCTACCTCTTGTGTAGATTTGATATTACACTATCCTAGTTCTTGGTGTTTGTCAATGCGTAGTTAGGTTATTCAACTATTGGTTTTGGTTGACTGGTTGATGCGTTAGTGATGAGGACATTCGTAAGAAACAGGGTTTAGGCGTGGAGGGCAGGGGAGAGCTTGGCACATAGGGGGTATTTTGGGGAGTTGTTAATTAGAGGATTGAACTTGTTTATTTTGGATTAAGAAAAAAATTGGTTAATTACATTTTGTCACTGAGATTATAAAAAATGTTAAAGTTTGGCCACTTGAAATATTTAAATCGGGTTAATTGCATGGTTGGTCACTGAGATTACAAAAAATGTTCATGTTTGGTCACTATAAATATTTAATTTCATTCTTAGTCACTAAGATTAATTAAACAGTTCAAATTTAGTCACTCTCCGTCCAATTTCATTAACTTTTGGTTACGTGGCATTCAACTTTCAAAATTGACTGTTAAAAATGGTCACTGAGATTACAAAAAGCGTTCAAGTTTGGTCACTCAAAATATTTAAATTTGGTCACTGAGATTACAAAAACTTTAACATTCAACTTTGGTCACTGAGATTACGTTCAACTTTCAAAATTGCATGGTTGGTCACTGAGATTACAAAAAACGTTCAAGTGTGGTCACTCAAAATATTTAAATCCATTGGTGGTACTTCAGTTTACTGAAACAGTTCATGTTTGGTCACTCTCCGTCCAACTCCGTTAACTTTTGCTGATGTGGTAGTCAACTCTAAAAGTTGACCGTTAACTTAGTGACGTGACAACTAAAAAATTATTAAAAATAAAAAATTAAACTTTTATATTTTCCACCTCATTATTACATTCATTAAAAAAAAAACCTAATTTCTTTATTTTTTAGAAACGAGACTTCTCGCAATCTCTGGCTCTGCCAAACGAGAGAGGGGGTGATTTATTGATTTACCCATAGTAAAACCAGAAAATGTTGAACCCACACCTCCACAGTAAAATCGGCGTCGTCTTCGATGCTGCCGGATGATAAATCCGACGATGAACAACGGTACACCGCCGCCCGCGCGATCTTCCAGTTCCCACCGTTTGACCTTTTCTTCTGAATCGTCTAACATTTTTTGTTTGTTTGACTATTTCTACCAGCAGAAGGCGGCAACATGGAGGTCGTCCTAACACGAGCACTCGCGGCGGCGTCCCTGGTGTTCATCGCCGGGGCCGCCGCCGGGTACTACCGGCGGAGGCCGAGCCAGCAGCAAGCGAGTCGTCCCGAGGCTGGACGATGCGTCCGGCAGCGGCGGCAGAAAGGTAGAGGGGTTCTCGCACTACGTGGCGAGGCAGCTAGGATTCTCAGATCCGAGCGAGTGCCCGCAGCTGTGCAAGCTGGCGTACGACTACCTGAGGAAAATTGACGGTTGCGAGGACAACATCTACGATTATTTTGCAAGATCCGAAGGCGGCAGCGAGCTGGAGAAATTGCTGTCCGGGAAGCTGGTGGAGGAGCTCGAGAAATGCATTTTGAGCTCGAGAAATGCATTTTCGACATCATCGGCGTCGTCTTCGATGCGGCCGGATGATAAATCCACCGCCGTCGGTGCTAAATCTGGAAAGGGTGTGTGGTGTTTGATCAGGGTTTTGGCTGGCGCCTATCCTTGAAGTTCTGCCAATCGGAATCGGCAGCGGCGGTGGTGGAGGTGGCGGGGGCGCAACCGATGAAGAAGAGCAAGGATTTTGATTTTACGGTGGAGGTGGCAGGGGCGCAATCGTTGATGAAGAGGCAAGGGGAGGGAGATACTGGAGTGAAGGATACCACCGCTAAACAAGGGAAGCCGGATTGAGAGTCGGAAGTGAGGAGGATTACTCGTTTGTTCTTATTTTCAATAATATATATATATATGGTGGCTACTTCGGTGCACTCACTTTTTTGGGTGCATTCAGTGCATCCACCTTTAAAAGTGGTCATAATACATCAAATTTTGAAATTTAATGGGTAGCATTAGTCTCATATGATGATATAACACATAATCACTACTAATCAACCCACTACCCTAACCTATTAACATTCAATTTTGAATCTAAACCCAAAATCCCAAATTGTAAACCCTAACCCTAACCCTAAATTCCTAAACCATGAATCATTCAAATTAAAGTGAATCTTAAATGATTTTTGTACAAATTCATGTGGTTCTTGTTCATCATACTACAAGGGATGATTGACATCGTTTTCACATGAATCGTCTGCTCAGAATGACGATTATGAGGCGGGTGCATTGAATGCACCCAAAAAAGTGAGTGCACCGAAGACATAACCATATATATATATATATTAATAGTTAGAAATGAGGTGAAAATTTTAAAATTAAAAATTATTTATTCTATTATTTTTTAATTGCCATGTCACACATTTAACGGTCAATTTTTACAGTTGACTGCCACGTAAGCAAAAGTTAACGGAGTTGGACGGTGAGTGACTAAATTTGAATTGTTTAACTAATCTTAGTGATTAAGAATAAAATTAAATATTTTTAGTGACCAAACATGAACGTTTTTTGTAATCTCAGTGACCAACCATGTAATTAATCCTATTTAAATCCATTGGTGGTACTTTACTTTACGAAAACCGTTCATGTTTGGTCACTCTCCGCTAGATGCCGTCTATCTCCGTTAACGGAGTCCGTTAAGTGATGATGTGGCGGACGACATAGTCTAATCGTCACTATTTAACCTGAAAAATAGTCTGACCTGACCCACCAGCTCATCTAAACCTATCCAACCCTCTAACCAAACCAGACCCAACCCTACCCACCAACTAAAGTACACACCAAGATTAAATCCCTAATTTCCAAAACAAATCAACACCCTCCCCTTCTTGATCCTGTGTGCACACCTCCGAGTACGCCTCTACTAAACCCATATAAGTCACCTCGATCTAGGCTATCGTATATTGGGCATTAATCTCGTAGCTCCTTTTAATGGATACTATCCACCGTCCACATCAAGGTTTTATCACGAGTTCTATCTAGGAAGGTTACCTATGACAGGGGTTCGGTCGCCTTAACCACCATAGATCCCTATTTATACATCTACCTCAATTTGCTTGATGACGCATACCCGTTTAACTCTAACACTCCAAACCCAACGTAGAAGCGTAAAGTAGGCTAGTAGAGAAGATTAGTGCGACTTACCCAAATACATCAAAACTAGAATAGCAATTAAATCAACTAGATAAACACATTCATTCATTAACCCATTCATACACAACCTACAAACTAGGGTTCATCTTCTCTAAACAACCAATAGAGATTCAAGTCATTAGAGAGAAAAAGAAAACACAAACTAGAAGAAGGGAGTGATTGAATCAATCTTCTTCTCCTTGCTTGCACCTTCTCTTTGCTCTTTGGGTGGATTGGATCTTCAATGAAGCTCTCCCAAGGTGTTTTCCTCTCTAAAACATTTCAAACCTAACTTTCTCACTCTAGGGAGGCTCTCTTTGCCCCACATAGGTATGGGGCGGGTACGAGTTTGGATATTTGAAAGCGGGGATGGGAATAATTTAGGTGAACCCGCCCCATTGTCATCCCTAATCTTCTCCCTCTTAGGTCAGTTTGCCCCTACAATAGAAGACTTTATCAAGAACACCCAATTTCGTGAAAATACCTCAATCACCTATATAAATCACAATACCCATTCACAATAAAGGTCACAATCTACAATCTACAACATGTCAAACTAGGGTTCCTATCATCCAAGTGACAAGGATGACTTCTTCATAGCTAGGAGAGAAATAACAACTAAGGTAGAGGAAAAATCCATAGCAAAGTGATTCTCCCTCCTCCTTTCTTTCCTTGCTCGGAGCTTTCTCTCTCTATGTTTGAAGAAGAACCCTTCAATCTCTCTCTAGAACTCTCCCTTTCAAATTCAACACACTCTCCTTTATGTAGCTCACGAGTGCACATATCATCGCATCACATCACACATGTGAAGTCGGTAGTGAAACCGTGATCTCGGCGCAAAACACGCCGTTTCACTAACGAACTTCATGGGTTGCTTGTTGACTTCACGGTATGGAGACCATGATCTTGGCAGTACCTGCGAGCCACACAAAACCTCCTGGAAGTGTGCAGACTTCATGGTTTACTTGACCACTTCATTGTCTATCGCTCGTGATGATAACAACAACATCGTGATCCTTGCACTTTCATCCATTTTGCTCTCTTTTCGCTCTCTTTTTTCCAACTTTTGATCCCGGTGCCAAGATTACCTGCTACGATATGAAACATGAGACAATACGAGCAAACCTAGCATAAAATAGCTCTAAGGACGGTGCAAACCAAGACAAACCGTGCGAGGCAAGGGGTGTAAAAGTGTGTAATCTAACCCGTATAAAAATCAAATTGAAAAAAGTAACATATGATTAAACTATTATTTCAAAGTTAACTAACCTTGCGGAACCTTTGAATAATACGAGTTGATGACATGTAAATATTTTAAATAAAAATAATGGAATTTTGCTTAATAGCAAAATTAAATTTTAGAAAGTAACATATGATTAAACTGTTATGTCAAAGTTAATTAACTTTGTGAAATATTTGCATAATGCGAATTGATGACATGTTTAACATTTTAATTAATAAATATGACATTTCAGTTAATAACAATATTAAACTTTTTTTTTTGGCAAAGATAACAATATTAAACTTTAGAATGTAAAATATAATTAAACTATTGTATCAAAGTTAACTAACCTTTGCGAGACATTTGCTTAATGCGTGATGACATGTTGAATATTTTAATTAAACAATAATGAAATACGGATTAATAATAAAAGAATAATTTAATATTATTCCCATTATTTTGGAGGAAAAAGATTTATCGAGAATTGGGTGTAGAAATAAAACCCGACTGTAATAATATCACGAAGAGAGAAAATATCCTATTTTTTTCCTAATGAAAGTGAAAAGTGCCTTTGCTTTTAATCAGACATGTCCAAGAGAGTGTGTGAGGACTAAGGAGGCCCTAAGGCACAAGACCTCCAAAAATTAGGGGCATCCAACTAATCACGAAGAACCACTCCCGCTCACAGCGAGGAGCAACTCGCGGAAAGCCCACAACCGCGGAAAGGACTATACTCGCGGATTGGGTTCCACCATACGGGACGCGCCCGCAAATACCAAGCCGCCAAACGGAGTCGTTTTGCTCAACTCAGGTCGGATCAAGAAGCAAAGAAACGACATCGTATTCCTCAAGGCTCTTCTTAATGCTCCAGAGGGTCTCCTCTGTTTCATGGTAGGAGAACTCAGTTTGGGCAATGGCCTTGGTAAAAGGATCCAACTTGGAGCATGATCTCTCAGTGTCTCGAGCAAATTGCTCCACGAGAAGCCTCGATTGTTTGTTCGGATCCTCTTGTGGAGTGTAGCATGGCTCTGCAGAATGGCCCGTGAAGGTCGCCATGGCGAACTTCAACTCCGATGGCCCTTTTGGTTGTGGGAGGAATTCTTCCTGATAAGAACATTGTTCTTGAGGTTCCCAAGGGTCTGGTTGTTCTCCACAGTAGGGGAGTTGGTATTGAAACCTGAATCCATGGGATTTTTCCAGAAATAACACCTTTAAAAAAAATTACAAAAATAGCACACATCCGTAAAAATTTACACTAATAGCACCCTTTTTAATAAAACGCACCTTGTAGATGCGTTTTACATATAAATCGCACCCTAAGAGTGCGTTTTACAAATAGATCGCACTGGTAAGGTGCGTTCCCATTATCTGGACTCAAATCGCACTTTAGCCAAGCGATTTACCTCTGACCTACTGAAATCGCATGGCCGAGGTGCGATTTTAGGTCTGACCTATTAAAATCGCATGGCCGAGGTGCGATTTGTTTCTGCTAGACAAAATTGCACCATGAGGATCCGATTTTAACATACAAACCACACCTTGAAGGTGCGGTTTTGGTCAATCAATTTCCGACATGCCATGCAGACGTAACAGACGTGGGTCTGCATGGGCCTGTATGGCAGACGAAAATCGCACCTCTAAGGTGCGGTTTTCATCAGTGATTTTGCCTATAAAAGGCCTCCCGGACAACCACTTCTCTTCACACCTCTCCTTCTCCCTTCCCTTTTCAATTTTCTGTTGTAGCTCTATATTTCTTTAGTAGTTTTGCGATTAACGTTAACTCGTAAGTTGATGTAGCTCTATATTTCTTTAGTAGTTTTGCGATTAACGTTAACTCGTAAGTTGATGTAGCTTTATATTTCTTTAGTAGTTTTGCGATTAACGTTAACTCGTAAGTTGATTTAGTATTACATATTTCTTTAGTAGTTTTGCGATTAACGTTAACTCGTAAGTTGTTTTAGTATTACTTTTTATTGTTATTTTTTATTTTTGATTTTTATGATATTAACTTAACTATGGTTTTAGCGCAGATGGCATTCCAAAAGTTCACGCTTGGCTTACGGTGGAATGGTTACACGGAAGAGACCGGAAAGGGTGCCACCTACGTAGGTGGAAATTTTCAGAAGATAAAGGTCGCTACCAGACCGCTGCTTGAAGACCTCCATAAAATGTGCACTAGCGTTACTTGCATGGATGGCACGAGAAGAGTTGATCGTATGGTGTACCGATATCCAAACAGAGAAAGTGGGTCATTGTGGCATGAGGAATATCTCATAACCACTCAGGATGAGGTAGACGCCATGCTCGAATTCATGAGGTCCAACAATCTTTCCAAAGCCGAGATGTTCGTTTACACCGAGCCGGTCGTAGGCGTTGGAGGTAATTCTAGACACGGTCAAACATCTAGTATCCATGGTGGAGGTGAATTATATGGCGATCATCCCTACCAAAGTTACCATGATCCTCATTCATATTTTCAGTACCAAGAGCAAGGTGAAGGTCATCATCAATCATATGAAGAAGAAGTTCAACCGGACCGGCCCAACCAACCTCAGTACAACTTCCTCTCAGGCAGCGGTAGTTTTCACAACTACCATTATGGAGCTGATGAAGGTGCCTTTCATGAGCTGGATCAGATGGAGGATGTCATGCCAGCACCAGTCAGTAACCCCTCCGATGAAAAAGGAGAGAACAACTTCAGTGCAGACAGCTCCGACCCTCTTGAAGGTGCCGATGATTCCAGACCAGAGTCAGACTCAACTAATGATGATGAGTTGGCGATCAACTTTGATGCCGTTAAAATGCCTAATCGAGTCCTATCGTGCCCTTTTGAGAAAGGGCAAGATAGTTGGGTGGAATGGGAGCACATTGGTCGTACCCCTGTAGCGGATTATTGTTTGTGCCTCCTAGGAAAAATTTACACGTTAATTATTATATATTAGTAAGGGTTTATTCCTTATAACTAAATTAATTAAATTAAATTATTTAACTTCAAGCAGAATTTTATTATCATAAAAAGACATTTCATATAATTAACATAATAGCATTCTAAATTAATAATAATTTAAAGAGATACATACATATTATCATAAAACGAACATCCTAAATTAATTAACATAATAACATTCTAAATGAATAATAATTTAAAGAGATACATATATATTATCGTAAAATAAACATACTAAATTAACTAAATTAAATGACATTGTTAATGAATCAATATTTTAAAGAGAAACATACATATTCAATTGTTTGAAATTAATAAAATTCCATTTGTACACATAAAAATAAATCGTAAGGACTGTTTGGTAAATTATTTAATCGTTTTGGTTGTTTTAAATAATTTAATCGAATACAAAGCAACACTCGTTAGACTCTTAGAAGAGGTATACATCTTTTTAGAAACGCAGTCTTGTTGACAGAAAAAGGGGGGATCCGAGGATCTCTTAATACCCGATTTTCCCAGGGAATGGGAGGATATGATAATCGCTTAAAACCCCATTTCCTTAGACGTGCATCTCTTTATAAAGAGTCGAAGTAAGTGGCGCTATGTATTCGATTAAATTATTGAAAACAACCAACACGATTAAAAATTCAACATAAATTTATTTTATATTCCACTAAATACATTAACAAAATAAAAGAAGGACAAATGGTAAAGAATTGTATGTATCGGGTGTGCGTTCCAAACATCCCTTGACCGATGGTTGGGTTGGTCGTACAAGTCGGTTGGATCCAGCGGTCCTTGCTCGGGATAATACCGTTGGTTGTAAATATCCACGTCCTCCGCAGCCTACGAGAAAATAACAACGAGGTTAGTACATAGATTAATTAAAAAGCAAGATAACAACAACAAAAATTAAACCCGAATAATGAGTACGTACCGCTTGAAATTCATCAACAAAAACTCCTTCTCCTTGCCACCAATCGGCCATTTTTTCGGCGCAATTCGGACAGAGCTTCGGCTCGGCTCGGCGGGTTTTGAGGAAAAAACCTAAGAAATGTTTTCTGATGGCAGATCGGACTTTGTCGCAACCAACAGACCACTATTTCCTAGGGTTTTGGGAGGGGGAGGGTTTAGAGAGATAAAACCTAGAGAGAGAAGGAAGAATGGGTTGTGGTGTGAAGAAATGAGAGGGGAAGGGGGGTATTTATACCCATCAGATCGCAGGCTCCAGGGGCGAGGCGGTAATTTTACCCTCGCGCGGATCGCACTCTTCCAATGCGATTTGCGCTTCCCTAGGCGCGGATTGCACCCTTCCGATGCGATTTGTGCTTCCTTGGGCGTGGATTGCTCCGCTGGCGTGCAATCTGGGATCCTCGGCGCGGATCGCTCCGCTGGCATGCGCTGAGCCGTCAGATCGTCCCTCAATCCGACGATCTTGAAGATCGTTCCGCGTCCTCCCCAAATCGCATCTGTTTGGTGCGTTTTATTTTATGGATTGCACCCCTCTGATGCGTTTTACATGTAGATCGCATCTGTTTGGTGTGTTTTACATTTAAAACGCATCTTAGGGGTGCGTTCCAAAAAAATTGGTGCTAGTTTTGTATTTTTTTTTATATGGGTGCTATTTTTGTAATTTTTTTTAAAGGTGCTATTATTGGAAAAATCCCTGAATCCATAGCCTTCTCCTGCTTGATTGCTCCAGGATGTGTCGAGTAATACCACTCGGGTGCTGGTGGATACCCCCAATGGTTTGAGAAGCCATGAGGATCAATGATTCAAATCTACACCAACAAAAACAAAAACAACCAAGTGAAAAGTAAGGGTGGAAAAAAAATGATAAAGTAACAAACTTATGCATTTTCTAATAATCTAGAAATTCCCCGGCAACGGCGCAAAAAACTTGACACGCTACGATGCAACTCCGAACAATGGCCAAGTGTAATAAATGAAAGGGACTGCAGTATAGTGGCACAAGTAATAACTAATAAATATCGAATCCACGGGTCTCTAGAGTTACTATTACTCAGCTTCAGTTCATTATCTAGCAAACCAGATTAATGATTGATTTACTAAACTACTCTACTAACTAAGCTAAGGCTAAACTACTAATTAAAAGTTGGGAACTCGCTTAGGTATGATTCCCCCTAGCTCCTCAATTAGGTCCAAGCTGTAATTACCTTTGGTTGATCTATTGTTGATTAAACTGCAGAAGATCCTAAATTAGTTTGGAATCTCTTAAGCTGACCAAGCCCTCTTAGACAGAATACCCGGCAGGCGACTAGCCTTCGCCGAGATAGACTGCTAAGACGATTCACACAGATCTCCACTACTGGAATGAATTCCAAAACAAAGCAGTGAATTGACTGACTCTCGCACAACCAATTCAATACTATCAATCAAGGAAGCTCTCTTAACCTAATCAAATTATATCTATCAAAGGTTAAAGCAGAAATCAAGAGAATTTGACCAGGATTCAATTACCTCAAATATTTCATGTCTCAATCGATTATAATCACACAATATAACATCCAAAACTTCATACAAGAAAGATCCTAACACATGGAACTAGGGTTTCTCAAAACCTAAGTGAAGGGAAGTTACTCCATAGAGAAGATATAGACTGCAGAAATCTGATCTAGATCTTCAATATCCATATCCAAGCTTGATTCTCGAGCTCCAATGGTGAATAAATCCTCCAAAATAGCTACAACAATGATCCCAAGTCGCTCTCTCTCTAGGGTTCGTCCCTTGGGTGTTTGGGATCCAAAACCCAGCTCTCTCTCTCCAAAAATCGCAAAACAACTTTTATACCCTCTGAGATTTGCACCCCCTACTTGCACGGCCGTGCAAATTGGGGTTTTGGTAGTGCAAACCCCCTGGAAAACTCACACGGCCGTGCACAATTTCCAGCATGCACTCCTAAACTTCGTTGAGCTCGTTTGACCTCCGATTCAGGTGCTGTTTGATCCCAGATGCTCGTAGTCTCGTCCTCTTTCTTTTCATGACAAGATTACATGATTATTTGTCAATAAAATGAGGTAGAAATCCATTCTTCCTCAAGTTATTTCCCAGTTTCTCCCCCCGAGTCGCCAATTGATCTCCGATTGACTTGAAACTTGCGCCTAGCCTTCACTTTACATGCTAGGACCTGAAATGTGACAAAGGAACACAACCTAGCGTAAAATAGGCCAAAGTAGGATAAATACTAAACTAAACAATCAAGGAATGAGGGGTAAAACATGTGTAAATATGTAGTCATCAACCATCGCTCTCATGACGAGGAGCAACTCACGGAAAGACCACAACCGCGAAAGGACTATACTCGCGGATTGGTTCCGCGATACGGGACGCGCCCGCAAGTACCAAGGCGCCAAACGACGCCGTTTTACTCAACTCAGGCCGGATCAAGAAGCCAAGAAACGACATCGTATTCCCTGAAAAACGGTCACATCCTAGCCCTAGGTATAAGCATGGCCTAAATGTCTAGCCCTAGGTATAATCATGGCCTAAGGGTCTGACAAATTCAGTAGTCATGTCGCATTAAATACCCACCCACCACAATGTAGCCTATAAATACGACATTTACTCCGGTGGGTGAGGAGATCGCATTTTTACTCTCTCGCTCTATAATACCAACTTCTCTCTCTAAGATCTCCTCTCTCCCAATCATAGCCTATTTGTAATCTCATTTCAGTGGAAGGAAAGCGGATCTTGTTGCTTACTCTCCTCGTCCCCCCTTTTTACTCGAGTCTCACTCCTACTGTATCCAATACAATCGAACTGTATCCAATACAATCGAACTGTATCCAATACAATCTTTGGTCTTTATATCCCGAAAAGACCGGACTGAGACCAAATTAATTTGGGTCAATTTAACTGGACCGGACCGTAAAGAAGCCACCCCTGACTATCCGCTCCCTCGCGAGCAAAGAAAGAAAGAGGATGATTACGGCCATCACCATCAACCTGCACAACGCTGCAGAGAGAGAAAGACTGCTCTCTTCCAAAAACTCATGGGGGCGCCTGAAAGGGTCCCTTCCAAAAAAGACATGTCCATCGATCGCCACTACCCAGCAGGCCAGCACCTCCCGTATCAGATTCAGCCAGCCACCTCCCCGCTCTCCTTTATTATTTATGAAGAAAAAATCAAACTGTCTTTTCGTCGAATACCTACCATGCTTCCCAGCTTATCCTTTCTTCCTTCCTTTCCCCATTTTTCTAATTTGCAATGTGATGGTCGACGACTAGCTCCCACGTACCCATCTTCCTAACCCTGCCTGCCGTCATAAAAACTTACCCTTCCACGCAACTCCATTCCTTCCAAGTCTTTTGTGTCACCAATACCATCTTTCATTCCCCATCGCATCACTCATTTCTTTCTTTTTTGGTTTGGAGTTCACTGTTTCCATTTGGCTTACCACTTGAAAGAATCAGTTTGGTTAGTATATATGTTATGGGTAGACTTTAAGGTGGCTGCGATTAGTGTATCACCTAGTCCCTTGATTTTTAGTAACTCTATGCACACAACGATGGAGTGTGTGATTTTGTCATTACCCTCTCATGCATCCAACGATTAAAATCATGAAAAACTCATAATTCAACAATGTTTACTCACAATAACATCTACCCATCACGATAGTAAAAAATGGGCAACCCAGTTTGCTCAACAAAGTCATTTTTGCTTTCCAAAGTTATGCAAGTTATAGACAACTAGGAATTGCTTGCTCTATTATCCCAAATACCTTATTTTTATAATTTAGGGTTATAGGTATAATATGCCCTTCTACTATGACTTTCATCAAACATGCTCTCTACTATTTTTTACATCAAACATGCCCATGTACTTTGTAAAAATGATCAAACAATGCCCTTGTGTTAAAATTTTCATCCAAAAACCATTAATCATGGCCGAGCTTTGGTTTGGACGACACAAATGTCTAAAATATCCCTAATAATTTCACTTTAGAATTTATTTTGGTTATTTTGTATAGCCAAATAATTCAAATAATTTCACTTTGAAGAGACCTAGAGGAATAAAACGGGGGACAAAACTTTCATTTTCTCTCCCATTTGCCAATGTCGGGTCGTCTAAATATCGGTTCAACCATGATTGAGAATTTTTTCAATCAAAATTAATACATGTTTGATAATTTTTTCAAAGTACAGGGGCATGTTTGATGTAAAAAATAATAGAGAGGCATGTTTGATAGAAAGTCATAGTAGAGAGACATATTATACCTATAACCCTATAATCTACATATCACCAACCAATACCTTAATGATGTACTCTATAATGCATAGGTCTAATACACTTGTATATCCAAAACCTTCACGATTGTGCCAATAATATCCAAATTTCCCACAATACCACTTATATCCATGTTTTAAAGTTGTTCTTTGCCAAATCTATCCATTTCCAAATATATTTTTGGTTAAATACACTTGTATATCCAGAAATACCGTTAAAGAATGTGAAGGAATTGGATATAAGTGGTATTTCGGGAAATTTAGATATTATTGGCACAACCGTGAAAGTTTTGAATATACAAGTGTATTTAACCTAATGCATATAGTAAAAAACATGAAACAATGTCATAATCTTGATTGGTAAAAAGTATATAAAAAACCATCCTAGTGTCATTTTAAAGGAAAAAAGGACAATTGATAAGAATGACCACTTTTGACTTCCACCACTAGCAAACTACCACTTTGTATCTTGAGAATTAAGATGCACATTGACACATCATGGGGACTGGGGAGTACATATTTGTTATCCTTCTATTCTAATGCAAGTCTACAACACAGATTCATCCTCTTAAGTACCATTGTGGCCCTTGGAAAGGGCGCACCCACTAATCAAGCTACTAATTTGCTTCCACGTACCAAAAGAGCATTGCTTTTGTTTGACCTTTGATTCCCACAACTTCATTAAAGGATGATTAACCCAAAAGTACATTTATTTAATCACAATCATTGATTTCATGGACTAACTAGACAACAAAATGGGTACCACCACAAAAAAGAGAAACACCCAATTAACCACATTTTAGGAGGTTTTCCAACAACATAGGGTTTCTCTCTATCTCAATTGATCAGGCATTCCTTATTTATTTGCAATCATGACTCTAATCATATGCTCTTAAGCAGCAAAAACAAAACCATAATTAAAAGCAGAAAACATTACCATTTAATTTTTACCACACATGTTTTATTTATATATACCAAAGATCGGCCAAGTGATTGATTGATTATGACCAGGAAGACCAGAACGCTTGGTCCTCGAAGCTTGCTGGTGGATCCGAGTAGTCCTCATCTTCCAGCTTTGGGAACACATACTGATCAGGGAGTAGATTTCTGCAGCACAAGCTGTTGTTGTTGTTGTGATGATCGTCTTCGTCCTGAGAAAGATCCGAAGACTGGTTGTCTGGTTCGAATACGTACGACGAGATCGAATCTCCAGCCTCCAGCAGTGAAGAGTGGACGACACCATCTGTGTAATGTGGGCTGTCTGCATCGAATATATCACTTCTCGCTGAGCTGATGTCTTCTTGCTTACAACCAGATGCTGAATCTAAATTTGGTTTCTCCAGTGGTATTTCTCGAGACATTGCATCATTGTGAGCCAAGTCTAAGCTTCCCGTCGCTTTCTCTTTCTGCTGCAGCTTGTCTGTCAGCGAATTGATCTGCAAAAGAACAAAGTTGGGAACTTTAATGAAACCCATGAATGAATCGATTGATGGAGCTTGCAAACAATTAATAATAGTCAACATAGTTCATCCTAACAAGGACTGTTTAAGAACCGAAAGGAGCGCCTACATGAAACACAAGAGGGTTGCAATCCTAACGAGAACTATGTGGAACAATCAAATATGGATGTAAATTAATGGTTTTACCTCGGCTTTCAATTTGTCTTTCTCCCTGAGAAGGCCATCGTAGTCGGCCTTGAGAGTGTCGTAGCTAGACTGGAGAAGGTCGTAGTCTTTCTCCAGCCGTTTGGTCTTCCACCGAGCGCGGCGGTTCTGGAACCAAATAGCGACCTGCCGAGGCTGCAGGCCGAGGTCCTTGGCCAGCTGGATTTTGCGCTCGGGTTCCAGTTTGTTCTCCACCTCGAAGCTCTTCTCGAGAAACTGGACTTGATCCACGGAGAGCCTCCTCTTCTTCTCCGGTTGCCGGAAATACTCGTCTAAATCGTCGTCGCCGTTGTCGTCGGCATCAAATGAGGTGAAGAAGGGCCTGCTTGTTGCTGATCCGTTCGAATCGTCGAAACGGACTATGGATCTTGGACCTGGGAAAACACAAGAGGATCAGGATCGTGCGTTGACCAAAAACGGAAAGATGCCGTCTTCTTAATCGACTAACAGAGTGGAAACAGAACCTGAAGCCATTAACCAGAGCATAAGCAAACCCAAAAACAAGATTCAAATTCCGTCACCCTAGACAGAGATCTGTGGGTTGAAAAAACAGAGTAGAAAACAAAAAGCAGAGCAGAGAGACAGGGGAGGGGATTTACCGAGGAAAGAAGGAGAAGAAGACGAAGGCAGGAAGAACGATTCAAGGGGCTGAGAAGCGCCACCTCGATGGGTCTGAAGCAGGACAGTACCCAAACCGCCAACGTCGCGGCCGCCGCCGCCGCCGCTAGCACACGCCGCCATGGTGTTTCTGAAAGTCAGTAGCTTTTTTTCTTTCTAAGATTGCGAGAAAATGGAAAAAAGAAAACAGGTGAGTTGTTTTGTTGCTTAGATCCCCACCCACAAGTTCCTTTCTTGTTGTTCGTTGGTGTGTTCCCCTCAAGCTGCCATTGACAAGGCAAGCTCAGGCAAAACAACCTTCACTGTAAAAAAATCGAACACTTCTCCGAATCGAGTGTCACAGCGCAGCGAAAAACCGAGTCTCTTCTCCTTCTTTCCACTTTTGATTACGGTGATCTATATTTCGGACTTATGGCGAAAGAAGCTGGTGATGATTATCTCAGTGATGTGGGAAGTATGGGAGCACCGGCAGCAGCTCACACCCATCACTACTCAGAATAAGAGGCGGGGGGTAATTTCAGAAGGGGAACGATTTGGGGTTCCCCGGAGAGCGGCTTTTCTACAGAGAGAAATGGAGATTGGGGTAGAGAGAGTGTTTTTCTATTTTTCTTTCTTCCTTCTTTCAGGAGATGGAGAAGGAAATGGGTTTATATGGAGTGGGCAGAGGTCGGAGAAGGAAAATTGGAGATGGCGAGAGGCTTGTACTGACGATCGTGCCCTTCCATCTCAGGACAAAAATGCTCTGCTTTCTATTCTCTCCCCTTTCCCCCCATTTGTGAAAGCAATGGGCAGACTGTAGAGGTTAAAACAATGTGGAGTTTCCACTTTTCACCATCGACAGGTAGGTTGTTGATCGATTCGATTCGATTCGATTATAATTGAAACTAGCTTTTTGTTTTTTGTGAGCGTTTTTTTTTTATACAAAAGATAATCATATATTGATAGAATCAAATCGATAATTACATCTTAGAATTCAGCCAGTTCTGAAAGTCAAAATAACGATACGTAGTCGGGAACAAAGACAGGGCCTGTCTAGCTACACTGTGAGCTATCCTATTGCTACCCCGACCTACAAATCGTACAATGAAGCCCGGATAAATCGTAAAAACTTGCAGAATCTCCTCCAAAATAGCCCCAATCCGACTATCACGCACATCAGCCTGACAAAGCTTCTCAATGACCACCTTGGCGTCCCCTTTAAACCTCATCGACACAAAACCCTGCGTTACACACCAGCAGATTGCTTCACGAAGGGTAAGTACTTCCGCCACCATTGGGTCATCCAGCCGAGGGAACTGAACACCAGCAGCCCAAAGGGTCTCCCCTCCCTCATTAAGGAGCACAAAGCCTCCCGCAGAGTGAGACCCTGAACGGACTGCTCCATCCCAACGACACACAGGCCCCACTGCCCCACCTAAACCCACTGTACTAGTGCTAGGAGGAGACAGAGAGGGACGCCGGGGATCATTAGGTAAGCTCAGCCATTCCCCTACCTGTTGGTGATACTGCCGCATCAGAGCAAGGATGCCAAACTGCTTCCCTTCAAAGACCACCCAATTCCGGGATCGCCAAATCCTCCATAGGATAGCAATTACTCCCATGAACTGTGAGGGTTGCTGCAAGATAGCCAACAGCTTCTTCAGGAAAAGAGGGAAAGTGTGTCGGGGCAATCCTTCACCAAGATGATCTAGACCAGACTGAGTCCACAAAGCCCTGGCCACCGTGCAATAAAGGAAAAGGTGTTCCATCGTTTCCGATTGAGCCCAACACACAGGACACCGGGGTAGGACTTCAATTTTCCGCTCGATTAGCGCCTCAGTAGTCGGCAGAATCCTGCTCAAGAGTTGCCAGGCAAATATCTTCAACTTTGGAGGAATGTTGGCATCCTTCAATTTTGTAGAAACTAATAATTTAGTTTAAACTTAATAATTTATAAAATTATTCAATAGATTTTCTGTGCATCACCCCCTTTTCCCTCTCTCCAATTCTTTTGGGGAACTATCACTTGTCTTGCTCGCAGCCTCGGCGGCCGCCGCCGAAGCCAAAAGGCCGACCAGCCCCGTCCATTATTCCAAACCGCCCCCACCCAGGAAGAAGAATTTTGCACGGTTCTTCTAAAGCAAAAAGCAAAAGAAAAAAGGCAAAGACAGGTGTCAACGAAGAGAAGTTCTACAGACAGGTGGTGGAGACCGGAATCTTCTCTGGCGACGTAATGTAGTACTCACCGCCGACGTCAATCACCGTCTCCAAGGTTCGAGCCTCATACTCGATTTCGCACATGAACCCTTCCGCCTGAGGAAAATTGAAACCCTTGATCCCGTGCTCGGTGGGCGACATCACCTGGCGATAATCCACCGACGCGGCCACGGAAAGCCCCAAATGCTCAACATCCTGCTCCCCCTTTCTAGTCTGTTTCAAATTGGAACTGAAGGCAACACGGCTGGCTCTACGCTTCCTCACCATCGTTGAAAGTAGATTCTAACCTGATTAAATCAGTGGAGTATAGCTAATTAGCGAGAAGCTTCCCTCTGTGGAAAGCAATTGTGCAGTAGCTGGGATGCTTCGGCATTAAAGTCAGAGCAAAATTTGGCGGTGGCGCCAAACAAAGTGGTGGGAGAGAACGGCTAATTCCGGCGGGAGATATCGGCTATGGCCTTAATGGCTATTGGGGCGAGCTATATAAAACCGTGTCCGGAAAAGTAAGTTTCCCCTCCCAAATCTAATCCCTTCATTCCCTGAACGAAATCGTCTCCACTCTTCACGCCACTGATCTCGACAAGATCGTCCGCCATTGCACTCAGGGATTCCAGCCAAGATCGCGCGCCGACGAAGAATGGGCTGACCGCCGATTACAATCAATGACCTCCCAGCCGTTACTTTCTATATTAGAATTGGATTTAAGGAGTTTAATGCCCCTGCCGGCTTTAATTGAGGAAGTCAGAGCTCTGCTCAAACTTGTAAAGCGCTCCCTTAGGGACGCAAAGGGGTCGATCCTTGCCCCAAACTGCGTAATCAAAGCGCAAAATTCAATTAATGGAGAAATGAACTCCATTAAAAACCCAGAAAACGGGTCAAAAAACGGCCGGAAATTGAAAATCAATCCCCAAATTGCTCAATTGCAGCCCGAAACACTTGCCCAAAGTTTTGCCCAGAAACTTAATTCAATCCGGCTCCCTTTCCTAAAAGAAGAAGGCTCTATAAAAAATTTCCAAATAGACCCAACTTTCCTCATTACCGTGCCTAGCATATTCCCCTGTTTCCTGATAAGAAAAACAGAGCAATCTTGGTTTTACCATTTCCAATCAATGGCAGGCCCAGTTGTGTTCAACGATGAAGTGCTGGAAGCCGGCCAAAATAGGGCTCGCCTGAGCTTGGTAGGAAGGCTGCTGTGCTCGTCCCACCCGTCCAGAACTCGTGTTCAGCACACCGCCAACAACTTGTGGGCAAAGAGAGCTCCAGTTACAGTCCTTGATGCAGATCATGGACTATTCCAATTAGTCTTCTCGAACGCCACCGATCGCCAAGAAGCACCGGGGAAAGCTCCCTGGTTCCTCCACTCGAAGATCCTCACCTTAAAAAAGTGGGAAACACCTTCTGAGCAAGTTTTCCAAGAGCTTGCACGCGTCCCCTACCTCGTCCAACTCTGGAATCTGCCTGAAGAGTATAGAACGGTCGCGCTAGGAAGGCTCCTCGCCGCTCAGTTGGGTACCGTCGTTGACGCCGGGATGTACGCGGTCTGGGAGAACCCAGGTTGTGTGTTCAAAGCAAGAGTGTTGATCGACGTCTCATCCCCCTTGCAACATCGGTTGGAAGCCAGGAAGAGGAACGCAGATGGCTCGTTGGGAGAACCTTTCCGGGTATCTCTCAAGTACGAAAACATCAAAACTACTTGCTTCAGGTGCCGAAGAATTGGGCACAACCAGAGCTTCTGTTCATTCGATTTGGTGACAGGCGAGGATGGATTCGGCCCTGAGATTATCGGGAACAGAACAGGTCCGAAATTAAACGAAAATTCCTACGCGACCGCTCGGAAAGGAGGAAGGAATTGGGGCGGGAACGTGTGGCGCCACGGAGCTCGAGCTGCACCTTATTCCCGATCCAACACGATGCTGATTGAGGCGGCTTCTCGGTTCGGCGGAGAAAACTCAGTTGGAAGAGGGCAGGGGCTGCCGCCGCGGGACTCCCGTCGGGAGAGACGAGGTGCAGACAGACCGGTGGGCCAATTGGCGAAGATGGACGGGCTGGGCTCCTCCTCTGGGCCGGAGAAGCTAATGGGCCAACCCTTGAATGAGGATGGTTGCAAAGAAATAGAAAATGGGCCCAAAGATTCTGAAGCAGCCCAAATTGCTCAACACTTGGTGTTAGAGCCCACACCCCTCCAAGTCCAAGCTCCATCCCCGTCATATGGGTTAGGTAACTTATATTGTAGTGAAGATCCCGGATTTTTATTTGACGATTTAGAAGATACCCTCTTATTTAGCATGCAAGGAGAAGGGATGGGATTCTTTGATAATGAAGGAATGGATCAATCTGCAGATACAGCCATTTCATGCTCTCCAATAGGATGCGTCGCGGATGGAAAATCAAAGGGGAAAGCGATATTGATAGAATCGTCAGAGTCCCCAAGAGTCTACATTCGGAGAAATGTAGGGGTCTGCATCCAAGAGCCAGAAGAAGGAGTGGTTAACACCCTTCCAAAGAGTCCAAGCGAGAAAGACAAGGTTAAAGGAAAAAGGGTGGAGGTAGCCAACCCCAATTGGCCCCAAAATCCTAAATGAATGTTTACGCGTGGAATTGTCAAGGGGTGGGGAGTACCTTGACATTCCAAACGCTAAAAGCTCACCGAAATTTGGCTAAGTCATTTCTCTTTCTTTGTGAGACTATGTCTCATAGTGATAAAGTAGAGTCTTTTATGTCTCGATTGGGTTTTTCTGATTGTTTTCCTGTTAACCCTTCCGGCTTGTCGGGGGGTCTAGTATTTGGTTGGCCAAGAGGAGCTTCGGTCTCAATCATTGGCTCAACCCCTTTCTTTATTGCCATTTCGGTCATCAATAATAATTCCCTTTGCTATGGTGCTTGTCCCCGGTTCGTACTAATTGGTGTTTACCTCTCGTATGTAATTTCTAAACGAAGATCCCAATTAGAGGATCTTAGGAACTTCTGTGCTAGATTGTCAGATCCTTTTCTTATAATTGGAGATGTCAATTGCTCACTATCCCCGCTAGAGAAATCAGGAGGGGCTCTGTGGCGGATGGACAAAGCTCGACCTCTTTGGGAATTTATCAACTCCATGGGGCTTCTGGAAGTAAGAATTCAAGGACCCAAATTTACTTGGACTAATCGGGGCAGAAACGGTGTTTTGATAGAACAACAGATCGATAGAGCCTTTGTTTCTACAAATTGGTGGCATACCTGGCCTAATTCCTGCCTATATCATCTTTCTGATAAAGGATCAGATCACAGACTCCTGTGTCTTATGACTATTCCATAAATGTCAAGAGCCAAACGCCTATTTCATTTTGACATAAGGTGGGCCCGAATGCCTGAAACAAAACTCATCATTGACTATGTCTGGAATACACCAATAACTGGGTCATTGCAATTTTGCTTGTTTTATAAACTACTCAGAGTCCGGCATGCATTAGTAGATTGGTGCAAAGGAGGAACATCAAACTCAGGCAGATTAATAAAAGACCTCAATCTAGCTCTTGATAATGCTAGGAAAGACTTGATCTCCAGTATAGAATGGAAGAAATCTATTGGAGACAAAAATCTCGGGTTAACTGGCTAACGGAAGGGGATCGCAATACTCCTTATTTCCACATGGTAACGGCAATTAGACGGCAAGCCAACTTCATTTGGGGCTTAGAGAATTCTAGAGGTCTCTGGTGCACGGATGGGGATGAAAAACTGAACATAGCAGTAGAATTTTATCAATCTTTATTTCAAACCCAACTCACTGAAGGCATTAACCTGTCTAACTTGCCGTTTGAAGGACTAGTTACTGAAGAACAGAATCGGGCCCTCATTCATCCGGTTACACCTGAAGAAGTCAAAGAAGTAATCTTTGGCATGGGTAAGACTCAAGCTCCGGGTCCAGATGGTTTTACAGCAGGGTTTTATCAAGCGTATTGGGATATAGTCGGCAATGAAGTCATCCAAGCTGTCTTAGCTTTCTTTCATTCTGGACATCTCCTTCGATCTATCAATAGAACATGGATTTCCCTTGTCCCAAAAACAACGGAAGTTAGATCCATGAGAAATCTCAGACCCATTAGTCTTTGTCAAGTAATTTATAAGATAATAGCTAAGATCCTGGCCAATAGACTCAGTCGAGTCCTTCCAAGCATAATATCTCAGACTCAAAATGGTTTCATAAAAGGACGTCAAATCTCAGACAGTATTTTAATAAGCCATGAGGTAACTCACCATCTCCGAACGATGCCCTCTGGACGGAAAACTTGGATGGCGTTGAAATTGGATATGGAAAAGGCATACGATCGAGTGGAATGGCCATTCCTTTTCGAAATAATGAAGGAATTGGGTTTCGACCAAAAGTTTATATCTTGGATACAGGAATGTGTCACTACAGTCTCCTACTCGGTACTGGTGAACGGAATTCCCTCCAGTTACTTCCGTCCATCAAGAGGCCTTCGGCAAGGAGACCCTCTCTCATCCCTACTATTTGCCATTTGTGCAGAAGGTTTTTCAGCAATGATAAGACATACAATAGCTATGGGGTACCTGGAGGGGGTTAGGATCAGGGCATCATGCCCAATGGTGTCCCACATATTCTTTGCAGACGACTCCTATCTCTTTTTAGAAGCTACCTCGCAATCTTGCACAACAATTCTCTCTCTTTTCCAAGCCTATGAAGGATTGAGTGGGCAGCGGGTCAACTTACAAAAGTCAGCGGTCTTATTTAGCCGCAATATGGATCTAAACCTGGCCTTAGAATTAGGGGAACAACTAGGTGTGGGTAGCATTGGAGAACAAGGCCGGTACTTGGGCCTTCCGTCAACTATTGCTAGATCAAAAAAGGAGTCTTTTCAATTCATGGAAGAGAAGCTCATTAAAAAACTTCAAGGATGGAAGCAACGAACCCTGTCTAAAGCAGGTAAAGACATTTTGATTAGGACAGCAGCTACCAATCTACCAGTTCATGGCATGTCTTGTTTTAAGATCCCTAAAGAAAATTGTCGGCGGTTAAATAGTCACGTGGCTAGATTTTGGTGGGGTTCGGCAGATAATGTGGACCATCCAATCCACTGGGTTTCCTGGAAAAGTTTAGCACATAGTAAGTTTCAAGGTGGTCTAGGATTCAGGGACTTTGGTGCCTTTAACCAAGCTCTGTTAGCTAAACAATGTTGGAGGATCTGGAAGAATCCGGATTCTCTTCTGGCATCGATATATAAAGGTCGATATTTTCATCAAGGGTCAATACTAGATGCTACCCTAGGTTCCAAGCCCTCTTGGGGATGGCGTAGTATCTTGTTTGGAAGAGACCTCCTTCTCCAAGGGTTAAGATGGCAGGTTGGAGATGGACAAGACATTGTAGCCTTCAAGGACAAGTGGGTCGCTTCTGAGAAACCCATCACTCCTTTGGTTCGCCTTTCGAATACAACAAACTCCCCAAGAGTCTCCTTCTTTATTAGAGGAAGTGGAGGAGAGTGGCATATCCCAAGACTTCAATACTGTTTTGATCCCATTACTGTTAGTCTTATTCGCAAAACTCCTCTTCCTAGATGTCAACAAAGAGACACAAGAGTCTGGCACTTTACAAAAAATGGCGCCTATACAGTTAAATCGCGATACCACCTGGCTTTAGAAATTTCTTTAGTCTCGAGTCGGAAACCCCTGGTGCAAATTATAGATACCCCTATCTGGAAGAAAACTTGGGATATTGTGGTTCCTCCAAAATTAAAATTCTTCATCTGGCAATGTCTAAGAGTAATTCTTCCAACTGTGGTGGCACTTGAGTCTAGAGGGATTAATTGTCGTACCCGGTGCCCGGTTTGTTGGAGAAGTGCAGAAAGTATTGAACACCTATTCTTTAGATGCCCCTTGGCCACCAGATTGTGGTCGCTTATGGGCCTAAATGACTTTATTACCTCGGCCCCGACTGTGAATTTCAGTCTCTGGTGGCGACATGTTATGCTTTCTGAGCACCCCCAAACCCATGTTCTTCTGTACGTTTGCGTATTGTGGAGAATCTGAAAGTCTCGAAATAAGGTGGTTTTTGAGCATTTACAACCTCATGCCCAGTCTCTAGCCCGCCAATGTTTTTTCCATGTCCGTGAAGTCTCTTCTTCTCTTCCTCCTGCGCCATCCTCCAAGTTCTCGCCTCCTCTCCTGGGTCCCTCCTCCTGATGATTTTTTGAAGATCAACTTTGATGCTGCAGTTCGTGTTTCCGGTTGTTCGTCTGGTCTAGTAATTCGTGGAGCAGACGGGCATGTAGCTTTGGCAGTAGGGTTTCAGCACTCTGGCATTACTGATCCCTACCTAGCAGAGCTTCTTGCTGCCAGAGACGCCGTTTCCCTGTTGGTCTCCAAGTCTCTACCTCGTGTCATCATCGAAGGAGACTCTGAAGTGGTGGTTCGTCAGCTTCGTCAGGGTGATTCTTCTGATTCCTTAGGAGGACCAGTGCTTCGGGATTGCTTCCTTCTCCTTGCTTCTGCTTCTGTCTCCTTAGAGTTTAGAGCAGTGCCTCGGACTGCTAACAGGGCTGCCCATAGAGTGGCGCAGAGAGCCCTGCTTCTTTCTCCTCTTGAGTTATGTTCTTTCGATTTTGTTGGGTGGCTTCATTGATGTAATAGGTTGGGAGGTGTTCGGGTAGTTTGTATAGTTCTCTCTTTTGACATTTCTTGGAAAAAAAAAATTATTCAGATAGAATAAATATGTAAATTTAACGTGATGTTTTAATCATTACGAAGAACATACGTCATCTGTTTGGGTAAATGATACATTGTACATAACTATTTCTACATAAAGTTTACGTAGTGTTCAATTATTATAGAAAACTTACATATTATTTTTTAATTGATACATAAATGATTATTTGTCCATAAACTTTACGTAGTGTCTTAATCATTAAGTAAAACTCATGTAACAGTTATAGAACGTTATTAGATAAATTTTTTATAATTTGTGATCTAATAGTATAATCAAGTTATAGCAAGTAATATCGACGAATTTTAAATTTAAGTAACTTTTATTCAATTTTTTTTACATTAATATTTCATAATATGTGGTCTAATAATAATTGCTTATGAATTTTAGACTTATCGTTGAAGTGGTTGTAGAGAATAAAACTCATGTAATTGCTTATAAATTTTAGACTTATCGTAGAAGTGGTTGTAGCGAATAAAAATAATATGAATAATATTGCAAAAAGGAGGAAAAAGGGCATATGGTAAAATTGAGTATATGAAATAGAACCCTATTGTGAACAAAACCCGTAGAGAAAAAATGACCTGTTTTTTTCTTAATGAACAGTGAAACGTGCTTGTGCTTTTAATTATATAATAATAATTTACTCAGTTCGGTTAATTATTAATTGATATATTAGTTAATTAAATATAATAGTATAGTAGGTTGTCTACTATTATCGTTTAGCAAGTGATTCGACAAGGTTAAACCAAAATAGCTTATCCATAACTGAACTAATTTAAGGCATTCTTTTCTCAACTGAGAAATTAACTCACTCTTCATGGCGGTTTAACAAAAAATGTAACGATTAATTACTATGCAATTTTTTTAATAAAATCAAGGTGAATGTACTTAGTGATTAAAACAAATTTTTTAAGTCCGTTAGTTTTCAAGATACAAAAAAAAAAAAATTGTATTAAGATATAAAGCACAAACTGGTTCTTAAGCGAAAACACTCAACTTTTTTTTTGAACTAGTTGATTTCATTCCATATAAAACCAAGTCTGACTACAATGAGATGGTTATGAACCTAGGAAAACACATCAATGAGGGGACCTAGCCCCCCTCCCTCCTCCATTTTCTACTAAAGTAACTGCACTCAAGAACCAACAGGGGTGCCTAAGGAAGCCAAGTTAGCCCTTACATTGTTCCTATTACAACTCAAAAATCGCATACATTGAATAATAAACTTCCCGACTGTTTCCACATACCTGCAACATTCAAGCACCTGACCATTACCACTACTCTGCCTTCTGGATTTTTCTTCTAGCTACTCGAGCTATCAGCTCCAACCGTGTCCTTTCATGTCACTCTCCAGAAACAATCCCTGTAGTGAAGATATGCAAGTAAGCAACTCGTGAGAGTAGGAACATTGAAAAAACATGTGTTCTCTAGATTCAGGGAGAGCCCTGCACAAAACACATTCATCATCGGTAGATTTCCCCCACTTTAGCAATTTGTCCTCAGTGATTATACCATCCAAAAGTACCATCCAAGTCAGAAAACTAGGTCTAGGGATAAACCCTTACCTTCATATCTGGCCACCCCATTCCACCATCTCACTTCTTTCAGAGAGTTTCCTAGACAACTGCAATAGAAAGATGCCCACTGCCCAGTTAAATAAGATTTGATTGCAGGTCAATGTTTGAGAATCCTTCCCTATGCCCATGAGCTACTAGAGTTGGAAATACCCGATTCCCGTGATTTTTTATATAAACAAAATTTTAAGGTAAGGAAACACTACAAATCAACTAAATCAATCAAAGCATATTGTCCTCTTTGCAATCATAGGAAGCATAGGCTAATTCAAAATTGGACCTAGTGCTTGAAATTAAAAAAATGTTGGTTATCCCTACAAAATGAAGGCAATATAAAAGTCATTGTACGACTATGGAATTATCGTTCTCAATTTCAACTCATTTAAGTTAGTGGATGAGACATAGAAAAGAATAGTAGAGAATAAAATGTAACGAAACAATTTCGTAGCATATGAAATCCATTAAAATACCAAATTACAAAAAATGATGAGTAAGATGATGAGTAATAAGTAACAAGTAGTAGAAACTTTATTAATTATGAAAGAAAACAACATCTTGCACTAAGCAAACATAGATAAATAAGCCAAATAGCCAGAGGAGGGCCACAATTTGAAATGAATTCCTCGACCATTCCATGACAAAAAAGTATGAGCCAGTCAAAGAGCAAACTCATTAATTTCCTTAGAGACGTGCCGAAATTAAGTTTGCGACATCTGGAAGATCTATTTTCTAGTATCAACACAATTCACTCCCTTCAGTTTCATGAAGTCGAATTCTAAAATGAGAAGAAACATACCATTTTTGAAGCCTTTGGTCAAACCTCTTGAAGTAGCTTTAGCTTCACTGGGCTCCAGCTTTGCTTCACTCTCTGAAATCCACTCAATCTATGAGAAAAAAGTAAACCTTGCAGCTGAGAGGCTAGGGTTTTGGAGGAAGAACAAAAGCAGGAATGAGAGATAAAGTCCTGAATGGAACAAAATGGGGATTGAAACAAAAGTGAGACATGGCCATTCTTGGTAAGCTGGCTGACAGAGATTAGATTATAGGAGAATGATTGTACTAGTAGGACATTGTGGAGCAAAATGCCACAAGGAAGCTTAACTATCCCTATATGTGTGGCAGGGTCTTTTGGCCATTAGGAAGGGTAACTGAAATTTCTTTTACTAACTTGCATCTAAGAAATAAATGCAATGAGCAATTAATGTGATCACTTGCCTTGTGTCTAACATCCACAAACAACCATTTAGTTCCTTTTTAAGAGTTGATAAAATGAGAGTACCTATCATGGTAGAGTTTCTTGTCATCACAAAATTTGCTTGAGAAAGAGGATGATTTGGTGCTTTGTTGAAACAATGCATTCAACCTTGTTAGCTCTTCAGTTGTGAAACCACAGATTGTAGGTGAGTTGATCTCTTGTTGACTTACTAGGCTAGTAGGGCTATATAAAGATGCTCATCCTGAATAGTTTCCCTCAAATCCAGTTATATCAATAGAATCGACAAAACCCCTTCCCCTACCAGCATTGTTACCAGAAGTGTTTCCCATCTGATAGTTCTTATTTTCAGCTTCCAACAGTCCTTCTTAAGATGATTGTCTTTCTTGCAATATCTTCAAAATAAACGAGTACGAGTTCCATGTGAAGGAGCCTTGTCTCTAGATTGACTATATTGATTCCTAGAAGGTGCTAATGTTATTGCTAAAGTAATGGCTTCCTCTGATTTTCCAGCATTAGCACCATCACCATTCAACTGTCTTTCTAATTGGACCACAGATCTATTAACACTGTCTAGATCTAGAAGTAGATCCAATATCAACATTTGAGTATAAACTTACTAACTCTGTTTGGGAAGAGGGGTAAATGGGAGGAGGGTGCAAATGTGAGGGGTAAACACAGTTTCCAACACATTTGCACCTGTTTGGTTAATTTGGAACAGTAGAGGTGTGCAAAACGAGAGTGCAAATTTACTGTTTCGGCTTACCCCCCTCCCCCCCCCTCGAATTGGGGTGCAAGGGAAGGAAGGAAGAGAGGTGGAGGGGGGAATTATGGAATTTTATTTTCTAATTGTGTTATATATAATTATATAATAATTAATATTATCAATTTCTTCTTTTTATAAATATCATTAATGTAAACATTATTCGGGGTTGACCATTTGACTCTGGAAACAAGTTTATCAATGTTCGTTAACTCAGTTTATTTGACTAAATAGTTAAAACTTACAAATTCGAACGTGTTTGACTAAGTTTGACAATTTAAGATTAAATTAGACACGAAAACCCTATATAGGATGACCAGTTACGAGTTGAGCTTCGAGTTTTGAGATCGCTCGATCAATGATTATTACAATTGTTATAATTAATTATTATTTGAGCATTATTATATAATAACTATTTTTAGTAAAGTATATTTATTATTTTATAGTAATATTTATTTTATTATTTTATGATAATATTTTAAAATCTTAAAATCTATTTTATAATCTTAAAATCTGTTTTATAATCTTAAAATCTATTTTAAAATTTTAAAATCTACTTTAAAATAATATAATTACTTACTTTTCACTCTATTTGCACCCCCTACTTTTTCATCCAAACAACAATTTACCCCTCCACTTACAACCCCAGCAATTTGCACCCCCCAGCAATTTACCCCTCAACTTGCACCCCTGCAATTTGCACCCCCTTGTTGCCAAACCCAACAAGAAACATATAACTTTTCCCCTCTCTTGATATCTCATGATACTTTCATAGGTGCCAAATTCACAATCATAGTAACGTATAGGGAGATAACTTTGAAATTCATCTAATAATAGGTTCAATTAGTATGATACTGCCTAATTATTTGGTTACCCTGCTTAGCCAAATCTATTTTCTATTGCATGTTTGTTATGCGTACAAAATTGTCTTGACTAAATTTTGACTCAAGATAGTTTCAAGCTTCTAATGCAACCTTAATATTACTCAAGCTAGGTACAATATCTCCAGACACACAATTTTAATCCAACAAGCAACTGTGTCATTCACACGATCCCAAGTTTCATAAGATTGATCTGATAAAGGGGTACCTAATAGTGCAAGGATGAAACCGAGCTTGTTCTTGGTTCACAAGGCAACCTCCATGGACTAACTACATAGTTGGTAATTTTCATTAGTAAGCTTGAACGGAATCACATGTAAGGATTTATCACTCGCTACTACGTAATAAGGGTTGGAATAGGGATCTTTATACCAAGGTGAAGAGACCTCCTTATATTTAGCTTCCTCATCAGAGGATTCGACATCAGTCATGGTGTTTTTTGGCGTTTACTGAAGAAAAGACAAAAAGAAATCAAAGAAAAGGGGTAATCAGTAGCCAACCAGGCTTTGATACCATGAGAAATAAGTAAACTTAGCAGCTAAGAGGGTAGGGTTTGGGAGGAAGAACAAAAGCCAGAATAGAGAAAT